GACCAATGTAGATGACGACTTTGATACTACTACACCACCGGTAGAGACAGAAAGCGTCCTCGGCACGGGTACAATAAGCAGTTTATCTATAGAACTAATAAAAGAAGATGTTGATTCATTTTACAAAAAAAATAATATAGACCCCGCGTTTATCGACCCCAACGATTTTGAAATTGGTAAAGACAGAAATCTATACGTTAAAACATATAAAGGTCGAGAACCATTATCTTATAGACGAGGTGGTCAAAAAATATATTACAAATTAAGTACCTTACAAAGTAAATATGGTACCGCATTTATTCGCGACACCCTCAAAATCGCTGACTATAAACCAACACTACTTGCCAAACTAAAAGATAAACTCGAAAAAGTACAACCCGAGAGTATCCCCTTGACAGAACTACCCAGAGCCACCGATGAGGTAACCGAGATTATAGACGATTTACAACGCGACACCGGCGCTCAAACAGAAGGATTAAATTACAGAGAACTCCAGGGTTTAGACAAAAGTCTTCAGACGTTGAGAGGTAACCTCGAACTTAATTTAGCGCGTCTCGCAGAACTAGACCAAGAGATATTTGATGCCGAACATGAATTAGGTGATCATAGGATCAGCGAAGAAGAACGACGAGAGTTAAACGATAAATTGAGCGACTTAGACGCTGAAAGATCCGCCAGATTAGAAGCTGCAAAAACCAACGAACGAGGGCTCAAAAGTCAGATCGCTAGAATCAAAGAAACGATTAATAAAATATTAGGCGACGACACGACTCTGGCGGAAAAGATTAGAACTCTGTTTAGAGAACAAGGTGTGACCGTAGTGAGTATTTTAGCCGCTTTGAGTTTAGCCATCAGCACGATAGTGAGTAGCATCGTCGCTAGCGTGAGAGGTGCGGGTGCCCCACCCGCGCCATCGCCAACACCTGCACCAACACCAACACCAACACCAAAAGGCGGTATCAAAGAGTGGATTTCAAAACAACTCGCTAATTTTGCATCTGCTCTTCAAAAACTCGGAGTGAGCGCGTTGGGTGCTCTGCCGGGTATCATAGGCAGCGTACTCAGTTGGATATTTAACGCGCTGAGTAAGTCCGTATCGTGGTTGGCCGAACACGTGTGGGCTTTGTTTTTGGGTGTGGGAGCCTTGGTGTTTGCGTACCTGCAAAAACGATGGTAGTAATAGTTGTAATCAAGTTTAAACACAAAAAATAAGCCTTACCAGCACAAAGTTGGTAAGGCTTATTTTTTTTGTGAGATTAGAGTGTGACTTATCGCGTTGCCTCGTAGGCTAAAATACCCATGCCAACGATAGCTAATACTCCTACCGTCAACGATAATTTTTCGTCTTGGTGAGTTTGTAGTTTCGTGGGTTCTTGGGTTAAAACTGTAGGTGCTGGTGTTGGTGAGGGTGTAGGTGCTGGTGTTGGTGCTGGTGTTGGTGCTGGTGTTGGTGCTGGTGTTGGTGATACAACATCGTTCGTCATAGGCTCTGGGGGTGTTGGTGGCGCGACGTCATCGGTGTCATCAAAAGAGTCGTCCGGTTGAGGTTGTGAGTTTAAATCTAACACCAAACCAGTTTTCATACTCTGGGTAGCGATTTGAAGATTGTTGTTATAACCGTCGTGCGTTCCAACCCTCAAGTTCATATCCGATGGAATTAAATACAACCCCGGTTTCACAACAAAATTTAAAGGCGTTCTGGCATACTGCAAAGAGTCTTGAAATTGATCGATACTCGTTTCCATGTCGTCTACTGCATTGATGATATCTTCAACGATGACGTTAAATTGTCTCTGAGCGTCTAATCCGGTGCCCGGTGATAATACGCTCGTTTTTGTTTGAGCCTGCGCACCGAGTAAAGCGTACACGTAAGATCTGATCGATTCGTTGATCTTTATGATTCCCGCGGAGGTAAACGAACTCTTGGCGGGTATAAAATCTAACCAAGCCATTTTGACGATGTCGTCTTGTTCGAGATAACCCTTCCAATGCTTAAAAAAAGCATCGTGTTTTTTTTGATCGTCTAAACCCCAATTTTTATCACCCGTGGGGTTGATAAAATCGTCGAGTGTGGTCGTGTTTTTATCATAGTCTAACGGCAAGAGTAAAAATGATTTTGTTTTTTCGTTCCAAAGAAAAAGCCGACCTAAGCCATAAGTCTTTTGATCTCTCGTCTGTTTAAAAGACTTATTTTGATCGATGGCAAACGTCCGACAGATGTTGGTAAATGCTCCACGATCATAGGTGTTGCTGAGAGCGTCAAACGAGTCTTCTCCCGGTATTGCTACGGCCATGTCGTTTAATATCCTTCTCACCGTAAAGTATAGATGAAAATTAAATAAGGCTTTAACGTAACGGTTGTTCGAGTTTAAAATATCGATTCCAACACCACAGCCCGTTGTAGCGCAATAGATCGCAAAGTTTAACTGATTTTGATAAAAAGACATGGGGTCTATTTTCCAACGAAGTACAGCATCGTTGGTATTGAGGCGAGATATTTTATAGTCCGAGATTAAGTCGGGAAACGGGGTTAAAAACGTGTTAGACGCGTTGACTGTAATCTCGAGTTCGCCAGTGAGATACGGACTGTCTAGTACATGCGCTGGGGTGGTAGCTTGTCGTTTAGCTACATTTTGATTTACTTGTCTCGTTACCTGATCAGCTATCGATTGTATCTGCTTTTTTAACGACTTAAAATCACTCATTATTTTAGTTTCAGTTTTAATATAAAAAGACTTTAAAATAAATGCATTCGTTTCACTTGTTTCAAAATGAGCAGACGTTTAAATTAGAAGACGTCGTAGATAATTTAAACGGTCAAAAATCTATACGCGTAAAAAGGGTGTTGTTTAACGCAGGATATTTTAATATTTCCAGCGCCACGGAGATTGATTGGTTTACGCAAATAGATGGGAGACCCGCGTTTACCACAGATAAACCTCCCCCCATACCCGCGGAGTTTCTTTCAGATGTACACATAAGAACGCCGGATAGAGATTTTATAGAGCGATTGTTACCCGATATACCATACCACTTTTTAATTAACGATGAAAATGTTTTACAAAAAACTATAAACGATCTTATAAAAGCGTACGAAGACGATAGACTAGAATCCGTTTTAGAATCAAACAAAAGAAAAAGAGCTATTATAGCTGAACGGCGAGGGTTGATTTTAGCCGCCATGTCTTCAGAAATACCAAAAACTGAATTAGAACTTAATACGCTTCAATCTTTAGTAAGATTATTATATGTTAGAGAAAGAAAAATCTTTGAAGGTGAGGAATTGGCTTCAAAGTTTATTGAAGGAGAAATGGGTGCGAGCGAGTTGAGCGAGTTGAGAGATAGTAGGGAAGCAGGGGTAATTATCAGGGGAAGTCTTATCGTGACGGGTGAGGATTTAGATTTTATTCCTCCGAGTCATTTAGCGCCGTTGCCACTCGGAGTCACCGGTTCGGTCATCATAGCACCGGGGTGGTACGACGTCGATTGGTTCGATTTCATTTTAAATTCTATACCCGGGGTAAGTTTTCGAATATTTAGAGAATCTAAAAAGGTGACGTTGGTGATAACCGACGTAAATCTCAAATTGCGCTTGAACAGAGAAGTATCTCGATTACTCAATTTACCCAAAGGAAGACTGGTACCCAAAGTGGTGTATACGGGGTCTTACGACGTTAATCCGTTTAAATTTTTGTTTATTCGCTGCCCGCAATTAAGTACGAGTGAAAACTTTTTTAATGGTCGTCCTTCTGACATCTTAAAAATCGTACCCGTGGCTACGCGCAAACCCGATATTGATAGAGCCGAGGGATTCAAAAATCTTAAAAACGGTATAATCGACAAACTGACATTTTCTATCAGCGGTGAAAAAGGACAGGTATTCAACAACAAGGGTGAGGGTATCATTATCGAGTTGGAGATCTTTTAATTTTAAAATCTTTTTATATTAAAAACATGAGTGTAGATGGTAAGGCGTTATACCCCGATATTTCTGGAGATGTACTCCGATTAAATAGTAACGAAGAAACAAAAGTGTACAGACTAAAAAGATTGAAGAGATTCGATCTTTAATCTTGAAAGAGAGAGACCACCGAGAGCGCACTTATAAAAAAATAAAGAGAGTGATCGACACTATTAATTACGTAGAGATAGGATTAGAAGGATTGGGGGCTGTAGCGGGGGCTGTCAGTATTCCCGCTCTCTTGGGTGTTATATCAGCCCCCGTTGGATTGGTGCTAGAAGGAACGTTTATAGGCGCTTTTGGTGTAGATATTCTGCTTAGAATCGCGTCTAGGCGATTATCCGCCAAGCTGAAAAAGCACGACCAGATTAAAATATTAGCAGACTCCAAACTTAACACGATTGAAGAATACGTGTCTCAAGCCATCAACGACGGAGATATATCGCACGAAGAGTTCTTACTGATTACGAGAGAGCTCGCAAAATTTAACGAGCTTAAGCAAAAAATTAGAACAAAGACCAGCACAAAGCTTCAAAAGATTAAAAACGATACAGACTTTGAAAAAGAAGTTAAAAAACGGGTAGACGAACGGCTGGCAAAAGAAAAAAAATCTCTTATCGAAAAACTTACAAGTTCAAATTCTCGGTAAATAAACATTATGAAAGCGAACCACCGAGTTATACCTCTATTTCACCTCTTAGGGCTACGCCCTCGGCCCCGCCTTTATTGTAGTGGTCATCGTATCTTTTTAGTGCCTTATTAAATTGATTTTGAGTCACTTTAAATAAATCTCTAACTCGTTCTTTGTCTAATCCAGCTACATAATAAAAACACGCCGCTATTAACGAGCGTTTGACGCAACCGTTTCCCCTCAATGTTTTGTAATTAACGAGCTCGTTATATTTATTGATTGTTTCTTGGACATCTTCTAAGTCTTGCTCTGGACACACCGACAAAATAAGTTTCTCCACAGTTTTTCTTTTGTTTCTTTTTAAAATTGACCAATTGATACGATCTTCTTGCGCATTTTCTGCCGAAAAATCAAAGTAACGCGAGACTATTTCACCGCACGTTTCACAAACTAAAAAACCATTCTCGATGATTATATGGTGATCGCACTGATCTGTTTTATCAGATAGCTCGACGTTTTCACTCTGAAAAAGATTCATTTATTATAAATGATTAATTGTTTTAAATAAAGGTTTTTTTTTTAATGTATGATTGGCGCTCCATACCTTTCTGCTCATTTTATACTTTCCATACCATCAGCGCTCCATACATGACACAGAGCAAAGTGCAGCCCGCACAAAAAAAATTCAATTTGTCACGCTTTGTTGTTTTCAAAACTTGTTTGGGCCAGGTTTTAGTCTGTCACGCTATGTTGTTTTCAAAACTTGTTTGGGTCAGGTTTCAATCAGTCCCGCTATTGTTGGTTCCAAAAGCAAAGTCAATAAACCACCTACCATGCAGTGACTTTCAATCAGTCACGCTATTGTTGTTTCCAAGAGCAAAGTCAATAAACTGCCTACCATGCAGGACTGCAAAATTTCAATCTGTCACGCTTTTGTTGTTGTTTCCAAAAACTAGTTCATATCAGACGCCGCCCATTTTTTCGCTTCACTATATGAACCGACCGCTGTCAGAACAGACGTGTTTTTGGGTTTTAGCTTCTTACACCAATTCTACAAGGTAAGCGTTTTCTTTTTTTAGCGACCATGGAAAATAATGATGTACCAATGGAAGATTGTTATAACTGGAGTCGAGAGGACTTACAAATTATAGAGTCACATGTAAAATATCACCAAGAAATGCTGACATTTCTTGGTGATTTGAAACTAAATGGCCCAACTGATCAAATCATACCGATAAAACCGAGAGGAAATATAAAGTCTCTTTTGGGTCAAACTACATGTAAAGCAAAATCTAAGCTAACCGGCGATGACCTACACAGGCATCTGCTGAGTAAGGTACAGCACTCTTCTCAACCGAACAGTTTCCCTTTGTATAGAAACTTAGACACTATAAAAACCTTAGGGGAATCTGTTCCGCATCTAGTTTCTGGCTATGAGGGTATTGGTCAGCGTCAGGCTTCTATAATCGGTATTTACATCAAGTATGGAAAGTTGCTTGATGCTGTTCATTGCCTTCATAGTCGAGAAAAACCAATAACATCTTGGGAAGAGTGGCTTAAACAAAATGTAGGCATTCACAGAGCTTATGCCAACAAAATACGTCTTGTAGCAAATTTATTAAAAAATTACCCTTTGTTTGACCAATTAGGAGTTCCATTCAAAACAATCTACAATCTTAGAAATGAAATTAGGATAATGTTACTAGACCCACATGTCGCTTATATTTGGCAGCAAACTACGGTATAATTATTTGTGTTGGCATAAACTCGTTGAATTCTTATATTTTGTAAATTTAATTTTGTATGATTTGATCAGTTGGGTGACGGTCGCTAAAAAAAGAAACCGCTTATTTTTGGCATAAAAGTCCAATCTGTGCGGTATACCCAATTCAAACTTTTTTAATTTGCCGCATCGATGCTTATATATCCATATCTGTTCATTGCCTTATGCCATACCAAACCATTTTTTAATTTACCGCTTTATGCACAAGTGTAAAGAGACTATATACAGTCCATATTGACTGATTCCAGCAGACAATATGTATCTAAAGATTCCCACGAGTGTAACAAAAGAGCACAAATTTTCAATTTATTACGCTTCGTTGATCTGTACCTGATGAACAAAGGCATCTGACTTTCTCATGGAACCATGTCAACAAAAGTGAGTCTGGCCACCAGCATTCATCAAATACATCAGTCAACCCCACACTAAGCAGTGACGTCAGGAAAAACAATCAACTCGCGCCCTGCGGGAGCTAGTATAGCAACCGTCTCTGTGACTGAGCGTTTATCCATGTTTTACAGTCTGGTATACGGACACGCCAACACAGGACCAGGAGCGTGCTTATTCAAAAACATCAGTCAACCTTACACAGAGCAGTGACGTCAGGATAACTTGCGCCCCGCGGGAGCCAGTATATCAACCATCTCCATGACTGAGCGTTTATCCATGGTATACAGTCTGATATACGGACACGCCGACACAGGACCAATATCTACTGACAGCCTGGTATATAGAGACGCCAAGTCACAAAGAGAACTTTAACTTGTCAACAAAAGTCATCTGGCCATCAGCAATCACCAAATACTGACATCACAAGTTGACAAGTAATCGTCTGTTGTCAACCCTACACAATATTGATGTAGTGATGCCATTGTCGTCAAGCTAAAACAATCAAGTGGTTCCCAAAGAATAGCCACCGCCTCGTCAATAAGCGTTTATACAGACACGCCAACATAGGACTATAGCATCGTGCATCGTCAAAATTTATGTTTACATGCTGTGCAACTGCCATGATCTACTGGCGTATCTATTGACTGTACTGCTGGTTGAGAGACTTTGAAAGACATTTGATCATATTGTCTGCTTTTAATTATCAGTGTGTATAGAGGTTTTAATGTAAATAACCCTGCTCCAAGTGTTTCGGAATAGCGTAATTTTTGTTTAATAAATTTAATGTAGATATGATTTCTGTTTTGTCTAATTATATTTTGAACGTCTGACTCTTTTTAATATTATGGAGGGTGTTGGTTAATATTTACAAAAGAAAAAGTTTTAGAGGGCGCTGTTTATAAGTGGGCGGGGGAGAGTGAGGATTTTGATCTGGTACCTGGAGAGACAGATCTTCAAGACGAGAGATATTAGTCCCCGGTTTTGGCGTGGGGCTGAGACTGAGATATTGGGAGGGAGATCATTGGGAGGGGGTGGGTGGGGCAGAGGGTGGGGCCAGGGGTCAGAGATTATTGGAGAAGGGGGATAATGGGGGGGTAAAGTCTGGTACCCTCCCATCTCATACTACTCGGAGACTTTTTTTTTGGCCTATTAAGGAGGGTACTCGTTTCTATTTTTTTTCTAAGGGTGGTCGCCGATAAAGCAGTGTTGGAAGACATGGGAAACATTGATTAGCTAAACAATTTGGCCACGTAGGACAAACAAACGTTATAGTTATATAAATTCAACACTAAAGGTATAATATATAAAAACATCGCTTTCGTTCATTCTTTCGTTTGAAGCAACAAAATTGCTAAAAATCTTAAGAAGGGTGCATAAGAACTAACTTGTTGACATTTCAGCTCATTGGAAATTATATACATTTTTGAGAAACCAGAGAAAACGTTCCTTGGGTCTCGCAACTGGATTCCATTTGCTAAAAAACTGTGCACGCGGGCACATTTTTGTTAACAACCTTCAATAATTGTTTTCTTTCAAATAATACAATTTCAGGCGGAATAAGTTCACAGGGTATTTGGTGCCAATCTTATCTTCAATTTGAGCAGGATTTTCGTAGGCACGTGACTGGACATTACAGATGTCCCTACGTGCCTATAACTACAAAGAAGTCAAGACTTACGCGGCCTTGGACATTTAGATGGGAGTGTAAGACTGAAATGAAACGTTAAATCTAAAAAAAAAAAAAAGAGTGGGCAACGGAGGTACCGAAATCTGCAAAAAGTACGTCACTGATGACACCGGCGGATAGAGGACATCTTGTTTGTGTACGATGAAGAAGGTCATTAAAAAAAACCCGATTATCAACTCATAAAGGCAGCGTGCTTTTTTAGAAGTGTATGAGAAACACAATGGGACAAAACAGTAAAAATACAAACTATGCCATCAGTTTTATCTTCATTAGCGGACGTGAGAAATTACTTCTAGTGCTCGCAGCACATTGTCCTCACAGCAATATTACATATTAACGTGGGGGCGAGAAATCTCCAGCTTATCAAATTAGCCAAGCTGACAAAGTTATTACATCTCACGGACAAAGCGTAATGAAAAATAGAGTCCATTTTCGCCTCGCCTCTTTTTTTCGAGTCTTGTTTTGTAGGTTTGTCCCTGCTAAGCAATGCGACAAGGATATCTAATTTCCTTTGTCATTGCAGTAGGCATATGCATGCAGTCCTATTCTGTAATTCTAACATCTCACTAAATTCCTTGGCGAAGTTTTTAATGAAGACCAATACCTATTCATCTGTCTTTTAGCTTGAGGACATAATTCCACTTCGATTCTTATCAAAAGCATATACGAGTACACCATAAGCTCTTACTTTGTTCCTAAAATTGGTGTTTATGGGAAAGACGCTATCTGAAACTTAGACCACACAAGATTTACACTCGGTTTGAAAAAGCGCCCCTGTAGGTACAGCTTTTTGGGACCGGTAAACTGCCACCACTCGATTTCATCAGTCTCATGCAAAACATATAAACAAGTCGTTTTGATTATTACAGGAGTTTTCTCGGATGCATTTTGTTTAGAGATTATCCCACTGATAGGATCGAAACTAAGTTAATCCAGTCAGTAAGAAGTTTACAGCATTTTTTTTCATTAAGTTTCTTTTTGTCCCAATTCCCATTTCTTAGGTTAAACGTGTTTACTTTGTGCCTTTTTGCTCAAAACGCAAAGTGGAAGAGTTTAAAGAGCTCAGAAATGCTGCAGCGCCCGAAGCGCCAATGAGCTGAGAAAGGCTACAGTGCTCCCAGCGCCAGAAAGTACAATAAAACCCTTTTGCCACGTCTCGTTGAGGTCTCGGGGGGGGGGGGGATCTAACGCTTTACTGACATTTAACGCAACGTGCTGGGTTGTATGGGCAAGAGGTTTCAATACCGTCTACAACAAAATGTGTGGGGAAAAAATACTGTTGAAGTCGTTCGGCAGCCAGGTGATTATTGCGTGTGCGTGAACAAAAGAGGTCGCCCTGATTTCTGTCTGTGACACGACGATTTTAAGGGTGTAACCCTGTATTAAAATTCCCATAATCACTAGTGCTAACTGCCCATACTTCAAAATTCTTTTAAAAATACTCAGAACTCTCACAGGTATTTAAGCTGCACAGAAAAATGATGATCAACATGTCATCTAATTTTTTTGTTCATTTTATGGTAGGTTAAGCATTGAATTTTCGAGATATTCTCACCCAAAGAAGACGACCCCTATTTTTCCCAAAGCGGAAAAAAATCTTGAAAAAATCCCTCCACAACACAGCAAAATGAAAATAGCGCCCTTTTCGAGCCCAGTTGCATCCAAAATGCTCAGAATTGGAAGCCCATGTAAGTCCGGGCCAGGTCCGGACCCCCCCCCCAGCCCTGTCAAAATTTTTTTCCATACAAACTCTAAACAAATAAGTCGACCCCCCCCCCCCCCCCCCCCCCGCTGTGACACCCAAAAAAGTTATACTGGTATAATGTTTGCCTGTTCAAAATACGGTACACCATTCTGTAATCTAGTGTTGATAATCATCGAATTTGAACAGCGCCCCCTATTGAAATATGGTACCAGCCCCCCCCCCCCCCCCCCCACCCTCCCCCAGTTTTTGATTTTACGGCGGCCAAGTGTCCGGAGAAAAAAAACCTGTGTACATTTTCATAATTTTTGGCTGATGAAACCCCCCCCCCCCCGGTGAAAATTCCTGGATCCGACCCTGCCACTCAAACAAAGCGGGACAAGAGGTTGGAAACTGGCAGATTTTTCTCCCATGGCGTTTTGGGTTTTCTCCGGCAACAATTACCAACATGTCCGGGAGCCCCACCGCGTCGAAATGGACTAATCGAGATGTGACGCTGGGGGTACGGCGAGGACAGCAATTTGCAGTGCTTGCGCAATTATGGTTCAATCAATCCCCTGGTCGTTGTAGCTACGTCACTTATTCAAACAGAAAACAAATATAAACATGTCATGGTGTTGGCAGCATATTTTACGATGACTTCACATTGATTACAGCTCTAACAAAATAACTCAAATTTGACGCTTCAAGGTGCCTCATTTTATTTAACGAATAATAATTCAAAACACATCAAGTTACATATACGCCACTGACCTGCCCAACAACAATGCTGGAAGATCACCATCTTTGCTTTCTGTACCATGAAATCGGTGGTCAAAAATGATATTCAAAGTCACTTTATTGATAACTCTATTTTTCTGACACGTAAGTTATAAAAGTATCTAGTAGATATCTAGTTTGTTTCCTTTTGTCATTTCTGTTGGTTGAAAAATAGCTTTTGTGACTTGTCTTTTGTTGCATCTTCAATATTGTTTTTTTTAATGATAATTTCAACATGAATAGGATTAGTTCAGAAAGTTTCTTTTTAACCCTTAAAAGTTAAAGATATAAAAGTATTTTGAAGAAAAATCTATTTTTTAGCGATAATTAAATTCTTTATTCCATTCCAACGGACAACATGAGAAAGTTTCAAAATAACCTTAATAAATCCAAGTCTCAGAAAATTTCCTTCATTTTATGCCCAAAAAAATCAAAAATGATGATTTCTAATTTTACCAATTTTGGTTTTAAAATTGATTCCCCGTGCAATACAATTGTACATGTATTTAAAATTTCGCTTCGAGTAAATGGAGTTTTGAACTGCTTACAAAAACAATCCCCCACCATTAAAAACGACAGAAGCGTAAAATTCACGCTTGAAAACAACAAATTACGTACAGACACTTAGGTGGCAGTTTAAGTGATTTGATAAACAGGTGCCACACTGGAAAAACGTCTCACTCAAAAATATCATTAACAGTTGCGATGGCAACACATTTATATAGACCCTAGACTATAAGAGAACATCACTATTCGGCAAACGTTTGCTGGCATCATCACTTACCCAATCCGACGTCTAGACAAGTTGAAGCTATGGTACATTTAACAAGCTGCTGTCAATCGTTAATCCACGGCTGTCAAACTTTTTTACTACATAGAAATGACGATATTTATATAATTTTTTTTCGTGATGATTAATGCCCGGATCGTATACTAACTTTTATCCAACTTTATTTTTTATTCTTGTGTAGGTTTAATGGGATATTTTTTTCATGGATAATAACAAAATGTGCGAAAAGTGCGGGTGTTCATTTTGTTTTTAATTAATTTGTGTACTGAATTAAATAACTTTTCATGTGTGAATAAGTTAATGAAGGAAATGACTGCGCTCTTCCAACACGTATGTATACATTTTACGCCCATTCTCACAGTGTGAAATTCCTTCATGTTTGTGGTGCAAAAAAAGTGAAATTAAATGTAATATACAACATTGTTTTACAAACATCAAAAGCATCAAATTATTATGAAATACTTTATACTTGACTGTAAGTGAATGACAGTCTCAAGCATCCTGTGAAATCATGGCACCTGGTGTGCTGTCATATTCAAGAAAAGTGGAATTTTTGTATCAATTACCAACTATGGTCGGTCGACCATGCCCTTTTTAAAAAACCTGACGTTTTGCGAATACTGCCCCCAATTTACCAAAGTTAGTTAGTCCATATTTTGTTTGCAATCGGTTACACATCTGTGAATGGGTGCAAGCCAGCTATAGTCTGGTTGCCTGACCTGACAATTCACTGACGTCTACAAATTGCTCCGTTTCGTAAAGTAGGGCCAGGAAACAGACAACAGGAACAGCATGTTTTTCTTGGTTTTTCCAACATTATGAACACAAAACATTAAACAGGTCAGTGCAACAATATATTTGCTATAAAGTACAACACCCAATTGCCAAATCCATTAATTTTTCTGAAAATTACAACGAAAGCAAGTTATATATAGTAACTTGCATTGAAACCTATAAGTAGTGCGAGATTTGTGAGAAGCCTTGAGGGAAATGGCACTGGTCCCCCTCCTGGTCCTTGAATGACCAACACAATACAGGCCGTTATAAGCATTTGTTTATCTTGTGCAAGAAGATTGATTGGTGCATTGTCAGACATTTTGTCCAATATAGCACTGTGCCAAAAATCAGGTTTGGTAGATAATGCACGGTAAAATACAACTAATAATGGGTCAGCTAGTCCTATATAACAGGACTTTAAAATTTAAGCAATTCGGGCTCACATAGGCCTAAGTGTCTTCAGAGTTTCGGTTTCTGCCCCATCTGATGACTTCGACCGTTGGTAACATTTGTGCTTGATAGAATTTGAATGGTGCTCATACAGATTTGAGCCGAAATTCTAATACATGACCGGATCGAGGATTGAGCCTATGGTTCTTGATGAGAACACCCATCCCCGAATTCCCTGTTGGTCTGAAACTCGCAAAAGGTCCCGCACAGGAAAGCTCAGGAAGCTCCGTTTCTAGGATTCCACTGGCGAGTGGCTGCCTCGGAGGTCTGGAGCGAGTCCCCCTCAGCCTGGCCTCCCCGCCCAATCAGGGACTGGAACCCACGTCGGAACTGCTTGTACTTGAAGGCATAGATGAAAGGATTGACGCAAGAATTGATGGCCACCAGAGAGACGGAAATGATGTAAATGGCCCCGGAGAAGTCCAGACTCCAGCCGAAGTTGAACATGAAAAAGATGACCTGGTTCGGGGTCCAGCACACCAGGAAAGTAGCGAATACCATCACGAGGGTCTTGAAGACGTTACGGCGGGCTCGCAGCAGGGACTGCTCTGGGGCCTCGACGCTCGAGGCCGCCGTGCTCGCTCCAGAATGGACGGTAGCTGATACGGTCGGGGCGATGTTGCCGATGCGAGTGGCGCTTCGTTTCAGCTCCACCGTCATGTGGGAGTAGACGAACACCATAAAGATCGCTGGGATGAAGAACTTGAACATGATGAAGACGATGCCCAGGGCTCGAGAGCTGATCGCGGAGGAGTAGAAACATTTGCCGTCTTCGAAGGTGTTGACTGCTGCCGTGTAGGCGCCGTCCAGAATCAGTCCCGATAGCCAGATGATGACCAGCATCAGAACTACAGTTTTATTGGTATAGAGACGAGCGTATCGGAAAGGGTAGACTATGGCCACGTAGCGCTCGCATGTCAGCGAGAGCAGGTTGACGGAGGAGGAGGTGAAACAAGCCCACATGAGCAGATTAGATAGCCAGATGTGACAGGCTACGTGATAACCCAGGGTGTCCGGTAGGGGGTCGGGAGCCGCAATGTTGCTGCTCAGTATCAGGAAGAGCGAGCCCAGGAAATCTACCACAGCCTGGTTGCAGATGAAAGCATTGGTCAGGGTGTGCATGAACTCCACTTTGTAAATAACCGTAGCCACGACGGTGTTGCCAATCAGGCCAAGCAGCCCAACGAGTGTCTTGATAATGCGGAGGATCAGCAGAGGCTCTGCCATGCTTTTTGCTCCGGGTTCACCAGTGAGTTTGATCTCTGAGTTCAGAACGTCACGGCTTACACGGCAGGCCGCCGGTCTTGCCAGCGGAGATCGTCGAGATAGGTATCGATCTATGCAAAATCATTTGGTTTCAAGTCACAGCTAGCAGTTTATATATCTCAAGTAAACCACATCATGCTATTCTTAAAACACTGTCTACGAGGCCTGCTTGATATGAATATTCATTGTCGTCAGGATTGGGGTCACTGTAAATGCGCACTTCAGCCGAATACCAAACGAGTTTGCGCACAGACCTAGCTACCTATAAGTACATGTAATAAGAAACAGGCGCACGCGGATCGATCACCGTAAACTATTGCGCCCGCACATGAAAACATTTTACGCGATGACATAACCATGTGACTATGGTAAATAAGTTATGTATACGGCAAATTCTATATACTGTGACTAAAACCAATTTATTTGTGAAAAGGCTTTTTTAATTTCATTAGTATAATAATTTGGTGTGTACACTATATACCAAAGGTATCCAAAGCGCTTCACATTATACCCCTATTCAGCAGGCCTTTTGGCAGCAGCTTCAGATCAGCGCATTCTGGTCTCTACCTTCACAGGTACCCATTTATACTCCCGGATAGAGAGAGGTAATTGTAGCAAAGTGTCTTGCCCAAGAACACAAGCACCATGTTCCCCGTCCGGGTTCGAACCCACGTACCACGACACGTGAGTTAAACACCGTGCCATTGGACCACGGCGCTATTCCTTTGAAATGAAGACGCATGTATTAAATATTAATTTTGCATTTTTTCAAAGGCCCTTTTTGGGGGGTTTGGGTTGGTTATAGCCTATTCGCCAACGGGATGCTGTTCTGTCAAGTCAGGCTGTTCTGTCAAGTCAGTTATTTATCATGTATGGTCATTAGACAGCGATGTATGCAAGATAACATCGTCATTATGTCTCGCTAATGTCCATTATCAAATCGGAGTATTAACAAGAACGATCTGTATTAATGACGACGTCCGTTTGCGATGAAAATAAAATTATATAATGCATGTGGGGTTTTTTTCAATTTGTATATTTACAGCAATACAAAAGAGGATAAGAGGATAAGATCCGCCACGTTCAATTATTTCGAATTATTTGATACAGCCTCACAATAACCCGGACGTTCCTTTTGTGCATTCGAGAGCTACAGCAAGCCAAATTAAAAGCCTTTTATCAGAGCATTCTATATCTAGAAGCCCCCAAACCGAAAAAGAAATCATACTCAAGTATTGAAAATTCGTTCGGAAAAAAACTGCATTGGTTGAAGGACATTGCTAATGCATCTGTTATATTAAGGACATTTTGTTTTATGCTTTCTTAACGTCGTTTTAATGACATCCGATCGAATAGTTTTTTTTTCTGATATTACTTTAATATAATAGGCCTGTATGCATATCTCGTAAAGCTATTTCTGATTTCAAAGAACCGAACAACCCTTCTTGTCAGTAGTTGAGTTTGTCACGGCCCAAATCGCAATTATTGACGTACATCGTTTTCGGGAACATCTTAAAATGTCACAACCGTAGTTCTGAACAAACACGGCAAAACTCGTCCGTGTAAAACCGTCCGCACAAACTCTAGTATGTCTGCGGGCAAGTCACTCGACCGATTGCACGTTATGCATTTATACATTGACTTGGAAACACATCGATATTTTTTTATAACTACATAAGTCCAATTTGATATTTCAAATTTGTTATTATGCTAGTTTAATAAGCCTAAGATATTTTTAAATTCTGTATACCATAACAACATTATTTTTGGCGTTTGTTTTGAGTCTGAGTTCAGACTGAAAGCAGTCCATTGATTATATGCACTGAAGTCTATATACGACGCCACAGACTGTAAAATTCTTTCTTTGCAAAATAGTTCGTCTGATCTTGCCGACTGCACGTATGGACACAAATGTTGAAAAAGCATGCGGCATATTAAGACGGCTTTTGTGGCTTAAGGTTACAAATCCGTCGAGGCCGTTTCTATTTTCGTTCCCTCAAAGTTCCTCCTAACAATACAGACTAAAACCCCAGCAACAATCGTATATACTTGAATTGAGGATTTTCAGATTATACACTAAAAATTGTGTTTCATGTGCTCGTGTAACCAGAGGTCTCGTTAGGGCAGCAGACCAGTAAATCGATTCCCATAGACACCGATAATAAATACCCTATGTACTTAGAAAAATCAGGGAAAATACTCACAATTATTATTGGCACAGGTGTTCAAGATATACATGAAATTAAAGCTTGATTTACTGTTGATTTGTTTCTGTTTTTGTTTCAAGGTTGTTGGGTTGTTTGTTTGATTTGTTTTTTTTTTGTACGCCATAACTCAAAAAGGGCTATTTGGCTCAACCCATGCTCTATATGACAGCAGCGCTTTCAACCTGTGTCTTCTCAGGATTTGTGCTTACACACACAAGAAAAGGGGCCAGTCGCAACAAAAGTCCCTTTCTCGTTTCTGTGTCAGCTATTGCTGATCGATACTTGACATTTCATTCGACGCATAACAAAAATCATGCAGAAACCGACGTCGTGCGTCAATGTTGAATGGCTCAAAGCCGAAAGCTGAAGGGAATGGTAAACCGAAATGGCCTTGTCGCCCCGAGCAAAGGCGAAGAAAGTCGGGCATCTTCTGCCTTTCGGCCAGCCAGAACAACAGAAAGCAATTGAAGTTTTTTGCTTGCAAGAGTTTGCTTGCAAGGTGTTTTTCACGTATCGGGAGATTTGTTCTGATTGTCGCTGCAAGCTTGAGGTGCATAAATGCAAAACCAATCTGCATTTTAAAGTAAGTTTGTGTGTTGCAACCGAGTAGGGAGTAAGATTTATCGTTAAACTTTCAAGTGCCCTACCTTTTACATAGCTAGGGTATGGCTGTTGACAACGCTGGAACATTTCCTCGGTTTCTTTTTGTTGTTGTTGCTCTTTTCCCCCTCTCATCTATTTCTAGAAGTTTGTCCTCATGAGGATCTGCAAGTAAGTAGGTGGGGACAAATATATGGTTTCAAAACGTTTGAAGGGGTAATACTCCCCCTTTTTCCTCTCCCACATTTCTGCCGCCTATGGTTGCAGATGCAGAAGTTGTGGACCTTCACGATTGACAGTAAACAGAGTTGCAATAGCCCTACAGAATCGTAATTTTCGCAATTAATTGGGCCGGATCCACTAACTCGCCGAGGCTAACAAGCAAGCAGAGGGGTGCAGACCAGTAAATCGGTCCGAAATTGCCTGCGCCGGCCAAATCACGATTTGCATGCCCTCAAAATCTTCGGTATTTGGGCATGCTTTGGGCCATGAACTTGAGGGTTTGTAAAAAATATGGGTGGAAGCCGTGCACAGGACTGGGAGCTTGCCGTTCTGTGTAATTTTGATGTAATTTGGACCCTAAAAGCGCTCTATTTTGCAATGGAGTGTAGGCATCGTTTTTCAAAATGGCGATGGGCTTCAGGACTATTTTCAGGGGTGATCATCTTCAGATGGAAATTTCTCCTAAAAGTCATCAGTTGACCCCCCGAAAATTGAAAAGAAAATGAAAGATGATGAAATAAGCTTTAATTTGATGTGCGTCTCGAACACCTTGGAGAGTTATGAGTATTTTTCCCGAATTTTTGAAGTGGGAGCATTTACCATTGGGGTCTATGGAAGTTTATTTACTGGTCTGCTACCAGAGCCGCGTTGAAATGGGAGACTTTTGAGATCTTTGGTGGCAGCCATTGTGTCCTGATAATGGAGATCTGTCAATGGTGGCAGCAAACACGCCCGTCCTTTTCAATACATGTTTGCTTCATGTGTTAACCAATGTGCGCGCGTTCAAAAGGGCGCAAATAATAGTGTGTGTGCTGCCACCAAGCGTTCAATTCAAAAGTTTCACATTACTTGTAACCCTTTTAAAAGTGATTTTTCTGTCACTTGAACCAAACAATTAATGGTGCAAGCTAGGTCATTTATATTGCGTATAGGCAACGAATATAAGTGCGTCACCGGGCGACGTGCGAAAGCGTAATTAGTCATCTGGGAAATGATTAGTATTTTATATCTGATTAAGTATAACGATCATCCGATGACGGGCCAAAGGGATCAACACAGGGTCCCCATGCCTTTCCGTGTTTCGACACATCGCAAATAAATTCATTTGCTTTTAGTTCCAATGGCTATTATCCTAGCAAGGTAAATATTATTCACTTTTGAATGAGATATCAAACAAAATCCACCGACGTTTAGTTATTGAACTATTTCTTCACAAAATTCGAATTATTGGCTGCCAGAGAATAATTCGAATCTCGCAAAACATTAAATCAGAAAATTCGTTAGGGCCCAAACAAATCCATTTTTTTTTAAAAGCACGAGGTACGGAACTTAAAAAAAATAGCCATGACAATATGAATATATTAGTTAATTTATTAACATTAACTTGAATGTTAATGTATGTTTATATCAATGGACTTCAGGATCAGTGCACGTGCCATAATTTGTTGTCCGAAACTCCGAATCCATCGATATAATCTCGACCAGATTTTTAAAATAGTTTTTTTAATTCATGCATTTTTGTTTTTGGGTGGGTGAGTTGCAGGTGCGGTTCTAGAACCAATATTTTTGGGGGGCTAGCACGGTGGATCCAGAATTTTTTCAGGGAGGCGTGCTGAAATGTTGACCGGTTATTTTTTCCAGACACTTAGGCCTCCGAAAATCAATAGGGGGGGGGGGGGGGGGGCTCATGCCATATTTTCAATGGGGAGCGCCAATAAAATCCTAAAATCATTCACAATATATTAACTAATGCACCCTTGTCACGGCTATTTCTTCTTTAGGGGGAGACCGTTCGCATGTACATCACAATCCTTCTTTTTGATAATGCAATTTTTTTTTTTACGGAATTTATTTTGGGGGGGCTAGACAAAATTTGGGGGGGCTACAGCCCCCCCCCCCTAGCCCCCCCGTAGAACCGCGCCTGGTGAGTTGGGTTCAAAACCACAGGGACGTACAGTTTGCGTTCTTGGATAGAAGCGTCAGAGATGTTGTTGACGTATAATGCTGACGTTATGACCACAATCTTCTTACTCTCAACCATCACAGCAGGGACTGCGGCCTGCGGCGATATTGTTTTCCAAAATTCCATGAACAATTGAGGTAATCAGAATTCGATTACAATCCAGTTTCAGTTGCGAAACACTCAAGCCCGATGTTTTTGACATTTTGACTAATTGTGTTTTATCATGCGTTCCCTTCGATGACTAAAACACAAACAAGACAGAAAGAAAACGCAGCGGTAAAAAGAAGACGGAAAGTACTGATCTTAATGAGTGTCGAAAATAGCTTCGATTTGAACGAAAGCCACTTGGGATATTTGGGAAGTTACTGAGAAAATGTCGCCCCAGAGTACTGAGAACAAATTTAATTTAGCTGAGGGCAATTAGGCCTAATAATAGAGCACAATATGCCTAGGCCTTATGTCTTATTTCAGGTGGATAATTATTCACGGTGGACGGTGTTTATACACAATGGCGGTACGAGCTCCACGTCAGTGGCGCACCCGGGGGGGGGGGGCGCTTGTCATTTTTTGCTTATTTTGTTTCTTTTCAGTCCCACGATTTGACTTTGGTGATATGTATGTGGCCTATTTTCGAGTAGAATAAAGGGGTGTAAGTGGCGCCACCAACGTCAAAATACTCAACCCCCCCCAAAAAAAAAACCCAAACAAACAAAAAAACACATTTTTTTTCTGCTGCCCAAAAATTTGGACAAAACTTTTTGAAACATTTTAACTTCTAAAAAAGTTGAAAACAATAAATACAAATTACGGTGAGCCCCCCCCCCCCCCACCCAGCCAAATCCTGGTGGTGAAGATGGTATAGCGCCGCGTGTGCACCACTGCACTGCTCCAGGCTAATCGAATTTCGTTAACAGCTGGTTTAAAGTTTGAGCATGTTTCATGCCTGATCACTTGAAAAGAAAACAGATCCAGGCATTTTGCCTAGCTGTACTGTCACTTAGGCAAAAAAATATTATTGCTATATGATGTTCATCTAGTTGTAAAACGTCGTATACTGGCCAAGGTAATTTCATACACACTTTCCTCCAACAAATGGGCCTAGGCCTACACTATTTTTTTTTGCATTCCTTGAAACAAACAAAATAGCGTAACTTTAACTCAACCTACTTGCAATCAAGTTGAATTGAAACGCACTTACGTATCTAGGTCAATTATTTTCAGCCATAAAACAGCCGTCGACCGCTAAACCAAAATGGCGACGTTCAGCGGCTTTATCCTCGCAGTTGGGTTTTTGGGACTTGCACATGCCGGTTATTCCGCTGCCCAGCGTAAGTTAAACATCACCACCTCGTCCTTCAAGCTGTATAGCATTGCTCGTTTGAAAAGCGTTATGGTTTGTCGATGGGATAGTGTAAAAATAAATCGTTTTCTTTCATTGTGTACGACCTGACGAGAGCGAGCATGCATCATCATTCATTTGCGCAATATGAAAACGCCCTCTAACGTTTTGAGTGGCATGTTTTTATGGACTTTCTTTCGAGCCTACTAACAAAATAAATTTGATCCCTGTTAAAAAAGGCTTTTATCGTTTCAAAATGACTTCTACAAAAAGTACAACCTAAAACAATATTCTGTTCCTAGGTTTTCAAGATTTTCAACTGTATTCTGAATTTTTGAATATAATTTTTTATGACATTCTTAAAATCACTCGGACTTTATTTGGGACAGACCGTACCACTGTGGGAGTTTGCTAGGGACATTCAGACCCATTGCCGACGACACTTGACGCTCATGTCAAGCGCTATGGCTTTGTGCACATTCAGAATAAACTTAGTCCTGCATACTTTGCCCCATCAGCCCATACGCTGTATGCGCACGTGTCGTGGTATGCGCACGTGTCGTGGTACTGTGTGCCGTCCATTGCCAATTGAGCTCTCTCTCGCAAAAGGCGCCATCTTCTGTTCCTGGACGGAGTCCATTGTCGAAAAGTCTGCAGAACTGTAACAGATGTACATGATTTAATGCACGTTTTTTGGCCATATTAATTTCCAGTGTGCACATTTTGACTTATAAATACGCTTGTCTCATTTCAGACAGAACGTATTTGCGGTTAACAGAGCAGGAGTTCACCAGATTACCCATTGATGTGAGTACAACGGCCTCATTCTTTATCAACCATTAGGCCTATTTTCCCAGATCTTTCAAAATCCAACAATTGAGGACCAAGTTTTTTGTGAACAGAAATTATTTTGCCAAATGAATGATTGGTGTTCTTTTACAGTGGAGAGTCTTGGAGGATGCACTGAAATTCAAAGAAAAAATGCGTGAGGTTTTAATTCATACATATGCACATGAATGTACTGTATTTCATAAATATTATGAGCTGATCATGAAATGGGACATGGTTGAACCTTTTTGAAAATTGTTTAAAATCACAGATAGTTTGCCAGGGTCTGGTTAGTCTTCTGATCACCATATACGGCGTGTTGAACATAGCCGGGCAGTTCCGTGGAATCAAAGCAATGGCTGACATGGAAAAGAAGTAAGTGATCAATCATTAATTGACTAAAGTGAAAGCAAGTTTCTTGATGTTCTCGATAAATCGAGATAGAAGTTTAAAAAAATTCTAAGGGAGTGATATTTAGAGCAACACAGGAACAAATTTTGTCAACGTTTTTTAGTAAAACCTAGTCTCGGATCTGCTTATTATATTTCATTTGAATAATTTATTCCGACGGTTTTAAAAGTTTGATTGATATTTTTTAGCAATGCAGAGATTTGTACACACGCAATTTTATTTCATCGGCTGAAATTACTTCCAATTTTAAAAGACTAAATATTACACCAATTTCGATGATTCACTCAAATGTTGCAAAACCCGTGCTGGATTAGATTACTACTTCCTAATATACAAGAGGCACTGCAAGTAAACAGAATTAAATCGATTGTCTGACGGCAGTGGGGCTCAGCTGTTTATTCTATCCCCAAGGCTCATTGATTGAACCCATGTAATCCACAGAACATGATGATCGAAACTCTAAGAAAACAGCAGCGTTTGGAAAGCATGACCAAACCTTGAGATTAAAGTGCTGTTTATTTGCACATTTACTTGAGCCTCAATTTGTTGGGAAATGAATTTTACACTGGAGCATATTTGTAGCAAATATCTATTCCCCAAAAATGTATAAAAACTATGAGACATCCGTTTTTGGTAAAAATGTTGCAAAGTGCACTCTTTTACACATTGAAAATGTTGCGTGCTATTCCTAACAACTGAGGGTGCTGTTGCTGTGGTCATGTGGTGTCACTTTTTAGGAATACACTCTTTGGATTAGGGTTTTTCTCTTCAAATTTTAAACCCAAAATTCTGCTTATAGAAAAGTGTTCTTATCGTCTTACTGTCATGTACTGAAACAATGAATCACGTAAGGCAGAACAGTAATCATAGCAAACCCCTACATTTTCAGTGACTTTTTGTGCTGAAGCAGATGTGAAACTGAAGGCTCTGCCTTGAATTAACATCACAGTTTTGGTCATGAATATGGAGATTTACATTAGCATTAAAACCAAACAGGCACCAAACCGCCCTTAAAATGGCAATTGGAGGATTAAAAATAAATTAAAACTTGAACACAAAGGTTTATTTCAAAGATTGCATATAAAATATTTCCATTACGTGTACATGGGTCCTGGTAACTTCGATTAATTTCCTTTTTTTGGTTGGTTAATCAGATCTTTTGACACCGTGGGCAACAGACCATCCTTCTTCATGTTCCGGCACCGCGGCCAGGCCATGTTTGGCCTGAACCCAACCGGCAACAAAAACGTGGAAACGTTAGAGCCAGCCACGTGATGGACAAAGAAGGATAACGAGCTGGTTTGTCAAGAATACTTCATACATCATGGCCCCCAAACAAAACTGTGCAGACTCACATTGGCTGAATAGGAAAGCCGTTTAGTAGGAATTGATTAATTTATTTATTGAATTTGCATTTCAGATTTGATTAAGCAATACTTGCTGTAGAAAACAAGGTGGGGGCAGACGGCTATTGCTATAAAACAATCCCGAGAATTTTTGTAAAAAAATTGTTGTCAAATACATGTATAGTCTATGAATAATCTTTAAATACATGTATTTGGAGGTGGAAAGCAGTGCAGTAAAAGAAAGAGAAAACACCAACCACTTGTTAGCAATTTATGATTTGCTGAAATCGTTTCTATAATCACTTCTTACTGCTAGTGGCAGTTGCCAATAAAAACAAGAAGCCTTTTTGAATATATATAAATTCCTTTGTTATTGCTTTGTAATCGAAGATTTTAATATTGTATTGATGTCTCAGTTTTTTGTATGTTTCTGATAATGAAGAGTCTGGCAGCGTTATCAAAACGAACAGTCTCTCAAAATCAAGAACAACCTTCTTTAGTTCACAAACCAAACTTGCAACACCTTTTCTTTGAAATTCTTTAAAAAACAAAAAACGAATTACATTTACGTCAGTGCCCTGAAGAAATTTCCCAGAATTGTAGATGCACATGCGGCGACAAGTTAAAAGCAGTCACAGCCAAGAATTCACCTGCACATTTCTTTGATTGTAACAAGTACAGCTAACCCTGCACAGATGGATATGTTGATGAATTTATTCCACGGAATTGAATCAATACACCAATGAATATTTAAGAACCTTGTCTCCAATTACGTAAAGTGCAAGCGAACGGAACCTTTATTGTTGATGGGAATTTTTTGAGTTTTGAGGTGTCATCTCATCTGAAATTGGATGGAACAAAATTGATGGAATAAATCTGCCCAGAAGGCAGTCCAAGTTGCATGTCAAATCGCTATACGAAAGTTACAAATTGTTAAAGTCAATTTTGCTTTCAGGGAAAAGGTGTTCTTTCAAATTGCATTTTGTAAAAATGACACGACACCCCTCGCCCCCTGGCAAACCAGCCCCTCCCCAAGCCCCCCCCCCCCCCCCCGTAGCCTTGAAAACAAAGAGCATCTCTTGCATTCAAATGTCAAGGGGCTTGAGCACAGAATAGTTGTACAGTAGTTTTGTTGTGAAATTTGAGACACTGAATTCAGTATTTGAATAAAAATTGAAAAAAGTCGAAATTTTTCTTGCCATGATCATTTTGGAAAAAGCGTTTTTGAAAGGAATTTTTTTAAAGAATTTTTCAGATTTTAATTGTGTTACTGTGGTATCTGATTATTAAAGATTGTTCTTATTAATGCCATCTGACAGCTAGAATTTCATCAAAATTTCCTACCGACAAAAAAAAAATATTTATTTCAAATTATGAAATTAATTAAAAAGCCACAAATTAAACGTTACCCCTTATCGAAACCCTAAAACTACTTCAAACTAAAAAATCAATCAAGTCAAAATCTACCAAATATTAAAACAGGAACTTTCAGTTCTTGCATAACTTTATTGGTTCTCAATTGAACTTGTTTGCAAGCAAAATACTTCCAAACATTCCTAATCAACACACCAAAATACGTTAAAACTTTCCAGATTCGAATGACATTTGAAATTTGTACACCACTAATTTTCAATCTGTGTTACTATTTTAGGCACGCCGATCGCACAAATCCTAAAAACTTTGGTTAGGAATCATGAAACACTGGACAATTTATAAATGATAGTTGGTTGTTTGAATGGTGCAGTACTGTACTTAATGCCTGCCATTTCAGTGAACCACACAAAGAAACCAAAACAGCTGCTCACTTCAAAAAACATCCCTAATCAGATACAATTTGGAAACAAACTAAATTAGGAATGCCACACGAGATTTGAGAGCGACAACTTTTCTCCATTTCCTTAATTTTGGAAGGAAGGGGCCCTCTGGCTATTTAGGCGTATATAATTCATACTTTTTGTGTGCGATAACGTCAGGATGGATAACAATTTGGGGTCTCGAAGCTTGCTCTGATTATTAGAAAACAACTTAATTGGTTCTTCAGCTAGGTTTTTTTTCTCCTCCCGAGAAATTCAAGTAATGACAAATAAACAAGTGTCCCCCAAGCTTAATTCAAATGCAGCAAAACACACTAACAGTAATTCTTTTACAACGAAACACCTGGTCTCGTTTAAGTTCTTAACGAAGAACATTTCATGAAATTGAATTGAACTGCTTCAATCTGCTTCCGACCGGATTGATCTGAAATATACAAATCAACAAAATTAGTTGGCCCGACGTTTCGGTCGTAACAAGACCTGCTTCAAAAGAGCATTGTTTGTTTCTTGTACCTCCGTCATTTGCCTCTGAAGCATATCTTGTTAAGAGCGAAACGTCTGGCCAGCTAATTTGGTTGATTCGCAGAAAACTTCATAAAGCTGCGACTGAATTTGATATATTGTCCGAATCAGGGCTTTAAGTTATAATGCCCACTCTATCGAAGTGCCTCCAACTTTATTTGTTTCACGTATTATCACAAGTGGGTGTTCTTCACAGGGAGCTCATATGTAATTCTCGGCAAAGTCCTTTGGTAAAGTGAATGAGAAAAAAAAAGCAAAAAACATTTCTCGATTGAAATAGAACTTAACTTCCATTTCCAGTGTTATGGGGCTCAAGTAGAAATGGAACCAAACTCAATTGACTTGTGTTACAATGGAAATGTGCTGTAAATAAATATACTACTAGTCTGAGAACATATTTTAATGTTTAAAAATAAAGGAAGCAACTTTCTGCCTTTGAAAAAAACGACAACTTGAAATTGACTAGAGACAAATGAATAACTTCACATAAAGTAAAAGAACACACACAAACCATTTCCTACAAATTATACAAATGAACAACTGAGAAACACTTTTGAAATTATATACAAAACTGTATTAATTTACAGAACTTACAAAAAAAATTACAAAATCTACATTTTTCCTTTTGAAGTCAAGAGTGACCAAGAAGTGTGACCTCATTTTCAGTCCAAAAATAAAGCGTTAAAGAGTTATTTTTGGCGTAATTGTTTCAAATAAATAAATCTGATTTCAAAGCAGCATGTCTCTGAAAATGAACAAAGGTTGAAACCAACCGATCTGTTGTCCCTATCCACATTATAACCATTTAATGCACATGTAATATGAATGCACAGTATGAAAAAAGGGGCTCCATTGTTTTTCTATGATGGCCAAAAACTGGCACGTTTGTTCCCAGGGCCCTCAAATAGCCTTCAGAAAGAGCTGGTATTGACATGGGTAGTGTGTACGACAGCTTGAGGCTTTTAACTAACAAATATTCCCCATAGTGCGGCAAAACAAGATATTGTTTTTGTATCGGTAAAAATGCTCGGGGTTTGAATTGTGACCCGAATAGTGTATTTACAGAGCACATTCCCTGAGAGAATGCAATTATTTCGATTGAATAAAAAAAGAAATAAACCAATTGCCATTTTGACGCCGTCTGTAAACACTAAAGACCTGAGAAACTTGGTTGATTCGGTTCTTGTAAAAGCAAAGGGAAATATTTGCCATGACAATACTGCAGTGAATAACACCAATACGCTGTAATTCCCAAAAGCCTTTATCACTTTGCAACACATATAGTACAGCAGCTAGGAGATGGGAAAAACACAGTCAAAATATGTCCAAATCCAAGTAAGCTGTTTGATAATCTTTCGGGATAAATGCAAATGATCCTTTATTGAACCTGAAGCTGTGGCGTCTGTTCCAAATCAGCAAGTTTAAGGGTTAAAAAGTGTGATAAACACAGAGCGACTTTTTTCCAATTACAGGGATGTGATGTCTGTCTGGAACAAAACACCTGCATCTGGTATTCACTTAATCAAGTCATGGAATCGTTCTTGTGCAAAAATGCTCTCATGGATGGGTACAGGTAACGTCGTAGTTTTATGAACATAACTGTCGATACTGTAAGGGAGAAGCGGAGGTACAAAAACTCCAACAAGAACTGAAGGGTAATGTAGTGCCCCCCCCCCAAAAAAAATGTTTCACACTTTTTTAGTTTAAAATGTAGGATGCCTTACATGTAATTTAAAGCAGATTTTTATACTTTATGGGAGAACACTAAACACGAAAAAAGTCGACAACCTAACCAAAACTGAAATGCTATTTTTTTTTTTAAATGTCCCAGATTCTTTGATCCATTGAAGCCCTTCCATACAATCTCGGCAAATTGGCAATAAATCCTGTGAAAATCAAATTTCGAAGAGCGATCGCCATGAAAAGCCACCCATGCAAAATGCAGGCTGTTTGTCAAAAATAGTTTGCGATGTACAGCGTCAATTTCCCAAGATTACGTGCATTCAGAGACATTGCATTCCACGAGTATGGTTCGGTGAGCACAAATGAAGCTTTAAAGGCAACATGGATCAGAGGATGCAATATAACCCTGGAAAGCTTAATACAGCTTGTGAGGCAATCCTCAAAGGAAAAGTTTGTTCAATAACAAGATTGCGGATTCCTCATGCCTTTTTTTGTTACTTACTGGCATCCTTAATATGTCCGTTTGTCCAATCTAATGCAATTTTCCACTGTTCGGTTTTGACTTAAAGTATTTTTAGTTGATATAGATGTGCGTAAATCACAGAAATAATAGTTATGGGGTATTTTTAACATCAAGGTACAGTCAAATGACCCGTCTAGGTAAATTTTTGTTTTTGTTTAATTTCTGATAAGACTATTTCAATTTAGGCTGGCACCAGAACAAAATACAGCGATGTCGCTCTTGTACAAATCTGGGAATTGGTCAAAATCTTAAATCCCTTGAACTTGAACTTGAAATTGTTTTTTGACTTTATTACATTTCGGAGAACAAAACGCAGCGGACTGAAAAATGAAACAGAAATATTAATAAAATAAAATCAAGGCAACTCTTGCAAACTTTGCATTTGTGCTGTGACAGTAATTAGTAACGATTAAACAAAAACATTCTAAATAATTATGACACCATAATCAATGAAAAAAAATAGTTTATTCTTAAATGATTAAATTTCCAAAAAAGAAAATGTCGCAGATGGCTTTGAAAACACCACTATTTTTGCGACAGTAATTTCAACTTGTGGTATGTTAGTGTTTACAATTTTTCCATAATTAGATGTGTTTTTCAAGATTTCTGTCCCTTTTTCATTTTAACAAACCACCGCAGCATGAACTTGCTACTGCAAGACCGATCAGGGAAATACTCAAATAGAAATTTAGTAATGGTGAGTAATCAGTGGCAAGAGACTTTAGAAAAAAAATAGAGCTGTGCTATTCACTGGAGGGCCATCATAACGGGAGTTTCTTCATCTGCTCGTACGTTATGAAGAACTGGGGTGATAGAACAAAAGCTAAGGAAATGAATACCTAAACAAGAGGAGTAAATTTTTGATAGTAGACAAAGACAAATTTTTATAAAAAGGCCTTGGTGATAAGATACCTACAAACTACGCCAACTTGTTTGACAACAAAAGAACAAATTGTGTTTTTGAAGCCAAGTTTCTCTGCCTTTTCGTTTGACAAGTTCATTTTTCCCCTCTGGGGGATTCATTATGACAAGTGCATTTTTCCTTTCTAAGGTTTTTTTTTTAACTGGGGATGAATTTACCGAGAGTTGAGTTAGGCCTATTGCATATTGTACAATAATGCAGTTCAGACAAAATGATCTTGCAAGATCAGTTTTGAATTATAATAAGCAGAATGTCAATTTCTTCATCAACTTGTTGTGTACCTGCAACACAATATGGGAGAGAGCACATCTTTTTGTTTCGACAAAAATTTTAAAAGGTCAGACAATGTCAGATGTACAACCATAGTCTCACCCTCTGCTTATCTTTTGCAAAGAAATTTGCAAACACTTGGTAAACTGAACGTCACAGTTTCCATTAGGCATTTATTTTGTGCAGTTGTTTGTTTTAAAAGGATACAATGATATTCCACGGACCGAGTCGCACCCAAGTTGGTATGAAGCCCTTATACAGAGCGGAGAAACCCTCGTACTTGAAAGTCTGAAACACAAATGGGAAAAACAAGTCTGAAATTAGTCTATCAGACGCAAACACTCTTGACTCTAACCAACCACCCTCTTGAGGTCCTCGAGGCTCGTAATTGGACAGTAGCCAGTCTGAAAAAACACCTGCTATTGATACTTGGGAAAATCCAATCATGCAACCTTGTATTAAAATGAACCAGGAAAGACTTCAGCAGCAAATCATCCCTAGCTCCTACAGCATTTTTCCAAGGACTCTCTTTAAATCCTCCCAAATGGATCCATCTTCAGTAGCCGAAACGAAACTTTATGCGATGGCGCAACTTCACCCGCACCACAATTTGTGGCGCAGGTCTGCATAACATTTCAGTTCTGACAATTTCACAAAAGTCTCATAGTTCGTAAGTCCGTGACTTGTGCAATAAATTATAGCATAACTTGTACGATCATTTTGGGTGGTGTAAGTTGTGGCGTAGTGACTGAAAATGACCTATTTTACAAGTAAATTGTGATCATCATGGAGCCTTCATTGCTCAATGTTGATACAAGACACTCGCAGCTTTGTGTATGAGGTACATTGAATTGCTATTTTACTCATGACAGAGTTTTTAGAGTTGCCGCACGATTCCGAAGAAATTCAGACAAAATGATCTTCAAAATGGCGGGATGAGGTACATGTAATTCAACAACTTTTTCATGAACGAAGGAATTCATTTGCAAACAGCCTTCGCAAATGCTGTAATCCTCCTCCTCAGAATGTTTAGATTATTGAAAACGCTGCGCAGCTACGCCATGTTTCATGAAAGCGATCATTAGTTTATCACGCAGCTGCACAACACATTTGTTGCGCAAGTCCTACGCATGGCGCAAGCTACGTACGTTTTCGTGAAATCGGCCGCAGAGGCCCAAATGACATATTCTTTGTACTTCTATTATTTAATTATAAACTTCCAAGGGATTATAGGCATAAAACCCTTTGAAAAGAGAGCGAGAGAGTTGACAGGCTCTAACAATTTATGTGCATACAAACATATACTTGTGCCTTTATGCGGTATCTCCATAATCAATATACAATTTGCACACAGAACCTCAATGCACATCAAAATCTATCTTCAAACTTCAGGTCAAGATATTCAGAAATTGATGAATGAGGAGAAGTGCATAGCCAGAGCAATCTTCAAAATACATTGTACTTGGCAGAGTTCTCATCAGTTCCTGCCTATTAAAAAATGACAAGAACTTTGTATTTTTGTCCATCAGGGCCATTTATGCCTTGAAATCTATTGATGTACATGTTATTAAATTTGATGTACATGTTATTAAATTTGCCGTACATGTTATTAAATTAGTCGCAAGGACGACTGGAGAATAATTACTACGCCTGTAGTACACATTTGAACATTGCTGTAAATGAATACAGCCACACTGCTGTGCTGAACATCTGGTAAAGATATACCGTATATATGAATATATGATCACCCAAGAATATCGAAATTTTTCCGATCCGAATATCAATAATGTGAGGGGTTTCGAGAAGATGAAGAAAAACATCAGTGTTTTTTTTAATCATACGAGTTGCATTGTTTCACTGTTTGTCAAAAGCTGGATTTTGGTCGACAATACACACATGACTTGAAAGCTTCTGTGAGGTGTATTAGCTCTATTTACATAGCCTTTAAAATCTTTCAAATATCAGCTTGTCAGCTAACTCGAAAAAATAACAAAATATTGATGCATATTATATTATCATAAATCCCTATTGAAAGTCTATTTAATTTCAAACCAGCACGTCCAATTTAGGTTGGTGCCTGGCACAAGTAAAATGAGATCGGCGCATTGTGAATATTTGAAAATTCCATTGAATCCATATTTGAATAACTGAATAATAAATTATTTGAAACTGTACAGCACAACACAAACATCTGCCTGTATCTGACTTCCCTTTTGGCTCCAAATCTAGTCTTCAACTTCATGTACAATCAAAATGTTACTGGTAACTCTGTCACTTTTATAAGAATCAAATGTACATGCTCTCCTGCATGAAAATGTTTTAGTGAACTGGCCTTGTACAATTTTGTACGTGCTGTAATGTAAATTAGCAGTGTAACTGACGTTATCAGCAAGGCCATTAGAAGGCAGAAATTTGATAACAAATTGACCACGCACGTGGCACAGGGAAATTTGTTCAATGAAATTAATTCACCGATGCTATTAAATAAATTCTATACAAACTTGATGCGAAGAAACATGATGTGAAGTAACAAACAGGCTCATCGATCTCCATTAGTAGTACATTCCAAGTGAAGTGAGACATTTGCTTATAATTGCAAGTTTTTGGTTTTTTTTTTGTTCTGGCAGAAATAATGCAATAATAAATATTTGCACATCCAGTGATTGCACATGATTGTCATTAATTTAGTTATTATTAGTGCCAGAAAAAAATTGATTATGCCACCTACTGCTTTAGCTTGTTAAGCCTTGTGACTCCAGAAGTATTTCACCTGACATTGCTGCCAATTATGAAACGTCTTCCACTGTCATCATAAAAGAAGGCTAGGTACCATACCTTTACTAAGCAGTCTAGCGAGTTCTTGTATATGTGCTGGGGTCTCGAGTGGTCTCGCAGATTTCTTTGATTCATCAGCCGCGTTTTAACGACGTCTATGGGAGTGGAGGCGACAGCCCCAGCAAAGCCAGCGATGAAGCTTGCTCTATAAAAAGAAAAAAGACAACAGAAATTTCAATCAAAATATCACCCACTTTCAAGTGTCAATTCGTTTTCACTGGCAAACACTGTTTAACATTGGATGTCACCAGACCATTTTAAATGGGGGGGGGGGGGGGGGCAACAGACTTGCTGACAGACCCTCCGTGCTGTTTTTCCAGTAACCCAGCCATCATAAAGCAATTAAGGGGGGGGGGGGTGGCTAGACACAACTGCCTAATGGAAGCACTGAAGTGGATGAAATTCTGAACTGGAAGAGATTTGTAAGATGAGTGTACAAAAGAGGGTCAGCACCACCACTAAGGAAGCAAAGTGACTATCGACCTACATGAAGTGCGTTGACATGGTGTCTCCCAGCCACTTGTTGTCAATGATCCACTTCTTACACCAGTCATAGACTGGGAGCTCTACCCCCGCTACAACCGCGGCTCTTTGGGCAGTTGGGACCACACCCTAGAAATGAAAACGAAAATCACAGTGAATTTCACAGTCACTCAAAGTTCTTCTTTTAAAAATTCTTGCATCATGACTGTGCAGAACCCCTCCATTGTGGTTAAAGAAACTCTAGAGATGTGGTTGCTTGGGAATACAACCACTGTGACTGATCTGTGCTTTAAATCGACATTGGATAACAGCGCACACACGATTTTAACATAACTGGCTCTGTGAACACGACACAAGTACCCCCCCCCCCACCCACCATGGTTAAAAAGACAAATCAATTGCAGGACTTCTGGGTGGTTCAACAATTTCTGCCAAAAGTCCCTGTAATGCCAGACCACTGGCTGTCAATTATGCTCCATACTCATTATTGTACAAAGATGCGAGACTGCGCGTACCCTCCACAGTCCCCTGGTTCCTTCCTCCTGGAAGATGTTGACGAAGGAGCTGATCATGCCGTTGGTGTTGGCGAAACTGGCACCCTGCGCCTGCATGCGGACTTTCAGCACGTCAGTCGGGTTGGCAATGGAGGAGGCAATCACGCCAGCCGCCACGCCGCAGACGACGTTGACTAGCAGGGTCTCATTTTCCGGGTTCTCCACCAGGAGACGCTTGAAGGAGTGGTAGCAGCCCATCTTGATGGTGCCGTAGGAGGCCTGGCGCAGGATGGCCGGTCTGATGCTGATGAGGAATCACATTCACATCATAATGAATATATTGGGTAATAATCAAGAAATCCTTACACAGTGAAAGCAGACTCCAAACTCAGGCTTTGACCTTAACAATGCACTATGTCCTATTTTCAAATTTCACTGCTATTTTTCTAGTGCTACAAAATTACTCACTTTTGAATGAGACATAAAGCTGAAACAACAAACCAACTTTTAGTTATGGAATTATTATTTTCAAACTTTTCAAATTATTTGTAGCATAGACTGGTTCCCACCCCCCACCAATATCAATTATGTAGGGACCCGTTTGATGGTAGGGTGGATCTGATTGTGTTTACTGCCTGCTCTAGTGGTAAGGATGCGGATATAAGCAGAAAGACTTACCCAGAGTATAACGCCTTGATACCTTCCTCTTTTGATATCTTGACGAGTGCGTGGGTCATCCCACGGTACTTCAACTCCCTGTAGTTGCTCCCCATTCGCTGGCCTTGCACCTGCAAACGCGTCTTGGTCAGGTCAATGGGGAAGGTGCCTGAATCAAACAGGTTTGAAAACATTTGGTTTAACATGCGATTACATCCTCTTTATTAAAAGATGGGGGGGGGGATTACACTGTGAGAACTTTTCAATCTTTCATTTTAAATAATAAGTATTGAAGTGCTAAAATAATGTATTGTGACACACACAGCGTGAACATGCACAACATTGGGTACATTGAATGGACAACCAGGTTTTTTCATCTTTTCTCAGGAACAGTAAGACATAAGTTAGTTTCCTTTCAACCAAACCTTTGAATAGGATAAGTTAACAATCAAAAATCATAAAATTGTCAGGGATTTTATGCCGTAATTTCCCTTTAATCCTTTTATCCAATGCTATGCACACTCTGAAGTACTTGTAAGATGTTCACAAGATTTTTTTGTGATTTCTGGAAGGTTAGCCAAAAAAAACAACCCAAAGCTAAAAAAGGAAGTTATTATTGGCGTGCACACTTTACAAATACTGGAAAAAAATGTGCAGAAAAAGTGCAAATTTAATCAGCTGTGCGACAGGTGTCCAAATATGCGGAACAGCTTTTCTCACTGTTCACAGGACTTCCTGCTAGACAGTTTATTTACATTTTGGCTGGTCTGATGTGCAGAGAGTGAAAAGTACAAAGCAATGAAAGTCACTGCTGGCAGTGCTGGGGGGAAAGTACATTAGTTTTTGTTCATTTTAACACATGCAGCCAAATTTAAATGAGAAAAATGCATGAAAATCACCAACAGCTGTGCATGTGTAGCATTACTGTTTTAAAAAAGAGAGACCACATAAAATGATCAGTGCAACATGTACCCTGACATAAATAGGATGGGACACAGTTTCTCGTGATTCATTCATAAGCAAATGTGTGTATGACAGTTGATAAGAGTGCAGTTGTCTTTGAGCTTGATAATGTAAGTGCGTTGCCCCTGCAAAGTTGGCTGAACTTTAGCCGCACTATCAGTTTGTTATCCTTGTATACATGTAGGTCTGTACTTGGCACAAGTTCATGTAGATTATTATCAAGGTAGTGGTGTAGGAAGGACTTGTTGTTGGTCATGGCCGGAGGGCTAGCCTGGTGTCCTGTTTGCACCTATCTCACCGGCTGACTGACTGCCATTTGTGAGCTGGGCAGTGCAATTGTACTGGATTACCCCACAACACCAATGGGTTAAATATATTGTGTAGACCACATGCATGAAAAGAATTCCAGTCGAGCCGAGCGCCATTCCAAATCAAATGAATAGAAGTTTGTGGGCTCTGGGACCAGCTTTATTTGGCTAGCCTTGTCTTGATTACTTGTTTACACATTTACTTGTTTACTTGTTTACTTGTTTACTTGAATCACAGTCACAAGTTGTTTAAAGGTCACAAGCAACTGGGGATGCACAACCACAAAGGACTGGCCTTGTCACGTTTCATTTGAGTAGTTTGTCACTTAACATGAGACGGGCCTTGTGATTGACTTGTGATTGACTTGTGACTGACAAGCAATTGACTTGTGATTGACTTGTGATTGACTTGTGATTGACTTGTGATTGACTTGTGACTGACTTGTGACTGACTAGTGATTGACTTGTGATTGACTTGTGAGTGGCTTGTGAGTGGCTTGTGAGTGGCTTGTGATTGACTTGTGATTGACTTGCAATTGACTTGCGATTGACTTGCGATTGACTTGCGATTGACTTGTGATTGACTTGTGTGACCACTTGATTACAACCCTGTTCATAATGCTTACCAAACTCAGCGGCCACCGAGCCGATGCCCCCGTACACAAACGGCCGCCAGTCGCTAGCTAACATTGTTCCTTCTTTAGTTGTTCTTCAGTCACAGATGAAGATCTTCGCAACTTTGTACACAGTACTTTTTAAATGAAAAAGGACTTGAATGCCTCTCTGTTCCCAATGACTGCGACTGTCCTTCACAAACTGAAAAATAGGTTTTGACCTTCCAACTTGGCAGCTTTAATTTTGTCAAAACACAAGTTGGCTTTCAAGAAGTGGTATAAAAGTATAAGCTCGGGCACCAACTCATGTCCCTGAGGAATTTCTACTACGCTGGTGAAACTGTTCCATGGTGTTTATGCAGCTGTTTCACATGTTTATAACTGGCAAATGATGAAAACTATTCGCTGGGCTTCAAATAACTTCAAGTTGGTATCTACAGAGAAACAAAACAGGTTTTAAAATGGAAATACAGAAAACAACAACGCAGTTTGCTTCTTTCTTTTTTTTAACTCACTCTGAACAAGTTTAATCTTATTTAGAGCAGTTCTTATAGAAAACTTAACAGTTTCTACAACCGGACAGGGTTGATTCTAGTTGCAACATAAACACTCTGGAACCTTTTTTGTGGAAGTATTTTAACAAGAATTCTTGGTTATATGGGGAGAGTCAACTTCCCATACCTTTGGATGTGAACATCTTTCCATTAAATTGATGAAATACCTCGAATCTCTGCTGCTTTAAACAATCTTTGAAGTTTGAGCACTAAAGAATCGGACAGAATCCAAACTTAGTGTTAAATATTTATGACTTTCTTCACAAAATCAAATCAACAACAAATGTAGAGTACTTTACTCAAAATATTTACGGTATGCACCTACTCGACCTACCCGGTTACCGGCAATGCATAAAGTGACTTAGTAAGGCTTATATTTTTAATTAAAAACTCCACCACCAAATGTCAATTACCGGTATACCCAGTAGCTTTATTTTAACATCACAGAATATTTTAATAATCAATGTTTGGGCTTGAAATGCTAATTTAGTAATTACAATGTCCATATTTTACTTCTTTCTTTTTTCAAAGGAGGAAGGGAACACACCCAATGTAACTACTACAAGTACCAGGCCTGCTAGTGCTGGTGTATTCTGTGAACATGGTGAACAGGTGAAAATGACAGACAGCCTGCCGTCTTCGTGCGTCAATGAATTTTATACGCGGCGCCGGCCGGGCCAAGCCGGCCGGCCGGCCAGCCAGCTGCGAGCGTGAAAACACTTTTCGCACGAGGACTTAAAACTCACCTTGTAGAATTTCAGGCTACCTCAAAATTCACAGGCAGTTAACCAGAATTATTGTGAACAACCTACTCAATAAGAACGTACTTGTTAGGACGACGTAAAAGGACGAGAAACGACGAATTCTTCAGCGGTCAGATAGCCTCTAACTTAGTGAAGTCACAGGATACATGTGATGAAACGAAGTTAGGGAAAAACACCAACGTTCTTAGTCTGGTTTCCGAACCAGTTTACATTGATTTTCTGAGTGATGCGAGTCCGAAACACGACGTCTTTGCCTTGTTTCTGTTGTGCAGAAAACAGCCGTTGAGCATGTGCTGCCGACGTGATCACCGGTGACTTTTTATTGTGTTCATTGATGAACCATGAACCATGCGTGAACCCTTGTTGATCAAATTATAATCCATGCATATTTTTTTTTAGCTCTTTTACTTTTTATTGACTTAATTATGACTTAAAATGAGGGAGTATACAATTCGGTGACCTGAAATGATATGGGTTTTAATTGTTCCTTGCTCAGGGCAAGGAGCTATGCTCAGGGCCTGGGCAAGGACTAGGAGTAGGAGGGGGACTGAGGAGGGGTGTAAATTTGGAGAGGGGGAGCTGAGCTAGGCGTGGCAGCGGGTTTGTTATTTTTTTATTTATTTATTTGTTTATTTTTTGTTTAGATATTTATGATAATTATTTCCGCCCTCTGCCGAGGCTGGGGGGGGGGGGGGCGGAACTTCACAGGTGATTTTTTTTGGGTAAAATTTGAAACGTGTAGTTGGTATTTTCATTTACAACGTGTAGATGACTTAATTTTTATTTTAAAGCTTGTTTCGCGCTTGGTGGCGCTATTTTTTATTTCCACAATGGCGATTCCTCCGGCAAAAGCGGTGCCAAAAGATGCCGAAATAATGGCGGCGATTTTGAAGGACATGGGCGTTACAGAATACGAACCAAGACTTGTTAATCAGATGCTTGAATTCACGTACCGTAAGTCAGCCAAAACAGGCGGCACAGTTTCAGAATTTTATGTTGCGACTCGCGGGAATGTCACTGGCATTGCCCAGTTTCCGGACACAATTTATTGCATGCAATTAATGACTTTACGGCTTTGCAAAAACATCATTTCGAATCTTTATACCACATTTAAAAGTGTCCCTCCAATTAGAGCGCTTTGACAGCTCTAGGGCCTATTTCTTTTTAAAATTTTAAATTTGGCCTATTTTGTTTCGGGGGGGGGGGGTGGGGAGGATGTGGCGGGTGTGGAGGAGGGGCGGGGCATGAATGGTTTTTGGTGGGGGGACCCATTGAGAAAATAACATATAGTCGTGTTCCCTAACGTGGCGCACTTCGAAGCTTACCCAAATTTCCTCATGTAGTGTTGCCAAACCTCTTTGTTGACAAACCTCAAATTCATGCAGTGCAATACTGGTACTTTTACCTCATTAATGCTTGCTGTTTAACCTCTGTGAACAATTTCGGTTTCATAAAATTTAAGCGGAAATTAAAAAACGGTGGCGTCCGGAAATTGGGCACAATTTGGCGGAGTGTTCCCTAACGTGGCGCACTTAAATAAATCTCGGAAAATTCCAAATTAACATTTAAGAATTTCTGTAAACTTGATAAATTCTGATAAATCATTATTATCTCTACCTACATACCCAGCCAGATGTTTGTCACAAAATTATTTTCTTATTTTTCGGGGCATTTTCAAAGGGTTCACTTTGCACTTGAAAATAAAATCGGAAAATCACGCCAAAATAATTTTTTCTTTTAACTTTGTAGCGGGTAAATAAACTCGCGATTTATGAACGGGAGTGTTTATAACTTGATGAAATTTCACTTTCTGTGAAATTTCAGTTAAAACTTTTGCTCTAGCTAGGCGCTACAGACGAAAAATCAAAGTGCGCCACGTTAGGGTACATCAACAATACTATTTAAACACCTAAAGTTGATTTATCTTGAACTAAAACCATAGCAGGCAGCGCGACGCGTGCGACGTGAGCATTGCCCATGGAAACATCTTTTTATTCACATGTGCATTACACTTCAGCACTCCAGACTCAAGAACCATTCAGTATGTATTGATGAAAACGGGTCTGGGAATGAGACAAGGAGATTTCAGAAGTTCCTAGATGTCCGTACTAACCTATAGTTAAGATGATCTCAACTATTTCTTGTGTTGTTGGGACCTTTTCTACTTTAATTGGGCCTAATGCTGTTTGGTATTGAGTAACTAATTTATAATAAGAAATATGCCCTAAGTTCATGCAGAAGTGAACTTTACGTTTGATTTGTTTGTTCCCAGGTTATGTAACAGATGTACTGGAAGACGCCCAGGCATACAGCAATCATGCAGGACGGACAGAAATAGACTCGGATGACGTCAAGCTGGCAATACAGGGCAGGCTAGACCATTCCTTCACAACTCCACCACCACGGGAGGTAAGTCAGTAGTATATTGCATTCTGTTTAAGGCCAAGTAAACAAAATAAACCAGTTTCTCGTGCCCGCCCGCAGCGGGATTTGAACCAGTAACCTCCGGAAAACTGTATCACGCTCTACCAAAATATGTTAAGTCAGACACCATAAACCTGCACCAGGCATTAGTCTGAAGCCATAACCCTGTATAAGCCATAAAAAATGTACAAATTTTTTTTTATCGTTTCAGTTTTTGATGGAGATAGCGAGACAGAAGAATAACAACCCATTGCCGGCCATCAAACCTCACAACGGTCCCCGCTTGCCCCCGGACCGCTACTGCCTGTCAGCCTCCAACTACAGACTCAGACCGCTACAGAAAAGGGTATGCAGATCATCAATTGACCCGTTGGTACCTGTTATGCCCCAAACCTGGGATCTACCTTCCTCAATCCTACATATTCCTCCTTGTGGTTATGGACTACAAACTCACCGAGTCAAGAACCCTACAAAACAATCTACATGTACATGTATAAGTTGACCACATTCTACCTAACAATTTCTTTGAGAGGAGACAATGAAACTTCTTGTTTATCTTGTTTACTTGTAAAGGAATTTTGAAACAATTTCTATTGAAAACTATTGTTTTACTTTTGCAGGCGACACTGACAATGCCATCAAGGTTATCTTTGAGTTCAGGTGAGGCAAATCGTACTCATTATTATGCACCAATTTGAAGAAATCACAGCTTTTTAAGACATATCGTCCGTGCTCTTTAATTTTTTTAGAAATCTGAACAAGTAGCACTTATTTGCATGAACCAGTATGGATCCGAGCCAGTTACACGGCAGCTGTCTGAAATTCCTAAAAAGTGGGGCGCCTTCAAGAGTTTCTGTACTATTGCTGGATTTTTGCTTAAATTTTCCCACTGTAGGAATCTCCATGTCTTCATCAGCTGGCTCAAAGCTCTCGCCAAGTTTCACTCTTGGCGCTAAGCAGCCCTACAACATGACGGTCCGCACTCCGTCGTCCTCCAAACCCAGCAGTGCACCAATCAGCATCATCAAAGGGGTATCCAGACCCATCAGTAAGCATTACCAGAATTTATAAAACAAATACAGAATTGCTGCAAATGTCTGATGCGAAAAGTTGACATCTCCTCAATGCAAAGATTGTAAAATGATATGTGTCACAAGATCTGCTCCTTCATTTTTTGTCCAGTGAACGTGCAAGCCTTCCAGGGCTTAAAATTGTTGAATTCTAAAGAATATTTTCATTGTATTGTTGGAAACTGTAGGAAAATGTGTTTGTGTATCTACCCATCCTGTCCTCTGTAAACAAAACAATCTCCTTTTGTCCGTTAGCCACTCCCACCATCAACATGCAGTCAAGCAGCACCGCCACTAGGGCGCCCTCTATGTCCACTTCCAGCGCAGTACACACAGTTATCAAGACTGAGGTGACCTCGCCACCTCCTTCCCAGAGTTCCGTCATCCACACGACCAAGAGGAAACGGGAGGACGAGGACGATGACTGAAAGAATTCACCTTTGACCTCAGGTTGACCCATGACCTGCAACTGACCCGTAGTTCAGTCACTCTTGCATGGCCCAGAAGACTATTTCTGCAAAACTCTGAGCTGTCTTTTTTTTTGTGTCTGGCCTTAAAGATGGTTGCGAACTGAAATGTGACATCGGGAAACCAGACTTATTTCACATTAAACATTGGGTTGAACAAAGCAGGTAACTGGAGTTGGATTCGAGCCTGTACCTCTGGAACAATGGAACCGAGGTTCTACCAACTTATAACATGTGTATAAGCGTTCAATTAGCAACTGACTTCATGTAACGGTATTGTAATAGCCTGGCGTCAGTCACGCTTTCCTCTTTAAATGTATTACAGGATTGCCAGGGTTAAAACCTTTGTAATTCTTGACACACACTGATTTTCTGCAGTAGGCACCCGATACACTCAGCCTAGGGCAAGTTCGCGCAAGAACTATTAACCATTGGTTAACCATAGTTCGACTAAAGTTAGCCCGAACTCCGTCTAGTCGGCGGTGGTTGACTACGCTAGTCGACTATTTGGAACTACCCTACTTGGGCTGGTTGCATCGCTGGTAACCAATAGTTGCGCGCATTCATAATACAGCAGGGAGCCAGGATCCAGAAGTTTTGCGATGACATCTTGACCAGCGTTTGACTAGCATTAGTGTGCAGGCGTTAGACATGTCACAAATCAACCACTAGTCAACCAATGGTCCTTGCCCGAACTTGACCATAAGTGACTGTGTCTGAGAATACATTCCTGGAGAAGGATACTGCCCCCAACTTAAAAATTGGAATACCAGACGGGTGTTTTTTAAGCACCAAGAAGCTAACAGAAAGCACAAGAGCTATCCTAGTATTGTAACTATCATTTGTGTTCATGTTTTATTAATAAATATGTTAACTGTACTTGTACATATCAGACTGCCTCGACTGTAGTTTGGTGGTGTTTGTTTCAATTTTCCAAGTTCTGTTCTGTAATTCAAGTGAACTTGTAAACATATCCGAACACACGGCAGAAAAATTCAACAAAGAATACAGTGCATTAAAAAAAGTCTTGTGGGAAATGACCATCAGATATTACCAGAGGAAAAGAACACATTTTGATCATAACCAAAATCATTGTTTCGAAATCTATTTTGCTACCACAAAAACATTGCTTTGATTACCAATGAACAATTAGTCCATAACTGTATATTATAATACTTTTTTAAAATCAAATGTATCTTTTGTCATTTTTACACTTTGCACGGCTTGCCCAGGAAATGGCAATGGTATTCAGCAATTACACTCTTCAGATTAATTATGAGCAAATTCTAACAACATTTATGTGGCACACAGTCTGAATAATTAGATTATTTGTAAATGGCGAGTTCGAAATCACGTGGCTTAATTCTTCACAAGTTAGACAAATATTAAACCATGTACACGTACCCATGAAACAAAAAAAACTTGTGAAATACCCATTGCATACAGTTATAATGTTGACGTGGCAATAACATTAAATAATACACAAATAAATATAATTACAGGAGAACATAATTGCATCACTTGATATTTTATGTGACTGGGCAACACTGCGATTGACGTATCATGCCAAAAAATAATAAATAACACAAATTACATGTTGCAGACACATAAATAGATAATGTTGACAAGTCTGTTAAGCACCAAACATATCTGCTTACCTAAAATGCAGGTCGACGGCCAAAATGTGTGTGATGTGAACTACTTGGGACTGGTATTCAGTTGTGCAAAAAAATTGCTAAATTATTATTTTTTTTTTCGCTTAGCAGTTCCTGAAACTAAGTGTTCCTGGAAAAGCTTATTTTCTTACAGTCCCAAAGAAGTTTTAAAAAAGGAGCAATTTGGCAAATAATCCTTTGAATCTTCCATACCCTGATACACCAAAATGCTGAGAAAAACAATCTTAATCAACTGAATCAAAATGATTCAGAGAAAAATTCTTCGACATTATTGAGACTGAAATAAACATCAATGGATGGATTTTTTTACAACAAAAAAGACCAGCTTCTTTTCTTACAATTATTTTTTTTCTCAAAACAATGACTGTGAAACCATTCTGAAAACCTTCACCTAAAAATTATTGATGTCAAATTTAAGATATGCCTGTGACAGTTATGCACAACCACTGAACACGTCATTTACTCCAAGCTTCAAGTCTGAGACCTTGAGTCCTACTTACAAAATTTTTAGTTGGATCAATGTTACGGACTTTAGTTGCTTTGGTGAAGATCTGAAATCTTGAGTATTGAAACATCATGCAGCACTTTTATCAAAATGGTGAGTTGTGAGAGTTTTTGAGTCTTGAAAACCACCTCTGCTCCCATACGTAGTAAATTCTTGCACAGTTTAATCGGTGAGTTTTTTGAGTGCCGAGTTTTGAGTTCATAGAGTAACCCTCTGTTATTGCGCTTCAATCTTACGCCTCAGCAGTTCCCTGTGCATTTGCCGTCTCAGGTTGATGCTTTCCTTGATGTCAAATCTCACCTTCTGTTTCCAGCTCAGCCTTTTTGCATACTAAGAAAAAAGAACAAAATAACAGGAAAAAATAACAAAAATAATTTGGCAAGCCTCATAAACCTGGTCCAAGAACATACAAAATTCTATTCAACTGAGTTAGAATGGCAATATTTTCAAGCATCTGGTCTACACAATGGATCGGATTGGGTTGAAATAATTTGTGTCATGGAGTAATCCTATACGATAGCACTGCTCGGCTCACAAGTGACAGTCATTTAGTCAGTCGGTCAGTGAGTCCGTGAGATAGATAGTAACAGAGCATTTGGCTGGCCCCCTCTTTCTGCAAAAACAGTGCTTAGTGGCCACCAAAATATGGTAAAAGATAAATGAATCAAATTCTGAGAGAAGCTCAAATTTATTAATTGAATTGTAACCCACCTGGCAAATGAACAGCCCACAATCATCCATGTTCTGTTGTCTGGGGATATCCCCAACCACGTACATTTCCCATTTGATGTCCGAGAATTGCGCCTTCTCACGATGCTTGGCCTCAGATTTAAGGTAGTCTCGTATGTGCTACGAACAGGAGGGGGAAAAATAGAATTTTTTTAATATTTTCATGAAGGTACAAATAAAAATTTGAACATAATATTCATTAACGTTTTAATGTTCCTAATGTTTTGCCCCAAACCATTACAACAATTTTCACAATTTGTAAAGATTTTTGCAATGCTTCAAATTTCCAAAGGAGTTTTTACAGTTTCTCAACATTTCCAAGAACATTCCCATGATTTCTTCACACTTGATTATAAATACAATTGCCATGATTCTTCAAACATGATTTTTGAAACTTTTGAAAATTTTCTTTCACAGGAAAACCATCACTTTCCCAAAGATTTCCTTGACAATTCCCAATAGTTTCCAAGGTCTTTCCCTGAATGCCAGGCCTTACCATCATACTCCGTGGGTAGCCATCCAGCATGGTGGAGGAGTTGTAATACTCTATGATGCCCTCCTTGATGTGGACCACCACCAGAGACCAGTGGCTTTTGTTGTGCACCGGAATGAAGATTAAGTCTTGGGTAAACAGGTCCACCTGTGACGGGAGAAATATTTCATTACTATCACTATTTTATAAATGGAATTTTTGTGTCAGTGAAATGTAAATTCAATATTGGGGTTTCCCTTTTACCAACTGTCTGTGAAGAGAAATTTCAATATCAAAGTTGCAATTTCATTGGCTCTGCGCTGGAACAGTAGAGGGCGCTGTGTGGCTTACTCATGAGAGCTCAGCAAGGCAAAGGTCATTTTCCAACACCAGGCTTCGATTCAGGAACTCTCTTTGCTCAAATTAAAAACTCTCAGGCATTTGGCAGCATACACAAGCATTGTCAGAGCCCCCCCCCCCAATTAATCTATTTTATTGGCAAAATCATCCTGCTGTCAGCAAAATTGTGTGTCCATCGGCAAATTTTGGGCCGGTATGAAGAGCGCCACCTCTTGTCCGATAGTGCCCATGAACGTCAGATTTGAACAGTGCGCCCTTTTGCAGGATGGTGTCTCCCCCCTTCCCTCCCCCCTTTTGATTTGATGGAGGCAGGGACAAAATCATGTCTATCTTTTAGCACAGATTATTTGTCAATAATTTCTTGTCATCTGATACTCTCATTTTATACTCTCCTGTAGTTTTGCACTCACATTTTTTGTCCATCGCTTGACACCCTCGTAGCCTCGTTTGACCAGCGAGAAGAAAAAGAATGAGCTGTGTGTGAAGACTTTCAGTGGAGACACCACGCTGAGGAGGAAGAAGTAGGCGTTGATGACCTGCGGAGCAAAACAAAATGCATTGTCTTAACATATGAAAGTATCTGCTCACAGCTACAATGTTAGATATCCTTCAAGCACAAATTGGAACATGCAATGGTGTAGTGCCTGTGTCATACAGTTGAAACTTAAATGTCATGTTTCAGCAGTTTTTGTGCGATTTCCTGCTGTACAAATGTATGCTGAACAACTATATGCATGACCAGCAGGTAAACAATGGCAACTTTGAATAATGCGCCATTACTACGTGCAACATCAAAACACATTACAATATTTGTTAGACTGAAAAATTAGCATTGAGAATTTAGTCCGCTTGATGATAAAGTGTGATATATGCGTTTTTTTCCTCTGTTGCTGAATTGAAATTCAAACAGTACATTTTTATGGAGGAGGGTGTAACTAGCTTTGTAATGCATCCCACCTCTCAATAATTGCTAGTCTTGCCCACTTTGTCTTGGACTTACACAGTCATTAAGCCACTCCCCTTCTTCCAGGGTGTCCAGGTCCGACTTTCTCAGCTCGTTCTTGCCGATGTTGACAAGAATGGGATCAGCCTCATTGGGATCCGGCTCACCCTCTGAAGATATCAAACCAAAACAAAAATAGGAAAGGGCAAATTTTAGAGATACATTGTACTTTCTCAAAGAGCGTCCTATTACAGTGAAGAATTATGCTGAAAAAAAAAGACAATAGGTCATTTTGGAAAGTTTGTGACATTGTGAGGTACCTGTTTTGGATGGCTGGGAATCCCCACCATCCGCTGGCACGGAGCTGTTCTCCTCGCACCCATCGGCATCCACACAAATCAAGTTGATTTCGCTCTTTGAATTGGCTCTGGTGGCTAGCTTTTTACTGGCCTCCGTCCTGCGGGCCTTCCCAGGGTAAGTCTTGAGCACTCTCGAGCAACTTCTATCTACAGTTGAAGAAACCGTCGGAGTTGTGGGAACGTGTTTCGTTAAGGTGATCTCGCATATTATGGTTCCCTTCGGGACGGCCGTGACTACTGGATTAACAGGTGTATTTGCCTGATTGACAAGAATGCCGGCAACTTGTCCTGGTGACTGTCCTGTTGCCTTGTTGATGGGAACTGTTATACAGTTTACAATATTGCTGATAGTTTTGATAGTTGACCCCGCCGAAACCACAGGTTTGACTAGACACTGATTGCTCACTTTGGTGACCAATTTGCTGGTGGAAACCCCTCCCCTTACATTCCGGTTGGCAGTTGTTGACAAGCTGCTAGCACTAGCTGGCACGACTATAAAACAGCCCCCAGGGCTGCTGGGGATGTTGTTCGTGGGTGTATCTACTTGGATGGCAATCACATCTTTGCCGCGAGTGTCAGGAACGTCAATCACTGATGTTGCTGCGTCTTTTGCTTTAATATCATTCGGGATACTACTAGAAGGTGTGCCTGTTGAGTCACATACATCTTGGTTGACTACAGAGTCAGTTTTGGCATCAGCCAGATCACTGATTAGAGCAACATCCGAGTGTTCACTGTCAGTGCTGTCTTGACACCTAATGCTTGTGACAGTCTTTTCTAGCGTCGATTCAGTTTTGTAATTTAATGTCATTGCACTTTCAGGCCTGGTTGCACTCTCCCCCAGTTTTTTAGTCACGCTCTGTGTGGCACACAACGAGTTCCCGTCTGGACTGTCCGTGCCATCTTCCAAATGAATCTTCCTCATTGAATGACTAAGACGTTCCTCCTTTGGAGTCTTTACATCTGTGTCCCGACAACTCTTCTCTGGGGAGTCTTCTCCCACTTCTATGACTTGTGTGTCTGGGACCGGCGACGGATGTGTAAGATTCCTCTTAGAGTTGGGCGTATTTTTTCCATGCTTCTTGAGGGAGGTTTTCTCCTGTCTGTCGTCACAGCATGTGCACATGTGGCTGACCCTGGGTCGAACTCGCTGACTTCCCCTCGTTGGTGACTGGTCAGATTCAAGCCTCCGTTTCAATCCTGGTCTGGGAGTTGGTGATCCATCCACTGGTTTCCTGCATCCCTGGCACTGACCCTCACCGTGTGAGCTGGAATCATCGGTAATCGTCTGCAATGCTGCCTTTGCATTCATTCTCGTTCGGGATTTCCTTTTGGTCTGGATTTTTTTAGTTGGATCAGCGTTGCTAGCCTCGATTTCCGGAGGCGAGGCATAATTGGAAAGATCAATCGTACTTGGAGATTCTTCACTCTCAACTTTCCTCCGTTTGCTCTTGGTGGGCGTGTTGGGGTCTTCAGAATCTTCTGTGCTGCTCACTTTGGTTAGGTCTTCAACGTCTTCACTGTCATCTGTGCAACTGCAAAGAAAAAACAGACAAATTGAAAACCTTGACGTTCGATACCACATCAAGAATAGGTCATTTTAAGATGTGAAACGGCAAGTTGGATGCTTGGATGAACCACATTTCAAGCACCAGAATGCAAGGTGAAACCGTGTGAAATACTAATAGCACTTTATGCATTCACAGCTTCCCAAGAAATTCTGAGACAAAATCACAAGCTTGTTCGGTTGGACTGCAAACCATAATCTCCAGCATCGGAGTGCAGTTAACGTCACATTTGCTGTGGTCAGCTGACTGATTGGAATCTTATACATTAGCAGGTACTGCAAGCAATAATTTGGTTTAGAATTCTACCAAAACTTGTTTACCCTAACCCAGCCAGATGCAACACTGCGCAACAGTCTGTGGGACCGTGCTGCATTGAGCCATCAACACCAGTGCACAAACTGTCAATTCTGAGACAATGAGAGCTAGTCCCATTGAACAATGCCACAGTTGTATCCTACTGCAGTTGGTGACCACAGACTCCGAGGCATTTTGGCCTTGAGACTTTTGACCTGACAGATCTTGCTACACTGGACAGGCTTCTCACTTTTGTTGATGCGTTGGGCAGGGTTTACCATAGCGTTACCATACCTTGTAATGCTATCTGAGGACATTGCTTTGTCGTGCTGCCTGCCATCAACCCGCTGGACTCCGCCTTCGCCTACCATCTCGGCAATCAGATGCGTACCAGACCTGTCATTTACTTTGTTGATCTTGTTGTTGGGTTGGAGTCGAGCACCGTGCCTGTCCCTCAGGATTAGTTGTTCAGGTTTTGGTTGGTTTTCACTCCTGGAAAAAAAGATGACATCATACCTATTAAGCTTCATGGACGGTTCCACAGGTCTCGCTCTTCCCAGCAAAAGGTTACTCAGCTAAATCGACTACACATTTTCTGAGGGAGGATGTTGATAAAGATGAAGTCTTTATTTCTAGGCCTTGCTGGCTGATAACTAACAATGGAATAAAAATGCACAGGATTTTAATCCAAGTAAAATGCATGTCTGGTGGCTTTATGGTCACTTTTCACAAGTACCCCCTTCACTAGGTTAAAGATGACACAGTTTTGTACACAGAGCCCTCAAGAGTCACCAGGTGTCATTTACCGTCGTTACCAGGCGTAGGTTGCCTTATAAGTTTGTGGTCTCATGTGCTGCCAGGGACAGGCAGAAAGAGGCAGGCAAGTTAGCATGAACCAAACTTCCTCAGAGTCTGTGGTCACCAGCTGTAGCAGGAAACAACTTACATGTAGGCCCTGAAATGTGGCTCAAATACTGGACTTCTTTCGTATTGTGAGCCACAGAACAGTCATACAGTAAATCTGAGGAAAAGTAGATTTTGAGGAAATCGAAATCGAGACTTATTTTTTTCACTTGATATTCACCAAGATGCTTACCTGGTATAATAAAAATAACCAGAGATCCAAAGGTCACATGTACATGACCTGTGACATAGAGAAAATAACTGCAACCTTGAAAAGTACAGGATAACTCCACCTATAGAAACAGACTTAAATTTTTCCTGGGTATAAGCCGGTAATTATATACCATGGTGAATATGTTGGACGCAATCAGTCAATCACGCTGCTACCAGTCAAACATCATTTCTTTCTAATTCATGGCTCTATAGGGATTTTTTTAAGGGTAAGTAAAGTACAAAATATCCTACAGAATCGACCCATCACGCAACGCATTTCTGCGTGATGGACCGATCGCACCTAACAATTTAATACGGACACTGATGGAGGAAGTCCAGTATTTGAGCCACATTATGGGGCTAGATACGACTGCGGCGTTGTTCAATGGGACTAGTGTTTATTGTTCCAGAATTGGCTGTTTACCTGTCAGTTATCAAGCGTGAGAGCTCATACGCATTCACCGATTTTTGACACTTCAATGTAACCTGTAAGTTAAGTGGAAACAATCGCGAAATTCAAGTAAACAAACTCAAAATTACTTGATAAAAACAGAAAGAAAGAAAAACAGAAAAAGTAACTTTAATAATCATTCACCAATGTTATGAATCAATACAGTGTAAATAGCGAGGCATTATTATACAAAGTACAGCAAGTCAGCAATTAACATTTACATAATTAATTTACAATTGAATTTAGACAAGTGTCAATCATCTCGTCTGGTACCTTTTCATTATGCAATGTTTACTATGAAACTTAAAAGGATCGTCAGGGAACCGATCCCTTCCGCATTTCCGCTAAATAGCAAAAAAAATCATACCCATTTCGTGCTGTTTTCAGAGACTACCTCAACAGTGACGCTGTTTGTAGACATCGCTAAACACTTTGACAAAAGTACAAAGGTCTTATGGATTAACCGGGTGGTTTTCAGTCCTAACACCGAGTGTTTTTGTAATCTAACGTTACGTTACACTTTAGTTACGCATGCACCGTGTGCATCGCCGATTGTTCACGAGACTGGTATTCGTTCAGTGTAGTTCATTTGTATGAGGAAGTAAAATGGGTACCAGTGCACAATTATAACAAGGGCGCTGCCATATTGAATTTATTCTGTAAATTTACAAAATAAATTCAAGTCTAAATATCATGTATTATATCAGGACCCACTTCCTATTGCTTTGTACGGAAGTGGAAAAAATACTTATTAGCTGTCTATTGAGAGTTTTCAGCACAACATCTTCACCATTTTATTATTTTCATTCATGAAATGTTTGCATTTTTTTTAATCATAAATATACGTCATTGAGTACGGCAGTGCCGGCTCACTCTAAAAGGTCACAACCTTATTCATACGCAGGATTTTCTCAACATCTAAAATACTTGCATAAAATGCTTGTGATATTTTGATTTATGTATCTGTTTTTATGGATATGCAATCATTCGTTAAATTCAATAACAAAACCCAACTAATTGTGTATAAAATTAAAACGAAAACTAAGTATCGACAATGTAGTTCTGAAAGGTCATGCGGTTATCAGGCTTCACCCGTCTCTCAACTTCGTTCGCTGTAATTTTCTCCAGCAGATAGAGAGGAATTTGTTATATTTTGACGTTTGTGGAAAACAGCTCCAACATTTGAGCACATTGTAGTATTTCCTATACATCAGTGAAGAAACAAAAAAGTCGAAAAGAGAGAATACGTGCCTATGTAATCAGCTCTAAGCTGTTTATAAAACAGCAGCCTACTGTGCTGAGCTGCACCGTAGTGTAGAAGTTTTACACTGTCAATCACGCAGCACAAGCTGCGCGAGTTTCATCGTGGTGTGTCACCGACAATTTTAGGTGTTTACTGCACTGCCAAGTTGTTTCGAGGTTTGATGTATTACTCAACGTGAAACGGACAACAAAACAACATGAGCTTAACCAAGGGCGCAAAGAAAGACACCAAGATGAGGATTCGGGCTTTCCCGGTAAGAAAAAAAGAAAGAAAGAAAGAAAAGAAACATTGGCCCCCTATTTATTATACTAAAAATATTGATCATAAATCATGTTTATTTTTTAATTGTTATTTCTTAGTTTTTATCACAATTATTTACGGAAGCTCAACCTCTTTTATGAAGTAAATTTAATTTCTGGTATTCGTTTATTAATTCTCACTCACTGGTAAATATATGCATGAAATGAGTATTTTGGTGGCTAAAAAAGTTACATGCACGTCGTGCATGCGTGCACCGGGTAAATCGAGCCCTGACTCTACTCCAACAAATTGTGCTCGTAAATGCATTTGCTGTTGGTATTTTCATTGCATATTGTTATTTTGTTATGGTTATTGAATGTTTGACTTCGCTCTATTTTTAATTTCTGTATGTAAACAAGGAAAGAATTGCATTCAACATATATTCATACTCTATGCACAGAATGCATGCACAAACTAATTTTTCTTGTTTTTGTTTTTAATCCATTTGTGATGGTAATTGCTTAAACAAAACTCAAACGTTCAAATATGATTTTCTTTTATATTGAGGCATCAAAGAGGAATCACACTGAAATAATCCATGGAAAATGTTTACCCTCAAGTACTTGTCCCAATCATTAGAATTATGAGCCTGTTGATATATGCCATGAAATAACAAATTTCACATTAAATAATATACAGATAAATAATGAATGTTTGCACGTGATCAACAGCCCATCAATCAGATGATTGGAATTTATTCCTGACGTTGTAAAATATAATTTAACATCTTTTTGTATAAACCTATAGACAGGTTGAAAATGTGTAAAAAGGAACAAATTTTACATTTTCCACATTCTGTGTTAAAAGTGAAATAAAGTCAGTTAGAAGTTTGTATGAATTCAATATTTGGTACATTAATAAGGAACGCTCATAAAATAATCTTATTTTTCCCTGTCAATTCTAATTTAGAAGGTTCCTTTAAATTAAGCTCTTCAGTCGTGTGTCATTTTTACTTCATAGTCCGAACTCTAACTCTTAAATTCAATACTGTCCACTTATTTAATTCATATTGTGTAGTTATCTAATTTTAATAAATAGTGGTGTGTAGAAAGTCTCTGTAGGAGATTAAGGTTAATTCTAACCTACCCAATTCGTCCAAAATCTTTGCATAAATGAGGATTTCGAAGGACAAAGTCGGGTCTCCAGCGATAAAAAGTGGATGATTTTGAAGGCTTCAGGTGTTTAGAGTATATGCCTTTGAATGGAGGATATTGATGGATTCAGGCTGCTCCTGGGCAGGAGGGCTTAGGTTTATATTAGGGTTAACGTACATGTACATTGAGTTTAAAAGGTAGAACTTTGAAAAAGAATAATATTTGGTGTTTCTTTTTATCATTTAATTTAAAGTATCATTCAAATGTCCAGAACTGAAGTCATCTTATGAATGTAACAGAATTTGAAATGATCATTTGAAAATTATCTTACAAAACTATTTGTTTGTCGGTTTGTTGAATATTGCTTTTTAAACACTGTCGTCCATGTTTTCAGGATCAAGAATGTAAAAATCAGTTGAAATTGTTTTCATGATTTTTTTTCTAGTACAGCCTTTCAAGTACAGCCTTATATTGCTGTCCTCGTCTAACTTTTTTCATGTCTCTTTTTTGGCACAAGTTCATTTTATCTCAACCGCTCTCAACCCAGGCACATGAAATGTCACACACTGAGACCCGCCGTTTTAACCTTATCATTAATTAGACGTAGGTAATGAAGTTTAATTGAAGTTTTCCTACATGCGGACAATTGTGGAACTCACTCATTAACTTCACATCCACTAGGACAGTCTAGCTTCTCTTTTGCATTTCGATGAAAGTTCGAAGCATTGGCAATGTTTGAAAACTTCATGCAAGTACATTCACGGAACTGTACGCGAATAAAAGGATGTTTCACTCTGTTGATTTGGTTGTAATTGTTAATCTTCTCTAATCCGTCATCAGACCAATATGGACGACAAGTACGTGGATAATATCTGGGCGCTGCTGAAGAATGCCATTCAGGAGATCCAGCGAAAGAACAACAGCGGGCTGAGCTTTGAGGAGCTGTACCGCAATGCTTACACCATGGTGCTGCACAAGCACGGCGAGAGGCTGTACACGGGCTTAAGGGACGTCGTCACTGAACATTTGGTGGAGAAAGTAAGAAACTTTATTTTTGGTTTCTTGTGCAAGGCTTGAAATGCTAGACTAAGTCCAGTGATTTTAAACCATTAGCACTTGTGTTACATTGTACTACAGTTGTTGTTCTGCACTCCCTGTTTTCAGAATCCATGCATAAAGTTATGTACCTGCATTTTTTTTCCCCAATAATCTGTAGGATTTTCCTCTTGACTGAAATATTTTCATAAGTACATTTTCCTTCATTGAGATTGGTAATGAACCTAAGTATAAAAAAAGTATGACGTCAAAAATCTAACTTAAATATGTATTTTTGTAATAGGTTCGAGCTGATGTCCTGGCATCGCTGAATAACAACTTTCTACAGACGCTGAATGCAGCCTGGAATGACCACCAGACAGCGATGGTCATGATCCGAGATATCTTGATGTACATGGTAAGAAACTGCCTCTAAATCATGCTGCAAGTTACAACCATTCATAAACATTAAAATAAATGCCTCGTCTACATTACCACAAAATTCTATACTTGTACACGAATACAAGTGAGACAAGTTTGTAAATTACCTTTCACAATTTTCTTAATTTTCTTCTGGGGAACAGATACATGTAAGAATAAAAAGGGATTTTTTTCGTATGTTATTTCTGTGTAAATTTACTGTTTATTCAGATTCTGGTTAATAGGTTATTTTTTAACCCCAACCCCCTTGAGTGATTTACTAGGAACCTTCCTCACTCTTGCAAAATCCAACACCATATGGTAAACTAAACACCCAAACTGTTGGACTCTGATTATGGTGGTATGCCTGACCCCATGTAAAGCATAATCAGTTTACTAGTGCAGTACTCACTCCAACAGATTCCAACAGAACATGCAGTTGGAGTTTGAAATGTTGGGGATGGCTAGGGTTCAGATGGTGGTTTTATATTGTGAATCAATGTTTGTAGTTCAGTTCATTTCAATTCATCACAAGTCATATCACAGATAAATCACTAGTCCTTTGACACAAATTCAAGTAACGGAGGATGATTAATGACAAAGGAATGCTCTGTCACAGTTAAATTGAGTACACATGTGTAGCTAGTGGCTTGACCTGAGACTGAATCACTTGTGATGGACTAGTGATGGATACGACCACAACAGCTCTGTCAATACAAAATATGACTCACTTCATTTCAATGTTGTAAATGTGCGATGACATTTATGAAAATCTAAAACCTAATCAATATTTTTAATCTGTTAAAATGGCTCAACTACAGATGGTTGTCCAGCCTTCTTCATATGTGTGTGTTTACTTTTATATTTTAAATCTAGACTTTTGATGTTTTGTAAGCAGTTCATTCTCAATTCTTAAATTCATCTTTTCCTGCACCCCTAGTGCTCCTCCCATCGACCCCATTCAGGCCCTCTGCCTCCTCCTTATTTCAGTTTATCATTCCTTACATCTTCCTGTTTTAACAGAAAGCTATTACCTTACCGTCCAAGAATCCGAGGAATTTCTAGTACCTACTGCAAATGGATGAGGCTTGCCTGATAGATAGAAATCCAGTCTGCTCACAGCTGACCTCAAGACAAATATTTCCCCTAGCCTTGTCCTTTCCTTGTTACTTGGTCCAGTTGCCTGGTCTTGAATTTCAAATTGTGTAACCGTACACTGGTTAGGATGTGTTCAGCGGCATTGGGTTTGTGTTCTCGAATGCCTGCTGCAATGGAGATTTGTGTGTCAAATAATGCAGTACATGTAGGTGAGAAGTAGGACAGACATGTTTGAGGTGAAGGAGATCACTGTTTTAACATTGCCAGGGCTCAATTTTGCGGAGCCACTAAAGCAGGAAATGCTTAGCGCATTTATGCACTAAGCAGAAATTTGATGAGAACCAATCACGAGCAGTTGACTTTGCATGGCATTTTGGCTGGTAACCTGTTTCTGCTAAGCAAATTTTTTTCCATGCTAAGCAGTTTTGTATGCATAACAGCTCTATTAACTTTGTTTCGTGTGCCTCTTTCATGGGAGCTGCATGCACAGAATTATGCTAAGCACGAAATAAATTTGTTAAGCAGAAACAGCTCCAGTCAATTTCTTTGTTCAACCTTTTAAAATTGAATTGGGCCCAGTTTGAAATGTGTGCGTCTTGTGTTTCACCCCCCTCCCCCCTGAAGGATCGTGTCTACGTGCAGCAGAACAAAGTAGACAACGTGTATAACTTGGGGCTGAAGATCTTCCGTGACCAGGTGGTGCGTTACGGCAACATCCGCGACCATCTACGCCAAACGCTACTGCAGCTGGTCATGAAGGAACGCCGGGGAGAAGTTGTTGACAGGTACAGTATCAAGCCACTCTCCCCCCCCCCCCCCCCCCCCCCCAATATATGAACAGACTCCAATCAGACTTTAAAGACTCCAAAAACTTTAAGCCTCTTAAATTATTTCCGGGACACGGGACTAGTTTTAAAAAACAAAAATGAAAACAGACATTCGGTTGGCCTTTTCACAGAATATTTGACTTCATTTTATAAAAAAAAAATAAAAAAATTACTGTTTTGGTCTTCTCATAGGACATGTTACTTTAGTATTTTGTCATTTGTAGTAGTGGCCAATGTTGAGCAACTATGAATTAACTATTGAATCTTTGGAATATTCTCTCTTTATTTTCAGGGGTGCAGTGAAGAATGCATGCCACACATTGATGGTGCTGGGCATTGACTCCAGATCTGTGTATGAGGAAGACTTTGAGCGGCCCTTCCTAGAACAGTCGGCAGAGTTCTACCAGGTAAATACTTAATTGTACTACATTAGTTGTGCCTGGTTGAGTTCAATCCAAATGATATCTCATAAAATAAATACACAAGCAGCAGGTTGTTTTCTTTTCATAGTGACTATCATTGCAGCTACAGCTGTAATGTAATTTCATTTGTTTTCTTAGTGAATTTTATTTTAAAGGGAAATTAAGTCCCAGAAACATTCCGCATTCGGTTGATAGTCTGGTTTCCAGAGCCAAAGATCCTGACGTTGAATATTGTCAGGTCAGGGAACCAGACAGTCAACTGCTGTACTAATAGCCACTACGTTTTGTTTTAGTTGGCACAGTGAGTTCAATGGTTATACAAACTGTATGTCTGAATATGTGGCGCAAAGATATGCCATCCTCAAATCTGGTAACTCTCTCTCTCTCTGTTCACACAGACGGAGAGTCAGAAGTTCCTTGCAGAGAACAGTGCCTCAGTCTACATCCGCAAGGTGGAGGCTCGCATCAATGAAGAGGCCGAGAGGGCAGCACACTACCTGGACAAGTCCACAGAGGAACCGATCGTAAAGGTATTCCATGCCCCACAAGGGCGGATCCAGAACACAATTTTTTGGGGGGCCCAAAAAAATTTTTTGGATTCTAGATGCTCTGTGGTGCGATCTGAGGCAATTTCTGACCACTTTAACCAATGTTTTTTTGAGGAAAATATGGTGGTGTACTCATTGCTTGCCTTTATTGCGATGTCACATAAAAAAAAAAAAATTGGTTTCGTTTTTGGGGGGGGGGGGGGGCCATGGCCCCCTTTGGCCCCCCCCTGGATCCGCCCTTGATGCCCCATACAAACGTCAGTTTTGATGAATTTTTTAAAATTGATACATTGTATGGCTTCAGTTACTTGATTCAATACAAGAAAAAGGACTCTTCGGCAGTTTGCATACTTCGACTTCATTAGCCTGAACATGAGTATAGTACAGCTGCATGGCTGTGCCTAAAATTTTATGACTGTAAAAAAAAAACGTTATTAGATGCTTTAATTGAATAGTTGCCACTTTTTTTGTACTTAACCCTCTGTATTATTTTTCAGGTTCTGGAGGATGAGTTGATCAGTAAACACATGAAAAATATTGTCGAGGTAAGCTTTATTAAATTTCAATAGAATTCCATTAACTTTTTCAAAACGTATTAAACTGTTTTGCAAGATGTTTTTTTTTTGTAAATAAATAACTCTATAATGTAAGAGTGAGAATGGTATTTGAAATTCTTCCTTTCAGATGGAGAATTCGGGTGTGGTTCACATGTTGAAAAACAACAAGAAAGATGGTAAGTCGGAAAATTCATTTGCATGCTCATTTGTTTCACTTGTGGTAAAACCATTTTGCCATTTTGTTTGCTTCATGGAATTAGTAGTATTCATACTCTATCATTCAAGAATAATTTCAGAGTCGTTCACAGAAAGAGTAGGGTGAATTTCAGGGAGCTGTTTAGAGCAGAAATTGACCAGTTGGGGTGTGCACAGCAATAGGTAAGCATTTGAAATAAGTGGACAGATGCAATAAGTAAGCCGTATTTTTGCCTTTTCTCCCCTGCAGACCTAGCCTGTATGTACAAGCTCTTCATCCGTGTCCCTAAGGGTCTAGAAACCATGTGCCAGTGTGTGAGCGGGTACCTACGAGAGCAAGGCAAGGCTCTGGTGCAGGAGGAGGACAGCGGAAAGAATCCAATACAATATGTTCAGGTGATTCATTCAAGCCAATCAAAATTAACAAATCGGAATTGTTCTCCGTTGCAAAAGATAAGGCAGAGCTTGCAATGCCTTTTTACTGTAGAAACGGCTATTGCATTAAGAAAAAGTTGTCGTGTCCGTTCAACAATGTCTTATCTCCTAAAATGGGCACTACATGAAATGGGAGTTTCAGAATGTCTAAGGTCGTATCTCACTAAAAATAACCCGGATGTACACACAAAATCCATGGACGTCAAGATACGACCTTGTTGCACGGAGTGTATTCGTAGACTTTGTTGCAGAATGGAGTTACGACCTTGTTGCACTGACACGACAAAGTGTTGTGTTCACAATAGCTTCATTATTGAATTGCACCAGCTCAGACATTTTACACGGAAAAGGTTTGAAAAAATTGTTTAAATAATAAATTTAAATAATTATTGTTTTGACATTTTGTTGATCTAGGACCTCCTGGAACTGAAGGACAGATTTGACAGGTTCCTGCGGGAGTCCTTCAACAACGATCGCAAGTTCAAGCAAACCATCTCAGGGGACTTTGAATACTTCCTGAATCTCAACCCCAAGTCGCCAGAGTATCTGTCCCTCTTCATCGACGACAAGCTCAAGAAGGGAGTCAAAGGGGTAAGACATCACTTTTCTCCTCCCAGACTCTAGGAGGTAACTCACTGTGTGGGGAGGCGGCTTCGCCACCTTTTGCCCACTTTGTGAGCGAGTACCCATGTGGCAGGGGATTAGGGCTGTCCATTTTCAAATAATTTAGTATTTGATTATTCAAAACTTCATTTGACCGAATATTGGAATATTTGCGAAACTCACTGATCAAGTTTTACATGTGCCAGCTGCAACTGCGTGCTGCATCAGTCAAAGTTGCACACAAGCGCTGGTTAAGGTTTGCATGCAGTGATCAATATTATGAACTGCTGGAATGTTTTGCAGTATTTTATAACTATCAATGGCTTTAACCTGTTGATCAGACTTGAACACTGAACACTGTTGACAAAAACTGATGGGATTTTGATGGACCCGGCCACAACACTACAGCATTCTGTTGAAAATAAACTTGAACATTTATTTATTCAGTTGTATCAGTTTCTCTGTAAACATCTGAATTCTTCAATTTACTGCCTCAAATTCCTCTTTAGTAATCCTTATTTTTAAAACCTACTTTTGCAGTTGTCGGAGCAGGAAGTGGAGGCCATCCTGGACAAGAGCATGATCCTGTTTCGTTTCCTGCAGGAGAAGGATGTCTTTGAGCGCTACTACAAGCAACACCTGGCCAAGAGGCTACTACTCAACAAGAGCGTCTCAGACGACTCGGAGAAGAACATGATCTCCAAGCTCAAGGTAAACAAAGCAAAGTTGTATATTTACATTTGCTCTGAAATATTGTCAGTTTGATTTTTGTCTGATGTCTCATTTGAATTTTCCTTCATTCAACAGACGGAATGTGGTTGTCAGTTCACGTCCAAGCTAGAAGGAATGTTCAAAGACATGACCGTGTCCAACACATTCATGGAGGAGTTCAAGAACCATGTGCAGACAGCCCAAGTAAGTTGGGCCCCGTCTCAATTCATATCCGGGACAATTTGTGGGTAGAAGTGTTCACTTTGTCTGGAAGGAACTCTGCATTTGTCCCGGACATGTTCTGGGAAAATTTCATTAGCAACTGCTTGACTCATCTATACTGATAACTTCATTGCAGGGAAGATTGCATGGAAGTCGTTCATAATCCTGCAACTTATATCCAATACAATGACGAGAACTTGTCTGGAGTTTGTCCAGGATGTGAGTTGAGACGGGCCCTTACCATCTTTTTCTTATAACCAATATTTCATCAAGTAGCTAAAGTTTAAAGTGATCTTTGTCAATGCTGCAATTTTTTACTCACCAGATCAACATGTATGGAGTGGACCTGAGTGTACGTGTCTTGACCACCGGTTTCTGGCCTACGCAGTCAGCCACACCACAGTGTACCATACCGCACCAGGCCAGAGGTGCCTTTGAAGCCTTCAAAAGGTACATCAACCAATGTTCTCGCACCCCAAATATATTGATTATTTTATCCCAAGACTTGTAAATAAGCATTTTAGAGTTGGATACATTTTTGTCTAAAAGGATAGATGGTAAAGTCGGACTAATCAAGGCAACTAGAGTCTGAAAATGGCCAGTGGGTCATTGGCCTATTGACCTATGAGGGGTCAACTCAAGTTAAATATCCACACACATATGACTGAGGCGCTACATTCTGCTTGACGTGTAAGCTTGCTGGAGAAGTAAGCTAATCCAATCAAGGAGAAGGTGACGGTGTTAATGCACATACTAACCAATGCACTATCAGAATGTTGGAAGGCATTGCCTGTTACCATTCGCATGTTTGTTGTCCCCATCCACAGGTTTTACCTGACAAAGCACACAGGAAGACAAATATCGCTGACGCCGCAACTGGGCTCAGCGGACCTACACGCCGTGTTCTACGGGTCTAAAAAGGCAAGTATGAACCACCAGTAGACTGTAAATTGGATGTACAAGGAGTTACAGATCACGGCCAGTCTTATAGAGGGGATGCTCAAATGAGTGGGTTTCCTCTAACTTGGGATGGGTTGGTTTAGTGATGTTTCTCTTGCCTACCAGTGAAGATGACCGTGGTTCGAATCACAGCCACTGCACCGCATACATTTGGCTGTCCGTCCCAAATCTGAAAGTTTTCTCAAAATCAATTTTTTGTCACTTCCTGCATCTAGGACTTTCATTTCCTCTCTGAACCCTGAGCAACATTTTAGAAGAATTACATTAAGTTTACTTTCTTGGATCATTGGCTGTTTCCACAAGGAAGAGAAAACTCAGTGAAGCTATCTATCAACACTGGCTTTGGATGTACGAGATATTTAATTAAGAAATGGGTATTTAATTAGTATTGTTTCTTGGTTCACAGGAGGTGGGCAAGCAAGAGCAGCGACGACACATCATCCAGGTGTCCACGTACCAGATGTGCATTCTAATGCTGTTCAATACAAGAGAACAGGTCACATATGAGGTACGGTTTAAGCATTATTGCTCAGCACTCTTTCGTTTTCTGCAAGCCTGAGAAATTAACTTCACAGTTGTTGTGTTTCCGGGGGTTTCAAAACCAAGACTACATTTTTGTTATCTCTTTGCCCCTCACAGGAGATCATTCAAGAGACGGATATCCCTCCTAAGGATCTGATCAGGGCGCTGCAGTCACTAGCCTTGGGCAAACCCACGCAGAGAATACTGGTCAAAGACCCGAAGTGCAAAGACATAGGTAAGCCTCTGGTATAGTCTCAGCAAAATCCATCAAGTGAAACTAATAACCTAGTCTTCACATGTGCCAGGAATCAGGAATGGCCTTTTCAAGTCATGAGCACCTCAATATGATGGCATCGGACAGGGAAATTGTTATGATTTCTGAAGGAGGATTCCTAGTGAAATGGGTACATTATAAGTTTTGAGATGGTACCTACTGGTATATTTTATGTGGTTTTCATTGAATTTTCATTGCAAATTGTTCACAGTATGTCACATTTTCAAAGTTATTAAGTTCTACAAATTAACAGAGTTGTCTAAAATGTGATAAAATTGTAAAAACAAAGTTAAGATTCTTGTATTTCTTGTGCCGTATGTGTGACTTTCCTGTGTCGTATGTCTCACTATTTACAAATATTTTTTGGCTGTGTTTTCTTTGCAGAAAATAGCCACATTTTTACTGTCAACGACATGTTCACCTCGAAGCTTTTCAGGGTCAAAATCCAAACAGGTGAGTTTTTTTTCAATCAGAAATATCACCCTTTTCAGCTCAAATATTCTATCAGACACTTGGTATTTGTTCAATGTTTACTTGTCCTTGGTCCTTGGTCAAGTTTGAGAAAGTGGCACATTTAAAAAAAAAAACATGAGTGGATGAAATAAAAAGAAGATTAGCAACGTACTTACAATCATTTTTTTGAATGTATTTCAGTGGCAGCTAAGGGTGAGTCGGAGCCAGAGAGGAAAGAAACGAGGACAAGAGTGGATGAAGACAGGAAACATGAATATCCTTTGTGTCACTTCTCTCAATCTTGAATTGCATCGAAATCATTGATTCACCACAGCAGCTAGAATTGCTTGGCACACAAATGTGCTGAGCAGGGGGAAAAAAAGCCTTTGCATCTGCTTACCTGCCAAAAAGGGATTCAGGTTTATCACATGACTGGTGCTCAGCGTGACAATTCCCTGAGCAGTATATTCTGCTTAGCAGCTCGGAGAAAAAAATGTTGTTTCAAAGAACTGGATTTCAAGATCTCCATTTAATATTAAATGCTTCATCTGTTACGCCATTTTAAATAGTTTAACTCTATTAGATATGGAATGCTTTAAATGTGCCATATGAACCGAATCACAACATCAACCTTAACCAACTGATTACGATTGAAGCTGCAATCGTCCGCATCATGAAGTCAAGAAAGAAGAGGCAACACAACGTACTAGTAGCTGAGGTAAGACAATAAAGCACACAGTTTTGTTTTCTTTTTTGTGGTTGCAGTTTGCCTGTTCCTTCCCGTGCACAGCTTGTGTGCAGGCATACCCTTTGCGTTAAATTGGAACCAGTCTAAAGTCCTCATGTTCTGTCATATGAAGTCCTGTAGAACATTACTGTGATCATTTTAAATCTTTAAATAAACTTATTAATTTGAAATTGTAATTTCTTAGGTAACTGAGCAGCTCAAGTCTAGGTTTCTACCCAGCCCCGTTGTCATCAAGAAGAGAATAGAGAGCCTTATTGAGAGGGAGTATCTAGCTAGAACAACAGAAGACAGGTAAGTGCCCCCCCCTCTAAATTTCTCAACCCCGCCCTCCCCATCCCCAACACCATCCACCAACAAACCTTTTCATAGATGCTTTGCACAGAGTAGCCCCTGGTGTTGACAATATACCATCAATTGAGGGCAGCGTTGCATTTTTTCTTATTTATGAGTCTGCTCAAAAAAGCACTTGATTGTGAATAGGCTGCACAGCGCCCTCAAGAGTCCATACTGGCTTCATACCGTAAGCTTGGTTGCAGCAGGCAATAACACGCACCTATGTAAGCCACTGGCTAGCGGCTACAGCCCCTTCCCATAGACTGGTGTGCTATTTACAGCCGTAGCCATGTGATTCCCATACAGCCGCACATTCCACATTGTGTATATTCTGCAATAGAGGCAAACTTGCGTATTTAAACATTGAAGGATGTTTTCATTGATCAATTTAACTACTGTTTACTTCACATTGAACAATATTTTCTGCTCTGATTTGTGAGAGCACTTGTACAGATATTCAAATGAATAAAAGTGTATTCAGATAAGTCCTATGAATCTCCGTGTTATATTGTTGCAGAATTTTCCAACAAATTCTCCATTTCTCTTATTTTCTGAATAGGAAAGTCTACACGTACGTTGCATGAGTTGACAGCGTGCAGTACAATGAGGATTCCCCCGCACAAAGTGAATCTTCGTACACCGTTGCCACTTTACAGGACAGTAGGAAAGTTTGCTAGATGACATCCATTTAGACCCCAATGCTTTAAGAAATCTTCAGCGTGAACAACGAATAGTAGTCCTGTAAAAACAAAACTCCACCTTTTTTCTGGGGGCAAACATTTGTTTTTTTTTTATTGATATGCTCTAGGAGCACCCTCTTGTAATAACAAAAAGGAATGCCGAGTTTTGCATATTGCACATCGTGATGAACAATAAGAATGTCTCCTGTCTGCCTGCCAGATGGTTTGGGAAATTTCCCTGAGATATAACTCGAAATGATTTGCCGGGCTTATAGGCCATCAGCCTGGGGGTTTGGTCGGTATCAAATGAGGGGAAAAGTGCTCATTGTGATTTTTGGCAAGGTATGCACCCCTGTAGTTGGAAAATCTGTGATAGCATTGCAGAGGTGGCAGCGTTTTTGGTGCTATCACTTTTTTTTTTTAAAATGGCGGCCAAAACATGCTTGTTACCACATATAATTAATCCGGTTACAAGCATATTGGCCGTTTTGCAAAAAAAAAAATTAAAGTGATAACACCCCCAAAAAACTGCCGCCGCTCACACTGCAAAGCTATCACACATTTTCCAACTCTAGATGCGCATACCTTGCCAAAAATTGCTATGAGCATTGCTCCTTTTCATCATTTGATACCGGTGGCCCAATTTTTGGACCGAAGCTGATAGCCTATTATAAACATTTTTTTAGCAATAGTGCTGTCCAAATTTTTGGAGGCTACAAAAAATTTGATCTACCAATACTGGTTACAGTATTAACAAATTTAATTGACTCATGCAGTTGCCAGTATTTGGTATGTAATCATAAGATGCAATATTCTGAAGTCGATAAATGTATACGGAAGTGAAGGGGTCTGTCACGAAGACAAATTAGAAAAACAAGCCAATTATGATTTGATGAGTGTGTGAGAACCACTGATCCCAGCTTCGTCTTGCATTTGAGACCTTAAAAGGGGCTGTAGTTTTGTTGTTGCTATCTTATACTTGTTGGTGGGGATGTACTGGGTGGGGGGGTGTTTACTGGGGTTGTGGAGGAATGGAACCCCCTCCCCACCCTCCCTCCCTCCCCCCGATCCTTACTTCCAAACCATTCACAGTATGGTGTTTAAGCCAATTGGTGACAGCTCTGAAACTTTGTAATATTTTCATTATATTGCAAGACGGTGATGTGCAAGATGGCCAAATGAGTATCAGCTTGCCTTTAATCACTGACTGAATCGGATTTCTTGCAATTCCAAAATTGGATTTTTTTTTCTTCAGGAATGAGTGTTTAAAATGAACAACCTCGTACGAGTTCAGAGTTTTTTTATGGCATATCCACAATGCATTCTTTAGTGAAAGCTGCTTAAAAGAGTTGCAAACTATTCTTGAAATTCAACTAATGTACATGCACTTGGGGATAGGATGGGGTGACCTTTTGTTTTTATTTATTTAGCTAACTGGTTATAGAAAGCCTCATCAGCAATATTACATTTGCAAAAGTATGCATAAAAAAGGGGTGGCCAATTTCATAACACGGTGTTCTTCATGGAATTTTTTAACCTCTTCTATGGTAAAAAGCCCGTTCTTGATATTAGAAATGATCAAGATTTACATTTAACAATGTTGTCTTCATGTTGAAGACTTTCCTTTTTTTATGCAAAATATCTAATACTTAGTGTGTTAATTTGACAAAAATCTTGGTCATTATATTAAACAAGCATTAATCACTGAAACGCCCCTTATTGTCAGCTAGTAAAATGGTTATATTCCCTGTAATAATTTTAGTATGCTCCACAGCTCCAGGCCATTATACTCGATAAAAATCCACAACATTTGGCACTGGGCAGTGGTGAAGGCATATCGTCCGTGTTTCTCACTTTTTGAAACTTAATGTAATTCCTCTTCTTAGCTGAAATAATTATATGTGAACCATTATTTCAAGGAGGATCATTATTTTGTGATGCACAAGTCCATTTCTCCACTTCAAAAGGGATCTAAAAAAATCTACAACACATGTACATGTACAGTGTATTGTGATATACAGAATGGAAGTCACGCATCAGTGGGGATCTTTGGGTTTTTGTTGTGTGTTTTTTTTTGGGGGGGGGGGGAGTAGGGGGTCTTCTTTATCCAAAGTGTAAATTACCTTAAGCATCCACTGTTAATATTTAAAAAGGGTATGATGCAGCTCGTTAATACAAAAATAAACAACAAAATTGTGTTTAAATTTTTTGGAAAAAATAATGCTGTTTTCTTGTGTGGAATATTTTTGTGTTTGTTATTACGGTTACCGGTGAGATTTTTTTTTTTATCGAGAGATACTTTGTCATGTTACATTTGGAAAGAATGTTGCATCAGAAAGCCACTTTTTTTTATCATATCTCATGCTCAATGACGGTCAGTCTTTGCAAAAATATTGAAAAGACATGGATCTAGGACTGACAAACATTTCAATTTTGTTGGAAAATACTTAAAAAATGCATTTGACTCTCCATTTTGTACACAACCAAAGAAGCGGCGTCTGGATACTTCATTCATTCCTTAAGTTTCTGAAAGAATTTAGCGGTCTCCGGCACTCTTTTGTGGCCCAATCACTTGAGGGTGGTAAAAATGAAGGTTCAGCTGAGCTCTGAAAGAACTCTGAACAAGTCTTTCAACTTGTATTTCCCTGAAATTTGGATGAAATTTGTCCCCAAAGTTGCTTAATTTTGCATTGGACTTGGAAAGATCTGGGAGGGATCATTTTTTACAAATTGTGATGGGTTTCAACATCATCTTCAGAGGGGAAAATCACCCAAAACTCATCGGTTACTGCCGGAAAATGTGAACAGAAGTGACAGAGAAAAAAAGCAATCTGATCATGAACAACAGGAAGACTCCCCCCCCCCCCCCCCCCATTTTCTGCACCTTACCCCCAAAAAGAATAATAGCGCCCTCACTCGACTGAGTGGGACAACGTACTCCAACATGGCGACCATCATGAGAGCGAGTCGGCTGCTCGTAGCTACCGACGTTTTGCGGCAGGGAAGGTGGGTATTTGCCGATAAAACTTTCTGTGAATAACCGGATATTGAAGTGTGATTATCTATGTTGAGTGAGGAGTATTTTTGGATTGAAACGAGTGTGATTAATGGATAGAATTTATCTCTTAATAATTTGCCAAATTTACGGACATGTGCCGGTATATGTGAACTGAATGAGAAACCTTAGTTTTACCATCGAGCAAGGTTGCTCTATCATAGTCTATGGTTTTGCTTTAGGCCTAACTTGAGAAAATGACCAAGAAATAGGAGCCATAAAAGATTACGGAATAAAATGTTGCAACCTGACGCCACTTCAGCAGTTGTGTACAAAGTCTGTGGAGAGTCAAAAATACTAAGATTTAGTCTTTTCTATTTAACCACAGGAATACTGGCAGGTGGTTTAAAATTAATTCTCAATCATCATGCAGACAGCTGTCAGGTAAGTACAACACTGTGTTGTAGTAATCTCAATGTTCCTATCCACTTTCTCAAATTATTAAAACAAACATTTCAAATAAAAGTAGAAGCAGTAACCTTTCTTGTTTGTTTGATGCAAATTGTGATAGGATCTCATAAAAAATGAGTCTAAAGACGTTTTTCATTTATTAACAGTAATTCTTGTCTCCTAGATGTTGCTACGATGCCAATCAGCAAGGTGCTCATTGCAAACCGTGGGGAGATTGCCTGCCGAGTCATACGCTCAGCTCGCAAACTGGGCATCAAGACGGTAGCAGTCTACAGTGACGCTGACAAGCATTCTATGCATGTGGCAATGGTAAGGCCATGTCGGAATCATTTGGCCACAGCCAGAAATAATACACGCACACCTATGGAAGCCATTGGCTAGCGGCTGCAGCCACTTCCCATAGACTTGGCATTATCGCCAGCCATAGCCAGGTGATTTGGACATGGCCTAAGAAAAACACAAATTACTTCATTATTGCAAACAGGTGTGGCAATGCAACCACATTTGTTGCACTCTCGCGTTGCATTCTGAGCTCACAATTGAAATCTATTTCCATCTTATTGCAATATGCTTCTACAATCACCAATTCATTCAGAATGTCTGTGCCCAGAATATGTCCGAGGGAATGAGGAGTTAATTCTTGTATTAAATTGATCTTAATCTGCCATATGCCACATAGTTCATCAGATGTAAAAGTCTGTGGCACCTTGCTACATGGAGCCATCAACACCAGTGCATAAAGAAAGTGAGCTAGCCCCATCAATTCCTTGCATTGGGAAAGGTTTCAAGCCAAAAACAGGCTGGAGGGTTAGTGACCTTAGTGTTAATATAGGTCTATGGTTGTGATTGCTCCATCAGGCAGATGAGGCTTACCACATCGGTCCAGCCGCATCCCAGCTCAGCTACCTCAACAAGCAGAAGATTCTCCAAGTCGCTAAATCCTCCGGTGCTCAGGCCATCCATCCTGGCTATGGCTTCCTCTCAGAGAATACAGAGTTTGCCGATCTCTGTGACAAAGAGGGGGTGATTTTTGTCGGGCCTCCGTCTTCGGCTATCAGGGATATGGGCATCAAGAGGTACAAGTTATTTTCAAAATTGCGTTTTGCCCTACACCATCATTTTTTTTTAAATTCCTTTTTTAATTTGTTGATATGAAGGGCCAGGCAACTGTCCTCTTTTTGACTGAGTCACTTATTGACTGAAAAATACCTCTGGTCTTGGCATTTCTTTTTAAACAACGAGCTCGTTTGGGCTAGTAGATATTTACATTTATATGAGTCCCATCATAAAATAGGCCCAGCGATTTTTTGTTTTACACACTCTTTGAAATTGTCTTCTCCAATATGTTCTTGTCCGTGAAGCACATCCAAGTCTATCATGTCAGCCGCTGGAGTGCCAATCATCGAGGGTTACCATGGCACAGACCAATCAGATGACAGATTGAGGGCGGAGTCAGAGAAGATTGGTTACCCGGTCATGCTGAAGGCGGTCCGAGGAGGCGGTGGTAAGGTGAGTGGTGATTGCCAATTCAGCTCTGACTTGCAAGCTTTCTTGGAAGTTCTTTATCTGAACTATATGATCAGATTAACAAAAACCTTAAACTTTGAATGGTTTGTTAAAAAAAATTACCAAAGTTGTATAAAAAATGTTGGCCATCTATGCAGACCATCTATCAACATTCAGTTGTGGCAACTCTCGGCTGCTTTAAGGATAAGTTTCTAAATTCTACAGAAAACTTCACAGATACAGTTTCATCTCGTGCCTTTCTAAATACTACTACTGAAACGTCTGTCATTCCTAAAATTACGATTGTTTTTTTTTTCTTCAGGGAATGCGTATTGTGATGACAGCGGCCGATTTCGACGAAGCCCTTGAATCAGCTCGGAGAGAGGCTCTGAAGTCGTTTGACGATGACGTCATGCTCGTGGAAAAATTTGTAGATACGCCCAGGTATTGACAATTTGAGATCTGTCCCGAATCCTCTAATTTTAATATGATTTTACATATACATCCTATGGGGGCTAGGGTTATAGTTTAAACACTCCATGGAACAACCTATAAAATAAATCCTTCCTCGAAAAAAAATTCAGTCCAATGTGATTGTTGGATTGACATGTGACACACATGAATATTGACTTCCTGCTTTCTAACTTTAAAGAAAAAAAGAATTTATATTCCGGACGCTCAATTTTTTTGTTTTCTTCAGGCACGTTGAGGTTCAGGTGTTTGGGGACAGACATGGCAACTATGTCTACCTGTTTGAGAGAGACTGCAGCGTCCAGAGGAGACACCAGAAAATCATTGAGGAAGCACCCGCAGTAAATACCAACTATTTCAGACCTCCAGAAATGATATTTCAGCTTGGACAAATATTCAGAAATTTTCACAAATTTGTTGCAATTAATGATGTGTTTTAGTAGCATTGGTTTTGTAAAAATGTAATATGGTCTGATGCTCACTTGAACTTGTTGAAACCTTGAATAAACAAGCATTATTTTAATGTGAATTCTTGTTTTTTCTTCAGCCCGGTTTGTCTGAGGAGGTCAGGAGGAGTATTGGCGAGGCAGCGGTCAGGGCAGCTAGGGCCGTCAACTACGTGGGAGCAGGTTGGCTAACGTAGCTTCCTCTTGTTGTTTAGCAAAGAGTTGTCTGTTTTAGTGTTGAATTTATTGCCTTAATCCTAACCCTGCCAGACACAACACACTGCATCAGGTGGAAAAGTCTGGTGCACTTTGATGCATTCAGCTACAAACACCAGTGCATGAATGGCGTCTGAGATGATAGGAGCTACAATGCCACAGTTGTATCCTGCTGCGTGCGGTGACCACAGACTCTTGAGGCAGTGTGGCCTTGAGACTTTTCCCCTGATTGATTTGGTAGGCTTGTCACTTAGACAAGTGTTGCATGTTGCTGCATTTTGGCAGGGTTTCTAGCCAACATACCCTGGTTAGGGTTAACTTACTAGTACCAGTACTACATGGTTTTGCAATGTATTTACTTCCCCATGATTTCATGATTTCAAGTGCCTTGAAGTTCATGGCTACGGCTGTCGGTGACACACGTGTCTATGGGAAGGGCTTCATCCGCAAGCCACAGCCAAGTTATTTGGACACGGCTAAATGTCTTTTTTTAGATGCTCTGTGAATCTTGTAGTATACATACAAACCTTGATATGTTGTCTCCTCTTCCTGAAGGCACGGTTGAGTTCATCATGGACAGCCAGCAGAATTTTTACTTCATGGAGATGAACACGAGATTGCAGGTCGAGCACCCAGTCACTGAGATGGTCACCAACACCGACCTGGTGGAATGGCAACTAAAGGTAGATGGAAAAAGGAAAACAAAAAATCTTACAGAATCCAGCTGTTCAAAAGTACAAGTTTGCATAGCTCAAAAGTTGCTATTAAGCAAAACCAACAGATTACAGTCACCTGACAGTTGTCATGTGACTAGTTGTCAATCGGATGTGCTTAGCACACAAAATTGTGAATAACCCATATTTTTTACCAAGACGTGACTGAAATGAAATTTGCAACAAATTAGGATTAATTTTTAATTACTGCACCTGATGTAGGCTATTTCTTGAACTACGACAAAAGCATTGATACAGAAATGTTAAAAACTGACACGTTTGAACGTTCATAAATTAAGGGTTGAATAGTCAAGAAATCATAAAAAAGTCAATAAAAAATTAAAGGGCAGCCTTACAACAAAAATCAACTCTATTGAATTTTGTTGTTTTGCTTCTAGGTAGCGGGCGGAGACCCTCTCCCCGTGACCCAGTCTGATCTCCGTCTTCACGGCCACGCCTTTGAGGCCAGGATCTATGCCGAAGACCCTGATAATAACTTCTTGCCTGGTGCCGGACCCCTGGTCCACCTCTCGCCTCCCTCAGGAGACCAGACTATCAGGATAGAGACTGGAGTCAGACAAGGTAGGTAGCAGACGATCACAACTCAGTCACAAGTCAATCATAAGTCAGTCACAAGTCAATCACTTCTCAATCACAGGCCAAAACACAAGTTAAATTGTAATTGAGTCACAAGTCCATCACATTGTTTTTTTACAAGTCAAATAAAAAATCAAGCACAGGTCCGTCACACATCTATCACAGGTCTGTCACATGCTCGTCACAAGTTAATCACAAGTCAGTCAAAAGTCCATCACAAGTCTATCACAAGTCATTCACAATCACAAGCCAGTCCCAAATCATATAAAGAATCAGGTCAAAAGTTACAAGGTATTAACACTGTCAAAGCACAGGTCAGCTTGCCATGTGACTTGAGATCAGTGACTTATGACAGACTCGTGATTAACTTGTGATTGGACGAAGGGCTCTTAAGACATTTGAAAAGGCTTTGTCTTCCCCTGCCCCAAATTAAGAAAATTGAAATGACAGCATAGAGCATTTTTCCTGCTTTGTTTTTCGATCAAGAATGATTAATCTGTCGTTGAAGGATGGTATTTTATATCAGGGGAGAGATGTGAATTTTAAATATGTTTTTTGCCCTTCGGCAGCGTATTTTGCAAGTGCTGAGTTCTCACTTTTATTCAACAGATTGCTGGTAAAATTTCACAAGGATTGAAAACAAACAAATTAAAATGTATGATTTGTGTTTTATCATCAGGTGATGAAGTGACTACATTTTACGATCCTATGATTGCCAAGCTGGTCGTGTGGTCTGCAGACAGAACGAGTGCCTTGGAAAAACTCAGGCATGCACTCAGGGAATATCACGTGAGTTGTACAAACAAAATATTAGGAAGTGTTCTCAAAACAGTTTCACTTCCTTTTCTGAAGCTCCAAATATTTAACTTGGTTTGCTGTTTAAGATCTGTGTTTTTGTCCACATTACTTCAATGGACTATGGCACATATTTAGGTTTTAGTTGTCCAAGAACTGAACATCCTGAAAACACTTTTTTTCAGTAGCGCTATTTTGACCAATTAAAGTCATTTTTCTTTGTCATTATATGAAACAGATTGTCGGTCTCAAAACAAACATCAGATTTCTTGACGATCTCGCAAAGCACCCAGAATTTATCAAAGCTAATGTGCACACGGGCTTCATACCACTCTACGAGGACCAGCTATTCAGCAGGAAGGGCCCCCTCAATAGGCAGACACTATGCCAAGCCGCGACAGCACTCGTACTATTTGAACAGTACAAAGGGCAGAAAGAAGCAGTCGACAGTGGAGGTAAATGCATATGGTGCCTTTCTAAAGAGAAAAAAATTTTATGTGAATATTCCTAAATGTACACACAAAAGTTAATCAAAATATGCTCGAGCTAGTCAAAGTATGTTTTAATATTTGGATTGTTTTGTGGTATGTGGAATTTTTATTTAGCAGCGCCCTCTATTGTCAGAGCGGCTTGACCGCGTTTACCAGGGATCAGGACCGGCTGCACTATATGAATCCAGTCTTGAATTAAGACTACATACATGTAAAGTAATAGGGGCTAGGCTCTACCTTCCTTGCTCCAACAAAATCCTCCAGACCCCTTTGATGGATTTTGGCGGATCTGGCAGGGTTGGTGGTAATAGCAGCAACGTGAGTTGCTAGTCTTGAAACTTGGTATGTTCGTTGTAGATCCCTTCTCCCCTTTCTCCATGGGAAGCGGTGCCCGAGTCAACGAGAATTTTATACGACGGGTCGCCTTCACGGACAAAGATGACAACATTGACGTGACAGTGAGGTACCAGTCAGATGGCAGCTATGTAGTGCAGGTAAGCAAGTAAACAAAGCTTAGAAGATAGTTCAGAAGATATTTGCATTATTGCGTCCTTAATCTCTCGACAAGGTCTGTTTATTTCTGTAATAAATGAAGAGTGATGTAAAGATTGACAATGAGTATAAAGACTGTTTCCTGTTCAGCCAATCACATTTTGCTTCCTATGCACAAGAGTCAATCTTACATGGTCATTTTTTGGTGTGTACTTCAAACAGTCGTCTGCTATTTGGACGAATTAAGAGGCTGAGAACTTGAAATTCTACATTCAAAATTATTGGGAAACACCTACACCTTCCATTTCAGATGGCATATCAAAAACAAATTCAAACTTGTCAGATTATTTATTTCAGTAAAAATAACACGAAAATTAGTCTGTAAAGCTTGAACCCAGTAATTCAGTAGTGTAAGAGTTGTATTGAAATTCTCTTTTTCAAGCTTCATTTACAAAGTGTTGTTGTCTTCAACTTAGATCGGGGACGAGTCGTTTGATGTTCAGGCTACACTCACGCAGATTGAGGATAACACGGCACAGCTAGTAAGCACAATCAACGGGATCAAGGCAGACACCAAAGTCGTCATGCACGAGGGCGCTGTTCATATATTCGCAGAGGTACATATGCAAAATGGGTTCATTTCAACCACTTCTACCGTCCGAAATGTTCTGTGAAAAAGATGAACCTTAAAATATATTGACAAGAACTCTGTACTTTATTCTTTTATTACAATTGATTCACTTGAGTTTGACTTGCGATTGTCTTGTGAAAAACTTACATTTGCCTTTTGATGTGCATTTTTTAAACAATGATATCGACCTCACCAGTTAATTTTAATAGCATGTTTGACCTTGGTAAACTTTAGTAAATATTATTCAGTGTGAAAACCTTATTTTCATCACTTGTTTGTATTTCGATACAGATGCCATATTTAAGAGAATTTCATGCCATTTTTAAAAGTCCTTAATGATTTTGAATGATTCAACTTCCTTCGTAGGTTGGTGGAGTGGAAGTCACCAGGCCTGTCCCAGAATTCCTTGGTGATTCCAGCTCGGGTACGATGGGTGACCGCGCCCCGATGCAGGGAGATATCACCCACATCTACGTGGATCCAGGGGCCGCCATTGAGAAAGGCGACCCACTACTGGCTCTGGAGTCTATGAAAATGGAGGTAAGGTTCTTCAAAATCTCTCCAAAAGCTCTGCATTTTCAATTTTAAAATATACCCTCCCCCTTCTCCAGTGAGTTAATATGACAAGTCTTGTTAAGTGGAGCTGGATCCAAAAACTCTCAGGTTATGACATAACTTATTAAATAAAATTTCTTTTATTAATAGCATTTGAAGAGATTTAGTTGGCTGTGCCGATTATAATGCATGTTCAATTCGATTACGAACAAAATATCCAAACTTTTTCGATGCAAATATTTTTTTTAAAAATGCGAGAGGTCTCAAAGAGATGACGATAAACTCCCAAAGATGTTCTTTTTATTGTACATGTTTTGTTGTTTGGCAAATACCACGTTTGTCACAAGCCATGAGTTGAGAGCTTCCATGCGGAATATTAGCTCAAATTTCTTCTATAAAATCAGTCAAACATCAGCCATCCTGCGACCTGATCTTAACATTGTTTTAATAAGCGCTTTGTTGCAAATTCCTGTCAGTGCCCATCTTAGGCTAGAGCATGTTGAACTTCATGAGCGCATTTTGAATATTTGAATATTCAATCAAGTCAGAATAATCAAATACTAAGTTAGTCAAAATTGCACAGCCCTAATCGACATCAAGATTGATCATTTAAAACTATTTATAATCCAGAGCCCACCTTTCTTTGAACCTTTCTTTTCTTTTCCAGTACGTTATCCGAGCCCCTAAGAAAGGCATCATCGAACGAGTCTTGGTTGCCAAGGGAGACAACGTCCAGAAGAACGCACCCTTGGTGGTTTATCAAGAACAAAAATAAACAGACGTCAAAGGTACAATTCCTGACCAAAGCGTCTCATCATGGAAAGTCTCACCAAATGTAATAATGTTTGTTGTGGTCCTTTCCTTCAATCTCAATCTGAGAACCATAATATACAAGCCTGGAATGCAGAACAATCCCCACAATTTCACTTAAATTTCAACATCTTTGACTACTGCATTGGTTTTTGTTCAGCTGATCTGAAACCATTTTCAGTATTTTTGAACAATTGTAATGTGCATAGAGAGCAACAAAGATTATTTATAACAATCTTGTTTTAGATATGACCTCATTGATATGTTATCATGTAAATTACAAATTGCTGTCGTTTTAAGAAATAATACCAATAAATTATATGTACATGTACACTACCAATGGAATTTCTACAGTGTTTTTATTTAACCCCTTGTTTTTTTTCCAATTTTGGCCAAAACATGAAATTGCTTCAAACTTGCAGGAAAGATGCCTAAGGGACCCTAGAACACATTCCCATTGAATTTGGGTGCTCCTCTTACCTCTAAAGGAATTTCTGCATTGTTTAGAGAAAAGTCCATTTTTGGCCAAATTTCATCAAAAATGTAAGGCTAACCCCTTGTTTTTTTTTCAATTTTGGCCAAAAAATGAAATTGCTTCAAACTTGCAGGAAAGATGCCTAAGGGACCCTAGAACACATTCCCATTGAATTTGGGTGCTCCTCTTACCTCTAAAGGAATTTCTGCATTGTTTAGAGAAAAGTCCATTTTTGGCCAAATTTCATCAAAAATGTAAGGTTAACCCCTTGTTTTTTTTTCAATTTTGGCCAAAAAATGAAATTGCTTCAAACTTGCAGGAAAGATGCCTAAGGGACCCTAGAACACATTCCCATTGAATTTGGGTGCTCCTCTTACCTGACTAAAGGAATTTCTGCATTGTTTAGAGAAAAGTCCATTTTTGGCCAAATTTCATCAAAAATGTAAGGCTAACCCCTTGTTTTTTTTTCAATTTTGGCCAAAAAATGAAATTGCTTCAAACTTGCAGGAAAGATGCCTAAGGGACCCTAGAACACATTCCCATTGAATTTGGGTGCTCCTCTTACCTCTAAAGGAATTTCTGCATTGTTTAGAGAAAAGTCCATTTTTGGCCAAATTTCATCAAAAATGTAAGGTTAACCCCTTGTTTTTTTTTCAATTTTGGCCAAAAAATGAAATTGCTTCAAATTTGCAGGAAAGATGCCTAAGGGACCCTAGAACACATTCCCATTGAATTTGGGTGCTCCTCTTACCTCTAAGGGAATTTCTGCATTGTTTAGAGAAAAGTCCATTTTTGGCCAAATTTCATCAAAAATGTAAGGCTAACCCCTTGTTTTTTTTTTCAATTTTGGCCAAAAAATGAAATTGCTTCAAACTTGCAGGAAATATGCCTAAGGGACCCTAGAACACATTCCCATTGAATTTGGGTGCTCCTCTTACTTCTAAAGGAATTTCTGCATTGTTTAGAGAAAAGTCCATTTTTGGCCAAATTTCATCAAAAATGTAAGGCTAACCCCTTGTTTTTTTGTCAATTTTGGCCAAAAAATGAAATTGCTTCAAACTTGCAGGAAAGATGCCTAAGGGACCCTAGAACACATTCCCATTGAATTTGGGTGCTCCTCTTACCTCTAAAGGAATTTCTGCATTGTTTAGAGAAAAGTCCATTTTTGGCCAAATTTCATCAAAAATGTAAGGTTAACCTCTTGTTTTTTTGTCAATTTTGGCCAAAAAATGAAATTGCTTCAAATTTGCAGGAAAGATGCCTAAGGGACCCTAGAACACATTCCCATTGAATTTGGGTGCTCCTCTTACCTCTAAAGGAATTTCTGCATTGTTTAGAGAAAAGTCCATTTTTGGCCAAATTTCATCAAAAAGGTAAGGCTAACCCCTTGTTTTTTTGTCAATTTTGGCCAAAAAATGAAATTGCTTCAAACTTGCAGGAAAGATGCCTAAGGGACCCTAGAACACATTCCCATTTAATTTGGGTGCTCCTCTTACCTCTAAAGGAATTTCTGCATTGTTTAGAGAAAAGTCCATTTTTGGCCAAATTTCATCAAAAATGTAAGGCTAACCCCTTGTTTTTTTTTCAATTTTGGCCAAAAAATGAAATTGCTTCAAACTTGCAGGAAAGATGCCTAAGGGACCCTAGAACACATTCCCATTGAATTTGGGTGCTCCTCTTACCTCTAAAGGAATTTCTGCATTGTTTAGAGAAAAGTCCATTTTTGGCCAAATTTCATCAAAAATGTAAGGCTAACCCCTTGTTTTTTTTTCAATTTTGGCCAAAAAATGAAATTGCTTCAAACTTGCAGGAAAGATGCCTAAGGGACCCTAGAACACATTCCCATTGAATTTGGGTGCTCCTCTTACCTCTAAAGGAATTTCTGCATTGTTTAGAGAAAAGTCCATTTTTGGCCAAATTTCATCAAAAATGTAAGGCTAACCCCTTGTTTTTTTTCAATTTTGGCCAAAAAATGAAATTGCTTCAATTTTGCAGGAAAGATGCCTAAGGGACCCTAGAACACATTCCCATTGAATTTGGGTGCTCCTCTTACCTCTAAAGGAATTTCTGCATTGTTTAGAGAAAAGTCCATTTTTGGCCAAATTTCATCAAAAATGTAAGGCAAACCCCTTGTTTTTTTTTCAATTTTGGCCAAAAAATGAAATTGCTTCAAACTTGCAGGAAAGATGCCTAAGGGACCCTAGAACACATTCCCATTGAATTTGGGTGCTCCTCTTACTTCTAAAGGAATTTCTGCATTGTTTAGAGAAAAGTCCATTTTGGGCCAAATTTCATCAAAAATGTAAGGCTAACCCCTTGTTTTTTTTTCAATTTTGGCCAAAAAATGAAATTGCTTCAAACTTGCAGGAAAGATGCCTAAGGGACCCTAGAACACATTCCCATTGAATTTGGGTGCTCCTCTTACCTGACTAAAGGAATTTCTGCATTGTTTAGAGAAAAGTCAATTTTTGGCCAAATTTCATCAAAAATGTAAGGCTAACCCCTTGTTTTTTTTTCCATTTTGGCCAAAAAATGAAATTGCTTCAAACTTGCAGGAAAGATGCCTAAGGGACCCTAGAACACATTCCCATTGAATTTGGGTGCTCCTCTTACCTCTAAAGGAATTTCTGCATTGTTAAGAGAAAAGTCCATTTTTGGCCAAATTTCATCAAAAATGTAAGGCTAACCCCTTGTTTTTTTTTCAATTTTGGCCAAAAAATGAAATTGCTTCAAACTTGCAGGAAAGATGCCTAAGGGACCCTAGAACACATTCCCATTGAATTTGGGTGCTCCTCTTACCTCTAAAGGAAATCTGCATTGTTTAGAGAAAAGTCCATTTTTGGCCAAATTTCATCAAAAATGTAAGGCTAACCCCTTGTTTTTTTTTCAATTTTGGCCAAAAAATGAAATTGCTTCAAACTTGCAGGAAAGATGCCTAAGGGACCCTAGAACACATTCCCATTGAATTTGGGTGCTCCTCTTACCTCTAAGGGAATTTCTGCATTGTTTAGAGAAAAGTCCATTTTTGGCCAAATTTCATCAAAAATGTAAGGCTAACCCCTTGGTTTTTTTTCAATTTTGGCCAAAAAATGAAATTGCTTCAAATTTGCAGAAACGATGCCTAAGGGACCCTAGAACACATTCCCATTGAATTTGGGTGCTCCTCTTACCTGACTAAAGGAATTTCTGCATTGTTTAGAGAAAAGTCCATTTTTGGCCAAATTTCATCAAAAATGTAAGGCTAACCCCTTGTTTTTTTTTCAATTTTGGCCAAAAAATGAAATTGCTTCAAACTTGCAGGAAAGATGCCTAAGGGACCCTAGAACACATTCCCATTGAATTTGGGTGCTCCTCTTACCTCTAAAGGAATTTCTGCATTGTTAAGAGAAAAGTCCATTTTTGGCCAAATTTCATCAAAAATGTAAGGCTAACCCCTTGTTTTTTTTTCAATTTTGGCCAAAAAATGAAATTGCTTCAAACTTGCAGGAAAGATGCCTAAGGGACCCTAGAACACATTCCCATTGAATTTGGGTGCTCCTCTTACCTCTAAAGGAAATCTGCATTGTTTAGAGAAAAGTCCATTTTTGGCCAAATTTCATCAAAAATGTAAGGCTTACCCCTTGTTTTTTTGTCAATTTTGGCCAAAAAATGAAATTGCTTCAAACTTGCAGGAAAGATGCCTAAGGGACCCTAGAACACATTCCCATTGAATTTGGGTGCTCCTCTTACCTCTAAGGGAATTTCTGCATTGTTTAGAGAAAAGTCCATTTTTGGCCAAATTTCATCAAAAATGTAAGGCTAACCCCTTGGTTTTTTTTCAATTTTGGCCAAAAAATGAAATTGCTTCAAACTTGCAGGAAAGATGCCTAAGGGACCCTAGAACACATTCCCATTGAATTTGGGTGCTCCTCTTACCTCTAAAGGAATTTCTGCATTGTTTAGAGAAAAGTCCATTTTTGGCCAAATTTCATCAAAAAGGTAAGGCTAACTAACCCCTTGTTTTTTTGTCAATTTTGGCCAAAAAATGAAATTGCTTCAAACTTGCAGGAAAGATGCCTAAGGGACCCTAGAACACATTCCCATTGAATTTGGGTGCTCCTCTTACCTCTAAAGGAATTTCTGCATTGTTTAGAGAAAAGTCCATTTTTGGCCAAATTTCATCAAAAATGGACTTGTTTTTTTTTCAATTTTGGCCAAAAAATGAAATTGCTTCAAACTTGCAGGAAAGATGCCTAAGGGACCCTAGAACACATTCCCATTGAATTTGGGTGCTCCTCTTACTTCTAAAGGAATTCCTGCATTGTTTAGAGAAAAGTCCATTTTGGGCCAAATTTCATCAAAAATGTAAGGCTAACCCCTTGTTTTTTTTTCAATTTTGGCCAAAAAATGAAATTGCTTCAAACTTGCAGGAAAGATGCCTAAGGGACCCTAGAACACATTCCCATTGAATTTGGGTGCTCCTCTTACCTGACTAAAGGAATTTCTGCATTGTTTAGAGAAAAGTCAATTTTTGGCCAAATTTCATCAAAAATGTAAGGCTAACCCCTTGTTTTTTTTTCCATTTTGGCCAAAAAATGAAATTGCTTCAAACTTGCAGGAAAGATGCCTAAGGGACCCTAGAACACATTCCCATTGAATTTGGGTGCTCCTCTTACCTCTAAAGGAATTTCTGCATTGTTAAGAGAAAAGTCCATTTTTGGCCAAATTTCATCAAAAATGTAAGGCTAACCCCTTGTTTTTTTTTCAATTTTGGCCAAAAAATGAAATTGCTTCAAACTTGCAGGAAAGATGCCTAAGGGACCCTAGAACACATTCCCATTGAATTTGGGTGCTCCTCTTACCTCTAAAGGAATTTCTGCATTGTTTAGAGAAAAGTCCATTTTTGGCCAAATTTCATCAAAAATGTAAGGCAAACCCCTTGTTTTTTTTTCAATTTTGGCCAAAAAATGAAATTGCTTCAAACTTGCAGGAAAGATGCCTAAGGGACCCTAGAACACATTCCCATTGAATTTGGGTGCTCCTCTTACCTCTAAAGGAAATCTGCATTGTTTAGAGAAAAGTCCATTTTTGGCCAAATTTCATCAAAAATGTAAGGCTAACCCCTTGTTTTTTTTTCAATTTTGGCCAAAAAATGAAATTGCTTCAAACTTGCAGGAAAGATGCCTAAGGGACCCTAGAACACATTCCCATTGAATTTGGGTGCTCCTCTTACCTCTAAAGGAATTTCTGCATTGTTAAGAGAAAAGTCCATTTTTGGCCAAATTTCATCAAAAATGTAAGGCTAACCCCTTGTTTTTTTTTCAATTTTGGCCAAAAAATGAAATTGCTTCAAACTTGCAGGAAAGATGCCTAAGGGACCCTAGAACACATTCCCATTGAATTTGGGTGCTCCTCTTACCTCTAAAGGAAATCTGCATTGTTTAGAGAAAAGTCCATTTTTGGCCAAATTTCATCAAAAATGTAAGGCTAACCCCTTGTTTTTTTTTCAATTTTGGCCAAAAAATGAAATTGCTTCAAACTTGCAGGAAAGATGCCTAAGGGACCCTAGAACACATTCCCATTGAATTTGGGTGCTCCTCTTACCTCTAAAGGAATTTCTGCATTGTTTAGAGAAAAGTCCATTTTTGGCCAAATTTCATCAAAAATGTAAGGCTAACCCCTTGTTTTTTTTTCAATTTTGGCCAAAAAATGAAATTGCCTCAAATTTGCAGGAAAGATGCCTAAGGGACCCTTGAACACATTCCCATTTAATTTGGGTGCTCCTCTTACCTCTTAAGGAATTTCTGCATTGTTTAGAGAAAAGTCCATTTTTGGCCAAATTTCATCAAAAATGTAAGGCTAACCCCTTGTTTTTTTTTTCAATTTTGGCCAAAAAATGAAATTACTTCAAACTTGTAGGAAAGATTCCTGAATGACCGTAGAACACATTCAACTTGATTTCCGGACATCTCGGCTTTTCGGACAAATATTCAGGTAAAATAAGGTTATAATGTTACTTCTTTTTCCCCAAAAAGGATGGCTTTTGCTCAAATCTAGATATTGGGTATTTGTATATTGAATGATGCTTCTCTTACTTCCAAAGGAAGTGTTGCACTGTTTGGAGAAAAGTAAATTGTTGTCCAAATTTCATTTAAAAAAATGTAAGGCTAACCCCTTGTTAGCCTTACATTTGGTAGAAATTTAAAAAAATGACAAAATGCGACATTTAGTTTCATTAACACACAGGCTCAATTAAGCTTTATAAAAAAAGAGTTAAATTCTCTTAAAATATAGCTTGATACGGTATATCACCAAAATGTTGGACAAAAAATACATAATGGCAGACAAAAAAAGTATTGCATCATATTAAACTGCATTCACGCAACTACAAATTGATCAGAAATTTAAGTTTTACAGGAATGGCACTTTTCACAAAGAAGATCATTTTCAACAAAAGTGACGAGTTGACTGACAATAATGAGAAAATTATACACTCTCTCTCACCCCAAAAATTTACAGAGAATTGAAAAAAAAGAAAGATTGTTTAAATTGGATTTGGGCAGTATAACCTCAAGATTGAGATGACTTATCACGGAAAAAAATTCTCTAAAGAGTTAGAAAACTATTTTGTTAAAATGTAATGCTGAAAAAAAAAAAAGCGATGTTTTAGTACATACATGTACAATGTACACTACATCTATACAAACAACTCAACTGAAACTATTAAAGATCACCTACTTTTACAACTAGTACTTTTGTTAAATGGCAAGGAAACACACACTAAAAAGCAAAAGTTATAGATACTACGTTATTATTCAAGTACAAATTTGTGTTCTGAATATATATTTGCAATTATTTTAAAAACTGAAATGAAAAAAAATCCAATTAAAATTCTATGAATTAAACAGTTTTAGGCAAGTCTTCATCCACCCAAGTTCAAAAGGACGGCTGTTGGAAAATCATATATTTACATGTACAAAGTAGGCAGCTCTTTGGGAAAATATATTTCGCATTTCAGAGTAAACCATTTGGCATTTGAGCAATTTCAGAGAATAGATTGAAATAGGCGAAAAAGTAATAAGGCAAAAAAGAAACAGGAATTGTAATTGGGCGGATTCTCAGTTTGGCACCTTGCAAAAAAATATTAACATCCAATAAATTCAATGATGCAAATCAATTTTTTTCTTCCAAGAAAAAAGGCAGTTACTAAAAACGCACGAAATATTTCAATAAACCTTTACATGGTTGGCAGCAATAAAGAAGACTTCTAAAGAAGTCTTAAACAAATGACTTTTTTCCAAAGAAAATGAAGAACTAGACATCCTGCTTTTTTTGGAATGTTAAGTAAACTTTACATGTTCAGTAGCAAACTTGGTCAATTTAGTGACTGCACCATGTCACATCGATGATACTTCTTAAGGTGAATTTCCTGGTTTTTTTCTTGATACAAGAAACTGTTACTGTAGGATATTAAGACATTTAGTGTCAATACTATGTATAACATATCTCAGTTATGAATAGGAGAATATAATGAATAGGTTTGGTAAGGGTACCTGAAATAAACCTGTTTCTTAGGAAGAGGGTAGTAAATCACATTTCCTTTATTTTGTTTACGGTGAAAAATGCTCAAATGGCCTTTGCATTTCAATGAACATTTCAAAAGTAATAAGTTTTCAGAAAGGATAATCTAAAGGCCTTATTTGGAATGAAAACTGTTTTTACAGCAGAACTTGTTTTACATGTTCCTCTTTTTGAAGCCAAGTGCAAGCAAGTTGAGACAAAACTTGAACAATGCTTGTGAAATTTGTCACTTTTTCATACATTAATCCCAAAAGAACTCAACCCATCAAACGGCAACGGCATGTTTGTTGGAATCTGTCAGGATGGGTACAGTACCCCAAAACTGACAGTCTTTTACATTGGGTTGGCACACCTCCAGAATCAAAGTCAGAAATATGTGTGTGCAGTTTCCCATATGGTGTTGGAATTTGCCAGGATGGGTATGGTTCCTAGTAAATCATGCTAGGGAGTTAGGATTAATTTGCCTGTTGGTGGCAGTATGTTGCTGGGCTCTGTATGTTTTGTTTTATTATTGGGTTGCTTCATTTTGGTTCAGATGAATGGCAAAGCTCCGTTCCAGTCAATGCAAGCGTCTGGCCACCTGATAGAACAAAACAGAGAATTGTTTCTGAAATCCATGCAAACATGAAACTCCGAAGTAACAGGGTTATTGACAGGGTTGTAATCACTCATCACAAGTCACATGACAAGTCCTCCAGTCTCAAGTCAGGTGACAAGCTATTAATAAATTAACCGTGACAAAGGCATTCCTCTGTTACTGGTCATGTGACTTGTGATAGCTAATCTACACCACGAATCATTCAAAGCATGTGTGGTCAACCTTTCCATGTAAAGTATCATTTCTATGCAAAAGTAATTGACCTTTATGCAAGCTGCAAAACCTTTATCTGATCACTCATGTAGCATTTCTGGATCTTAAAAAGATAGTGTCTTAACCCATTCATCCCTGTCCTGCCCCCAAAGCACCCTACCTGTTACTCCTTATACCACCCCCAACCAAGCATGCTGAGCTTTTATGAATTAATCAAGGATAGATACAGTGCAGTATAGACGCTTGTTGGGTTTGTACCCACCTTGTATGGATGCACTCCTCCAGTAGAGGCGGCTGTCGCTCCTCAAAGCTCTCCGACATTGACTGAGGGGCAGTGGTCTTGGTATCTGCCAATTACAAAATCACAGTCAAATCATCCAAATCAAGTATTTTTGTGGCTAAGGCTTTTTTGCATTGGTACTTCATTGTGAATTGCCACAATCGTGGTTCTTAGTGCACAATCATAGGGGAGTTTTCGAAACCTTGGCTCCGTCCCTAGCTATGATTTCGTCTCTGGCTTCTGCATCATTCAGAAGCTTGTAACGCCACCACAAATTAGAAATATTTCAATCTTTGGCTGCACATTATGAGATTTCATGTTCCTGAAGCAAAAACAGAACTTATATTAAGCCACAGTCCCCCAAAGTCTGGAAGCTAAAAAGTTTTGAAGCCAGAGCTGGAGACAAAGTTGAGGTTTCTTTAACACCCTTAGACTTCCGAATCAATTGCATCTATGGCTTAAACTTTTGATATTGACACAGTAATAGCCATATTGTTAGACAAAAATATCCAATTGGGACACAGCCTTAGCCGTGTCAGAATCACTTGGCTACGACTAGCAGTAACACACATGTCAATGGGAAGTGGCGTCAGCCGCTGCCATAACCACATGTTTAACAGTCAGCCATAGCCATAGACATGGCTTAATCTACCTATAGTCAGGACAGCTTCGTCCGTCTGGTCCGGCTGTCCGTTGTAGTAGTGCAGCAGGAACCGGTGCTCGGCCCGCCAGTCGCTGGTCAGTCGGATGTTGGTGCAGAAGAGCATGGAGTAACGGCCATTGAGGAACGTCAGCCAGACCGGTACCCGGGGAGTCTTCAGCATGCTGCCCACCTGTATAACAAAGGTCGGAGGTCAAAGTTGGGGTCATTGTACTATTTTTTTATTACCTCTTACAAGTATTAGAAGGGGTACTACGACTCTTAATTTGGTAACACAGTTCATATCTGACTATTTTAAACCGATCTCTTTTAAGGTTGGAAACGAAGTAAGTTAACTATAAGCTGACAAAATATATTGCAATTTGACATTGAAATTAGTCTCTATACACCAGATCTTCTCCATTGCTTTCCATTCGACACATTAACAAATTTTGCACAGTAAGGATGGTTAACTGCATATGGGTCATTCTTTAAATTTGGGGTCCACTTCTTTCCCGTCCCTGTTACATCTAAAATCTGTGATTTTATCATTCTGATGCACTCCTTAATGCAGTAATCAGCAAAGAGTGATTGTGAATTGCAAACTACTTACCCATCAATAAATACAAATTCATTTGAGTCCTTCTTAATGATACTTGAATTGCAAAATGACAAAGTACCAAGGTAACAGGAACAGGAAATATGTCACACGTTGGACCCTAAGTTTATAGTATGACCCACTTGCATTTGACCCATTAGTACGTTAACTGCGGCTATTGTTCTCACCTCGATTTTCTCTTCTTCTTTGATTTTGCTTCTGTCCACCACCAGGAAGCCACAGTCAGCTCGATGTGACATCCCTATTAGGGGCTTAGGCTAAAATAACAATTTAGACATTTAAAGGTTAAAACCACTTTTAAAAAAAATTAATCAGTTGTAGTTGTATAAACTTTTTACTCAGCACAGCTCAGATGTGTTGTGATAGTTGTCCTTACCAGTGCTTCGCCAGCCTTGTCATAGACCTTCTTCCCGTTAAAGAGATTGGAAGTAGCACGGCCAGTCAGCACCAGCATGATCAGCGCAACGCAACACTGGTTCCTGTCAGTAAAGAGATACTCGTCTTGCAGATCCTCCCGTAGTCTGGGGACAAGACCAAAGCAAGAAATAGAAATGTAACCCAACGCAACAAAGTCAGAACTTATTTTTTAGTTATGTAAGCCCCTAAACCAACCTTGCTCAATGCAAATCAAAGGAAACTGCCAATTTTTTTAACTCTTATGTTAAATGATTGAAATATCAAAATTTCTAATGCACTTAAAAAACTAATAAACGAAAAGTCATTGAGACTAATTCTTTTAGGGTCTGGTCACAAATTATATGTGGATTTGGATTTTGCGCCTCTGTTATCTACTTTGACGATGCAGGTATTCAAAGCAGAAATTTGGCAGACATTTTGGATTGACACAGCTGGCTAAAATTCAATGACAATGAAAAATATTTGTAAAATATGGGAGTAATATGCAACAGTCACTTGCTTACTTTGGCAGTGTTCTAGATAATATTATGCTGAACAGGAACATGAGAACCCCACCGCCTTCATGGTACATCAGCTGCAATTGGGAAAAAATGAATTGAAACTATCACATAAAATTATAAAAAATAGTAACTCTATCAATACAAATAATATGTATAAAAATATTAATATTAATATAATTTGGCATGATTTTGTATCATTTTTTAAAATCAGATCGAAGAACGTCCTTACCAGTTCTAAGTGATTCCTGAGAAAGACTCGCATGTCCTCTTTGTCTGTAAACTCTGACGCATGCAGCTGGATACAAAAAAAAACCCAAACAAACATACAACTGTAAAAATACTTCTAAATTTGTTTAATTCCCACCGAGCAAATGTACTTTTTTTCATCCATCACTAGAATTATCAAATTACAGCTTTCAAACATTGTACAATTTAATCGATACACAAACATGTTCAGTTTCCTATCCTGACTAACTCAAAATTGATGTTGCCTGACAAATTTTGAGTCCTACAACAAAGAAATACTTATATTTTTTGTTGGCCTTGTAGAGATAGTTTTACAAAAATATTTTAAGCAAAATAAGTAAACAAAATCTACTCAAAATTTTAAGAACAGTGTGACTTCATTCACAAGCATTCACAATTACATGTATACATTGTACTTGCCAACACATATTAACCCTCAACACAATATGGACCATAAATGAAGACATTTTGTGGAAAATCTGCCAAGCTACACAAATTAATGACTTTTAGTTCACACCATGTGTGAGTTCTCCCATGCAAACTGCCATAGGTATACTCATAAACGTCCTTTTCCTGTAATTAACAGGCTGAAATGAAAGTTAAAAGCCCGGCAAATAAACAGTGATTTATTAGCACATTTATTAGTAAATTTTTGTGTCCACTCCTCCAAAACAATTCTGGTAGCTGCAAAGAGTAGTTCTTTTAAACATGTATATTAAAATGTTGAATGGTACCCATAATGTCCACCATGACTTTCATTTGAAAATTTGGGGGGGGGGGGGGAACACTCAGTGCGTAAAAAAAACAATAGAAATGCCAGCCACAAAACTGATGCATATTGCATGCACGACTATTAAACATACCGACTGAGCAAAGAACTGTAGTTTCTTCTCCTCTGAGTGAAGCAGTCCTGGTTTCTTCCGATCTTGAAGCACCACCGTGGCTTTCTTGTTGTCCCCGGCTGCCCATAAGATGTCCACCAGAGCCAGCAGGAAGGCTTGCTTCCTTTCCTCGTCCTCCGGCTTGAGACGGAACGCACTAATACACACAAAATATTATAAATATTATTTTCAAGTTTATAATATCCCTCTGGAGATGATGATGTCACAGCTTTGTCATGTTAGATTTGGAAAGCGTTGTACCCAAGTTAATCATAAGTCATCACAAGCTGATCACAAGTCAGTCGCAAGTCAGTCACAAGTCAGTCACAAGTCAGTCACAAGTCAATCACAAGTCCATCACAAGTTAATCACAAATCAAACACAAGTAAATCACAAGTCGATCACAAGTCAATCACAAGTCACTCACAAGTCGAACACAAGTCAATCACAAGTCGATCACAAGTCCATCAAAAGTCCATCACAAGTCAATCACAAGTCAAGCAAAGTCAAGTACGAGTAAAAAAAAAAGTCAAGCACAAGTCAATCAGATGTCATCACAAGCCACCACAAGTCAATCACAAGTCTATCTCAAGTCAATCTCAGGTTAATCACAAGTCAATCACAAGTTTTATAGAAAAGTCACCCGGCCTGTCTCAATTCATGTAGTAGGCTATTCTTATGATCTCTAATAAAAGCAATTGTTTTGTCATCGTTCATCCCTTGTTATTGCGATTTGACTTGTGATTTGACTAGTTATTGAATTGTGAAGTCTCTATTATAACAACTCATACATTGCCACAGCATTTGTTTTTTAAATGCCATCTCCTTTTAGTTAGGGAGTTTTAAATCAATACAACAGACTACAGCCTTTTGCTCAATGCCAGACGACACCTATCACAAGTACTGTCTTCTCAGGAGATACAGGAAGCAAAACGCGACAAATGTAGCACATTGTCTGACAGCTTTGACACCTACGTGACTTTCATATTCAACTACACAATCATGTGACGATGGGTGTAAAAATGATCACGGGTAAAAATAGAAAAGACCGGAATGACGGCAGGTGCAACTCCAGTGCTGGAAGCTGACTGGCAAGTCTGTATGATGATTGATTGGCAGTGAGATGTTGTCTGATCACAGACGTGGACTTGGGCTGAATATCAACGGTTGTGTTTCACAATAGAGTGCACCACTAACAGGTTCACCACACAGTGGCCATGTTTTTGTAGCGAATTATAGGGAGAAAGTTGACATTAGTGCCAAAAACGTCATTCTTTTTGCACAAGGACTCGGCAGATTTTACCCTTTTGGGGGGTTGTGTGGAAAGTTTTAAGTTTGGTTCCATCAAAAATGATGAGTTTATTTACAAGGCTTCCAAATGCATTTGTGTTTCGTTGGTACTGCATGACAACACGTAAATAACAGCCTGATAATAAATGTACACGTATGCAGGACATCGCATAATTTCAGATACTGAAATTATATGTGAATTCAATATTCGGTTTTGCCCTTCACAGACGTATTGTTAAGTTATGCGATTGACTTCCAACCACTGTTATTTCTTGCTCAAGGAAAAAGACATTCATGTATGATGTGACACTATTAACTGAAATTGCCGTGGTAATTTCTATGCGAGGAAAATGGCACAAAAGCACCAAATTCATTTGAAAATAAAATGTCATACTCTGAGGACCAATTTGTGTCAATGGAGCATGTGGGTTTATTTACCTTGATACATCGAGCGAGTCGGTCTCATCCCGCAGGTAATGCACTCCTTCATGTTGCGCCTTATCAAACAAGAGATGTCTGACTATGTGGACCTGTATGGCCATGATCACCCCCCGTGCTTTGTCCTGGTAGAACAGGAGAAAAATGCTACATTCTCAATTTCTCATAAAAGTTGATCCCAATTGCGAAACTTTGTATCCTGTACATCTGAGTACCCTTGAATGTTAATAGGAGCCATAAATGCAATACACAGAGGCCATTTCTTGCTACGTTTTATTGAAAAACATTCAACAAAGGCCCGTCAAATGGTTGTCTACATTACTTTTATTTCTTTATTTGGGTTGGGGGGGGGGGATGACAGACTTCACCGGGAATTGTTTGTAAGAATACCAACGTAAGGCTCCTAAATGTGTTTGTGTTGAACGCACGTTAAAAAAAAAGACAGACTTTTATAGGACAGACTGAAGGATAGTACGCATTTCAAGGATGTCCAAAAGCAGCCACTTCAAAGCGAATGTTTGGTAACAGCATACGGCTCAAACTTTAATGCATGAAAACATACTGAACAATTATCATAAAAATTTGAAACAAAAGAAGTTATATACAGCATCTTCACGATAGTTTTTATATATTCACACTTGTCCACATCCTTCCTGTTCCACCTTACTATACGGACTCACCCGTGGGCAGTACAGCCCATAAGAAAAGGCTCCCTTTATGCTCTGCCATTGGAAGCAGCTGCGTTTCCACTCCTCATCGAAGGAGAACATTCGTGTGCCAAACAGCACCTGCTTCAGTTCCTGCCAACAGTCATAATGAAATGAAGAGCTAGATTTATCCTACATGTAGCTTTGTGACCTATACAGGGCGAGTAAAAAAAACAAAACCCAAATGTTGGGACCATTGTTTTATTGAAGTTCTGCATGTGTCACTTTCAAAATCTAGGATATGAAGGCCCAATTCATAAGCTTTCTTTTAGTACAAGAATCATTCAAATCACTCATGTACTTTTTAAGTTACGGAGTTTTAAACACAATTGCCGTTTTAAGGTTCTGTCCACGGATCACAAAAAAGTTCAGTGTTCTAATTACATAGGGATGTGTGTGAATTGTTTTCGTTTTGCTAAAAGAACGCACATCTTTTTTGTGATCCTTGGACAGAACTTTAAAACGGTGGTTGTGTTTAAAATTCTGTAATTTGAAAAGTACATGAGTGATTCAAATGATTCTTGTACTCAAAGAAAGCTTATGAATTGGGCTTTCATGTCCTAGATTTTGAAAGTGCTACTTGCAGAACTTCAATAAAACAATAGTCCCGACATTCGGGTTTCGTTTTTTTTTACTCACCCTGTATTGTTTCTACTTAGACTATAGTGTAACATTTGAAAACACAAGTTTTGCTTTTCTTTTCCTTTTGGTGGTTTTACATGTATTTTAACTTTTGTCTTTTTAAAATATATTTCAGTGCTATATAAAGGCTTTTATTTATACTTGTGTATTCTGGGTTAGTTTTGGCAACAATAAATTTAATGGCAATCAATGTAATTTTGAGACGAATGACAGAAACACCTACATGAGAACTGGTAAAATGTACTGGTACCAACAGTATAAAATAGATTAGGAAATTCAGCCACATTTTTTTGTGATTGTTTTTTTTGGCAGTCTTTTTGTGTGTATTTCAGCATTTCTTAATTTTCTTTAACAGACAAATTAGGGCAAAAGGCAAAACAAAACAAGGAAAGGGATAGCAAAAAGCATGGTAAACATTTTGTGAATTTTTTTGAAAAATATTTCCAAAACTGAATCAACTCACCAGAGCCGTTTGATAATCCAGTGGCCGGCCCGGGAGTTTGGAAGCGTTGGAATCCAACACATCTGCCATGTCAGTCTTGGTTTCTAACACCGATGTAGTGAATGCGCGGGTGCGCACGGGGCCCTGCAGGGGGCAAAAACCAACAAAACATTCCCACTCAATGGAAAATTGAAATTGTCATGAAAAGGACTGCTCAGGACAACTAAAAGGAGAATTATTGACGTGAATAATGAGAAAGCAAGCCAGGCTCCGACATTTATGCTGTATCTTAGCAACGGATATTAAGGTGTTTATGTCGCAACAATAAAGTTAACACGGTTGGGCTTTTTGAGGGGGAAATTCCCAGTGCATTGTGTGTGTATTTTTTTTGCAAAAGAATTAGAGCATATCCATACAAAAGAAGGGGGGGGGGTACATTTCAAATCAAATTTCAAAAATTTATGGAAGATGGTAGCAGATCAAATACAGTTTTTGCCAATCCTGAAATAGATTTAATAGAATTATTATTTGTTTCAAGACGATAAACAAGCAAGGCACAAGGAACAAATTGATGGTACAGCTACCTGCTAGCTCCCCAAAAATAATCTGCATAAATTTACATATCTTCATAAATTTACATATATACATGTGCTGTCGTTCATGATGATATCAATTGTTATTATTCCATTTCATTTTATTACCATTTGTTCTACTGTTTGTTTAAACAGAAATAAAACAGCCACTGAAAAACTGTAAAGAGGCCTACTGGACAAGCAAACCTGTACAAATGTACATGTAGGTTGAAAATCAAATATCCAGACAACAAATTTCTCATCCTATGGGAAAGACAGAAATAAATCAAAACATATCCACAACGATGGTAATGTCTATCAGGGTTTACCACAATGGAAAACATCCCTTGGGATGTGAAGTTAATTTAGCGGTGGGAGTCTACCTTGAATTTCCCACACATAGAAAAACTTTCAAAGGCTCTTTTGAATCCAACGGCACTGGACTATTGGAAGTGGAACGCCATAACAAGAGGATAATAAAGATCGCTCAGCAGGCTTTGTGAGTGTCAAGGAAGGGGTCAAGGGGGCAGAACCAAATTGTTTGGGGATTTTCCAGAGGGGGAATAAATTTCAATCTGCAGTATAGGTGATTTGATAGCATGGTTGATAATGTACACAGACAAATGTACATGACACACTATGAAGGGAGGCAAGATAACTTGTTTGTGCAGTTTGGGTCATGAGGCTAAGTTGGCATACCATTTTATCGTTGAATTTTAAATAACACAAATTGGACACAAGTTTTAGAAAACGAGACTTATGGCTATATGCTAGCTTGTGAATTGTACGCTTATTTTTTGTGTGATTTTCTTTTAAATTCTTATCAAATCATATTATTTAAACTATCACTGACTAACTAAACTTAGTGTAAATGTAACATGTGAAACAATTAGTGGAATGGCCTATTTACAAAATGTAGCTACAAAGGAAAACATCTTAGGTAAAGCTTGGCCTGCAAAACTGTTCTTATTCTTAACTGCTGAGATACCAGTACATGTACCTCGATGTATTTATCATTCTTGATTAACTTAAAAATCCACAACATCAAGCATTTGCTTCAAAAATTGGAATAATGAATCAATTGGGAAAGTTGAAAATTATCAACAGAAAACATAACACTGACAATATTTTAAAAGTCTAAGTGGCAGGAGAGATCTTGGGAAAAATCATATAGCCCTACACACAAAATATTAAAAAATGAGGGAAAATAAAATTGTCATTTTTGATAGTGTGTACATTTTGTGTACACAAATACTTCAAACATTGTACAAATGTAATACCTGTAGATAAGCGATGTGCTTTAGTGATATATCCAATTGAAAATGACTGAATGCTTATCATAGGAAATACAACTAATGTAAGCAATGGGCGGACAAATTATCAAATGCAAACGTGCAATGAGTGCTCTTTGCACACTGCACCCTGAAAGGGTCCCAACTTAATAGGATTTTTTAATGCAATATAAACAGCAAATCTGAAATAATAAACACAACTGCTAAAAATAAATGTAGAGCGTTCTGCAACCAGGACTTTATAATATAACTATGTTTTAGACATTTAATAAATTGGAAATAAATTTAAACTGAAGGTTTAGGACTTCATATCAAATTGTATATTTTGCATAATTGCAATCGTTGCTAGAAAAAAAATCCATAGCCTCAAAATTATGTAGTAGAAAAAACCTGGGAGAAAAAACATCAAATGCATTTAACAAAAACTTTTAAGCTAACACAATAAAGTCTGATTTTGTACCAATTTTGGCATCATCAAAAAAGACTTTTCTATTTCCGTTTCTAAGCTCAAGAGCAATTTCTGAAAATGTATAAGTATAACTATAAGATTCTGCTTGATCATTCTGCAAAATATACAATAGATATTTAAAAAAAAAAGTGCCTTAAAATACACAAAAATATCATTTTTCTCCAGTAAAAAAAATGAACGAATAAAACAGAAATGAAAAAAATAACACCTAAATAGGGTGTTTTGAGTCTCATATTTAATATGCATGCAAATCTACAAACAAAGAGAGTCCAGTCATTAATCATCCACTTGTCAAGACTGAACACCAGCTGTGTGTACAAAAAAATTTAAAATCATTTTATAATTCATTTGATTAACTTAAAAAAAAGGATGTAAACATCATTTGCATTCATAATTCTAACAAGCTGATTCTCAATGTTCATTCTTGTGGTAGGTACTATAACTGTTACCATGACAACATATAAAACTCTTTAGAAAACCCAAATCTTTTATTTTTCGCAATCTGTGGTATTAAAGTGATCTAATGATACTTGTACTGTTGCACACCCACTCGCCCACCCCCCAAAAAAATCAAATCCATTAGTCATTTATACCCAGTTTACATTGCATATTATCTAAACAGATTGATTTATTTACTTGTTGCAACCAAAGTGCTCATAAAATATTTTGAATCCGATATGCTGTTTATTCCATGCGAGCACCTTAAATTTGCTACCTGTAGGTCTTCATTTAAAAAATTGTATTGGACCTTCAAAGTGTCCTTCTATGTACAACAAGTAACCTTGACATATGGTTGACTAGCATTCAGGCCGTTTGTGCACCAGACTGTTACAGCATCAACAAAATACATTCAGTAAAAGTTGCCCCACAAAATCTACAACTAAAGTGTACATCTCATAAACTTACCAATTAAAAATCCTAGCTCGGGATGGACAAGAATTCCACTGAAGATTTTCCAAAATCTGTCAGACTGTTTGTATCACATCAGTTTCCAAGTTGATGAAGACAGGATGGGTTAAAAAAATATAGCCTCGAGTAGAGTAACATGTAGTCCTGGAGGCTGTTCTAGAATGAACTAGCGCTGGCTCGTGAAGACAACTCTTGCCCTGACCCCAAGCGCAAAGCATGCACCCAAAGTTATATGGGGTGTGTTCGGTGGCCCGGAGCAGTTTTTTATGAGGCTAGATCTACACGGACTGCCTGACTGGCTGTGTTGTACCCATCGCCTGAGGAAATCTGTTATGTGGCATCCCTCTTTGAACTTCAGAGTCATTTACAGATGGGGAGATATCGTCTCCCCTCCTTGCAAGTGGAACAGGCCTAAATGCAAATTTATGGTTAAAGGGGCACTAGTGTGAATTCTTTCTTGGTTAACTTATAAGGAATGGACAGTTTCAGGAGTTCAAGTACAAATTAATGATGTCATCTGCTTGATTGGATTTGGAAATTTTTTTTAATTTTTTTTTTAGTTATAAATTCTTCTTTCAAATATGAGTTTAATCTGATGAATATTTTTTTTTATTTAGAGATGTACAGTTGGTGAGTTGCCTACTTGGTAATCTTTGAAAATTTTGAAAATGCTAAATTCAATTATGAGCAGGAAGTGTTAACTGAGATTTTGTTTCACCGAAAGGAAATGTTTTGGCTGGATACACACATTGGTTCACTGTAAATGTTAAAACAAATTAATTAATAGAGATGTAAAATGACTATGAAGCAGAGCATAACGTTACACTACGGCAGTATTACGTACTTTGCAAAACTGACTGCACTAGATACAGCCCCTTTAACCTGTTTTCAAGCACCTGCCAAACTTCCCAAGAGAAACAACAAGGAATACAACATCAAACTGACAGGTGATGACTGGAGAGGAAGGCTAGCAGTGAAAGCTGGATCTGCAGGGACAGTTTCAATGACTGGCCTCCACTCATGTAAACATCCTCGTTTAGATCAATGTCCATCACGGGAACAAGCAGGTGAATTGAGCTGCAACTTGTCCCTGACAAGAATCAATATGTGGACACAAGACAAACCAAACTGCTTGTAGGCACGCCAGATTGTACAGCTGTGTTCCATGGATTTTAGTTTTGGTGGATGTACTGGTACATCTACTTGTATTCAGTGCACCTTTGGAAATGCCCCTTTAATATTATAATGTCCATGGGACAATATACGTGTAACTGGGGGTCCTACCACTGTGTACAGAGCATACACTCTCGCTGAAATGCTCAAACATTGGACTTGGGGAATTTTCACTGGGTTGTAATAATTATTGGCCTCACGTTTCCCAATGTAAATAGTATGAAAGTGACACTTCTGGGTAGACATAGCAATACCATGGCAAGCACAGGCAGGGTCTGTAACATACATTGTACACTGTAGTAGTGTATGAAAACTGTATCGGTCATTCTATACATATATAGGGTCCAAAGTGTGACATTTTTTTCTGTCCCTATTACTTTGGTACTTTGTAATTTGCCATTCAAGTATCATTAGGAATGACTTCCAACAATCTTTTATTTGTTGGGTAGGTAGTTTGCTATTCATAATCACTCTTGGAGGATATGACTGCATTAAAATGACTGCATCAGAATTATAAAAATCATATCGGTTGTAACAGGGAAAGAGAAAAAAATGAAAGAATTTTTTTCAGGATGAACCACACAATGGCTCTGAATCAGGCCGACTTTTAATCAAAGCCTGTACTCAAAGACAACTTCCTACAAGAAATCTACAACTTAACAAACTTTATCTGGAGCTACTGTATGCACTCTGCAGATTTGTTAATGTGGTATTTGCAATGTAATGCTGAGTCACACAATTAAGTTTTGCTGTCATTTTCTTTCAACTGTAGTGACGGAACTGCCTATGTATCCAACTGTGAGGTCCTTTTCTGTTAATCCAAGGTTGCTTGGAAACATGTGTATTAAACTACTCATCAGGTTTAATCTCTTTGAACTGACTCAGTTAATATTTAACCTGCACTTGCACATTGTGCAAAGATTCATTTCCTTAATTGACTATTTAGTTACAAATTTGCCATTAAAAGAATCATTTTGTGCAAAACATCATCATTAGAGGCCTGCCTTGCTAATGGGCAGTTGCTAGGCAAACAATGTCTCCCTTGCCTGGTAAACATGCCCTATGTCAACACATCACTTAAAGAGGCAGGCTTATCAGACAATTAAATTGAAAATCATTTGAAATACTAACTATATGTATAGACTTCTCCAAACCCTAAATCAAAGTTTGATCAGAAATAAAAACATAACATGTATATTTCAGTCTTATTTATGTTTCTTTTAAATTAAACATTAATTGTTTATACACATAGAACTTTCGAGCTAAAAAGTATGGTCCTCCTTTTTGACAAATACAACATTTTATATATATAACTCCTGTCAATATTGTGAACTTAATTTATAATGTATTTAATTTTTACGAGACCTGTGTGCATGTTGTAACCAGTGGTGATTATTTTAATTGCCAATTTGCCATATCAATTTTTATTCAACCAAACACATAAAATGACAAACATATTAAGACCTTTATCATTCCTCAAAAAATTAAGTTCTAATTAAAGACCACTTAAGTCATACTTCTAGATGCAAAACAGTGTCAAATCATTTTTAAAAAATTACATGTTTGCCCGGCGGTAAGCATATTTGTGTCAGACGAGGGCGGTGTTTTGATTATCTGGACAGTCTTTTCTGTTCCTATTTTTTGGGGGGAGATGTATAAGTTGAAATCATGGGACCTTGTCAAATCAGTTTGTTTGCTTTTTCCTTTACTTGTTCTTACCTTAAATTTGAAGTTTCCTAAGACACCCGTTCCTATCTCGACTGACGATGCCATTCGGGTCAGTTTATCCATATTGGCCTTGTGGGAATCACCCATAGCCATTCTTGATTCAGGGGGTTGCTTTTTGGATGCACTGGCCATTCCAATTCCAGATGGGAGCTTCTGTTTGATACTCGATGATGCTACTGCTGTTCCTCTTCCAGAGAGCAAGAACTGGTTTCCCTATCAGGCTTTTCAAATGCCAGCAGGCTGGGAAAGATTTGATGAATTGATGCTCTTCTCCTCCCAGAGATGTACTTGTAGCCTATCAGGCTCTTCCAATGCCAGCAGGTTGGATGCTGGTTGATATTAGATTTAATGTGTGCATCAGGGATGAGTGTTGTGTGAGAAAGTTGCACCTGGTGTAGCGATTGGACTTTATTGTTGACTCAGTGCGGTAGCTTGACAAAGCATCCCTGTGTGGATATAACAAGAAGGGAAATAGTTTGGTTGAAATTAGGACGCGACATAAATCATTTTCTGTATTTAATAGGAAATGACATACTTCAAATATGAAAGTAGTTTCAAATGTCACTAAAACCTCCTTTGTAATAAAAACTGTATAAATTTGAATGTGGGCAATATGTTGTGAGAATTTTGTGTGTGCATGCACTCAATTTTTTTCAGCTCAAAATTTGGATTTTAGATCCTCCACCATCTCAGCTCAGCCAACCAGATCTCAACTCCATCCACATTAAAGAACAAGTTGTAATATTTGTGATCTCATCGAAACCAAACCAACGAACAAGATTCAAAATCACTTGCTCGCATGTAAAATACCACACAATAAATAATTGGTATTTTTTTTAGTAAATGTTTGGAAAGAATGCAGTACTATTTTTGTGTCAACATTAAATACATGTACATGACGCATCTCAACAATGCTTATTGCAATATAAATTTAAAAACATCACAAAAGAGAGAAATGCAACATGTGTAAACTTAGAAAATAGTGCCTGCTATATATGCATGTAAATACTACCATGACTACATCATGCTGGAACAAATTCACCACTCCTGTAAACTTTGTACCCAAACAAACTAACGTTGAAATATTATTTACATTAAAAAATATTCTAATGTAAGGGTCAAATGCTGCAACCTTTTTGACAAATAAAACTCCAATGTGAGAAAACCCATGATAGTGATAGTGATAGTGATACTCATTGCAAACATGGAGGAATAAGAACACACAGAGTCTGCATAATTACCATTTCCAAAGTTTAACAATAACAGAAAATGACAGATATTTGTCACAACTTCCCATATACTTTGTAAACTGTGAACTACCACCCACCAGCCACCATGAAGAGGCGTCTTTCCATTGCAATGCAGTTTTTTTAGTCGACTTCTTACTCAAATTAGCATGAACAAATTATCAAACTCTAGTGTTACGTAATCAGATAATGTTCCAACGACAACGTTGTGTAGTAACTGAAACTTACCTTCACTCATTCACCTTGTTCACCATGTTCACTCGGATATCTCTGCTCAAGTTTTCGACAGCAACATTAGCGGTCGCACCAACCATAACCCTCCACACAAGTGAGGCATTTTAATCTTCATTATTTTCAGCGTTGGTCAATACTTATCGACATCGAAAGCAAATAACAAAGTTCAAGTTTCGACGCTTTTTACCCCGTGTATGTAAACTCAGATTGAAAATGATGGAGCGAACCGAAAAATTGAAGGGCGCCCTCATTTGGTCAAGTTTTGACATTGTTATGAGGGTACAAGACCCGGCAAAATAGATTCCCATCGAACCCTATGATAATTACGCGTACTTCCAACAATTATTTTAAATACTCACAACTCTCCAAGGAATCTGAGACACCCATCGAATTAAAGCTTATTTCATCGTCTTTTATTTACTGTCCATTATTTTGGAGTTAATGATTTTGGGGAGAAAATTTCATCCAAAGATGATCACCCCTAATTAAACCAGTCCTGAAGCCCATCGACATTTCGAAAACTATGATGAACGCCTACGCTTCATCACAAAATAGAGTCATTTTAGGGCCTAATTTCATCCAATTTCACAGAAATAGGAGCTCGCAGTCCTCTGTACGGCTTTCATCCTCATAAGTTGTTACAAATCCTCAAGTTCACTGCCAAATGCTGTAATGCCTGAGAATTTGAGGCCATACAATATCGTGATTGGCGGGCGGGGGCAATTCTAGCTCTGGGCCTTTTTACAGATCTGCGTCCTAATATTTTGGATATCCTTTTACCTTTTTCATCCCCACAGAATAAACTTAGTATGACTTTTGTGACACTCTTATCAAAAACCAATATCAAAAATAAGATGTAAACAATTCTAGTTTCGAAATAAGAACTCATTTCTTTGTACTCGTTTCCGTCTGCCCGACCCCCAACTGCTGCACCCAAAGCCTCTTCTGTGCCGCGCGCACATTGATTGGTGTTAGAACTGAAATAAAATAATTTGAAATGATCGTTTTTCTTATCTTCAGCTATCAGGGAGTCAACCTTTACTCTTTCATTTTCGTTTGATATAAATCGTACGGCTTCACACTTACCGTTTGTTCCATGTAAACGTACCGGCAAACCTTTAAGGAGACCGAATTTTAAATTCCTCGACAGAAGTTTTTTGTACACAAATATGAAAAGCAACTAATATTTCAAAACATATGTATTACAGATGCAATATGACGATACATGGTCTGAACAGGTGCCATATTATATCGATAAGCATAAAAACAAAATTGTGAATTCTGATCGCCAATTCATCGCTTGTTGATTACAATGTAACCTACAACTTGTGACTACTTTTAATTTTTAAAGGGTTTCTTATCCTCGAAAATACAGCAGTATTTCGTTGCATTCCAACTAAATTAGCTCAGTCTGTTTTGGTAAGTGAGTAAAAGTGCCTATCGCCGAGGGCGTCAACTTGTCGCATTGCGGCCAACGCCTTGGAGAACTCGCTGGTCTGGTACCGCAGGTGCGGCTCCTCGCAGACTATGGCCTCCCGCACGACCACCGCCACTTCGTCTGGTGTCTGTATCGAGCCAATCAACTGCTGGGCTTCGGGCGATGAGAACCGGAAGAGGAAGGCAGCGGTCGTGATGTCATCAAAGCCCGCTTCTTTGGGCGTGGTGGTGACGAATTGTAACGGGTCGTCCACGGATTTGGTCATGTTGGATTTTACCAATCCCGGTTCGATAAGGACAGCCCTGAAACAGCAAAGACTGCCAATTTAGTGGAATTCTGACAATTTATAATTTACTTCACGCGTTAGCGAAGGGAACTTTTTGATGAAGGCTAATAAAATACTGCAGAAAACGTAAAAGTTCATGTACATCAAGAGGACTTTTTAGGGGAAGGGAACAAGACATGAGGAAGTCAGGACAAATGCGGAAAGCAAGGTAGGGGTAAATTGACGCTTGGGGGCGCTGCTCAAAAACTGAATTGCAAAATTTTCCAAGAATTTTCCGGGATTGATACTTCGGACACATGGCCTTTTGTAGGCCATTATATCAAACTTTCTAATATTGCATTCAAAATGTGTCCGTAAGTTTTTGCGTGAAGTGGAATCCGTATTAATTAGCGAGCCACGGCGGGGTAGCAAGGCTCGGCGGCCCGTCTGACAGGGATGATAATGTCCGTACGGGGTTTCCTATTCCCAGCACGATATGTGACAGAGGAGTACCCCCCCCCCCCTCCATCTCCCCATATACCCTATACACACCCTAGACTGTTATTGTCTAACACACCCCTAGATATCTCAAAAGAAGTCCTGAGCTTCTACACAAATGAGGGGGAGGGCTCTGTCACATATCGTGCTATGACAAAAGCCGGCCGGAATATACGTATATAGACATGGAGATAAACTACTCCTTAGCCCCCTTTCCAGCAGTTTGTAAGTCCCCCTCTCCTCCCCAACCCCTCCCCCTTTCGTGGGACAAGTCGACGTCTTCGAAATTACAGAAGTATTTCCGTCCCTGCAACCATAATCGTCCCTATATTATGCAGCGGGGCGATCACATTTAGTGCGTCCATTTTATTTCCAACCTTGGGCGACGAGGCTTGTGCTCCCCCACAAAATAAATCCAAAAGAAAAGAAGTCGCTCCGCGTCCACGTTATTTCATTGTTATCAGTTCGTTTGAGTGCCTACTTTCGCTTACTATGTACTATAGCTGACCGTCATTGATTGTTAACACTTCAAGGATAGGACCCAAAACTATAGCTGCAAAGAAGTCTACTAGGCCTATCTAAACTCTTTCAAACCGTCACAAAGCGAATACACAGGCTTTTAGACTGCATGTTACCTTGAAATTCTTCTACCTCTTTGCCATTTTTTTGGACGGATATATATATAGTCCGCTTGACAAAAAATAGCAAACTGCATTGAAAATCACCGTACGGATATCAGCATTTCAAGTTTGTTCCTTTGCTAATCCACAGTATTAGTCTTTTCTCTCTTTGTTGTCCCCAACCCTAACCCCACACCAAGAAAAAAGATAAACCGTGTGAGGATGGTGTGTCGGTATTTTCTTGCTTACCAGATGTTGTAGAGTCTGAGAACAGGCGCCAACGATTCGGTGATTCCCTCGACAGCAAATTTACTGGCTGCGTAGAATGACTGGAACGGTTGACCTAAAAATAATCAATTTTATTAAGAAATGAATGAAAGTTATATTGATGCACGACACACCTGCTTTCAGACTTAAATCAGTAATCACAGTTAGGTTTGGTGTAAATTAGGCAAGAGAAAGAATGTGCAATCAATGTCCTCCATTGCATTCCATGGTCACACATTATTACGATCCATTCAATAATTGTTTCTGGCTTACTGATTGTAACTAAATTTTACTTCTATAAAACTTGAGGAAGAGGTTGCACCATGCATTTAGGTAGTTTTTATCAAGTAAAGTTTTCTTTTCCGGACCATTCATGTTGGACAGTGCATAATATTATGATTGTAAAATCTTTCATTCTTGTACGGGATTATAATTATTGTTACTTCAGTTTTAACAAATTGACTTTGCCTTTTTCATCGACTGCAGTACGTAGTCTTACTTTCGAGGCCGAAGACGCTTGACATGTTGACGATCCGTCCTGCCTTCCTGGTCTTCATAGAGGGAAGGACGGCTCGAATCATTCTCACTGTCCCCCAGAAATTGACATCGAACAGGGCCTGGGCTTTGTCCAGAGACGGTAGTGAGTCCACGGTTTCCCATATAATCAGACCAGCATTATTCACTTGTTCGTAAAGAAAAGTTATGGCAATAAGACAAAAGACGATCAGATTTTCTTGAAAAGCTCCCCAATCCCGAAATATCTTCTATAGTTATATTCTAGTTACTCATACAATCGATTTCGCTATAGTAAAAGCGGTGTTTGCTGTACCGTACGTGCGTGCTCTTCGAATTCAAGTCCATCAAGCATTGAGGAAGAGTTACTGACATTCGTATCCAATTACCGGCTGCATTAATGTGTTTCCTGGACCACTGAGGGCTAGTCTAGTGTCTGTTTGTCTGTCTTTTTGTCTGTCTGTGGTGTCGTGGTGTCTGTCAGATTGACTGGCCGACTGACTGAGTCACTGACTATAACAGGCAGTTGGACTAGGCATATAGGAAAGCCAATGGTTAACTCGGCTCCCTTATCCCTGTCCTGTAACACGGCTGATCCATCATTACGGATCCAGAGGAAACTCTGATAACTTACAGTAGAAGTACTCGAACTTACCCAGAACATCAATGCGGCCTTCTTTCTCCACGATCTCATCCACCACGCCCTGCTGGTCCCCGGCCTGGCCGACATCGAGTTCACGAACGAACAGAGTCTCACCGAGAATCCCGCCACTTTCCCCGCCGGCCGCAGCCTCCAGCGGCCCCCGTCTCTCCGCGGTCGGGTCCCGCATTGTGGCGTAAACTCGGAACCGTCGCTCCGGGTCTTTAGCGAGGAGCACCGCGGTGGCTAGACCGATGCCGGCGGAGCAGCCGGTGATCAGAACAATGACCTTGTTGTCAGCTTTACCTGCCATACTCGCTTCCTTCCACTCAGTTGCCCTAAATTATTGTGTCAGTGTAACGACAGAGTGCCGTGCTTCCCCAACTCCCTCGCGAACAGCTTCTGTCGAACTCAGTGAAAGCACTTTTCACACTTTCCTCTTTCGCACACACAGCATGCAGTTTACCGGGTGAAGCTAAAATAAACAAGTTGTTCACCTTTGCATCATGATATATACTGAGGCAGGCTTGGCATCTGATCCTAGGTTTCCTGTCACGTTTAGGTTATTGATGACGATTTAGGGTTATGGTTCAACTGTTCGGACAGACGAGTTTAGCTGGCTGCGGCCCGCAATTTGAAACTCGCACGTATAGGGTCCAAGGCAATCGGAAGCGATCGAACAGACAAGCTACCGGATAGTAAGTGGGCGTATCTTATTCAAGGTCGGATGAACTTATGGATGAAATAGAGATCGATTAAAAAAAAATATTTTCCGTGTTAAAAAAGTTAGTGACACCCATTAATTTTGTGCAGCGCGCCCTCTTTTGAAAGAACGTTTTAATTTGCTTGAGCTGGTCTTGTATTTTTTTTGCGAAAAACCGAATGATTTGCCTCATATACAAAAGCATTGTGTAATCTAGTTCGGCTAATTATAAGAAGAAATTACAGGTTAATTAAGCTGGTATATACAGTCGACTCTCGTTAGTACAAACTCTGTTAATACAAAATTCTGGTCATAACAAACGTAAAGCCTTGGTCCCGACTGTGCTTTTATGTGCGCAATGAATGGGACCGATGTTCCTCTTAATACAACATTCTGATATCCTCCATGGTCCAAACGAGTTTGTTATAACGAGACTCGACTGTATTGAGTTATTGTCCGCACATTGAGTATATCTTTATTGTTCCATGAAAGTTGGCATTTTAAAGAATTTCTCCTTTTCTCTGGCTTTTGGTCTTGGCCTAAAGTTGTGGGAGGACGGTGTAGGCTCGCGTGACATCCTATGGCAATGTGACTCTTCTGTGGATTTTACTTTTTAACTTTAGCCTTCTATTTCGGCAGGAACACTGTTGAGATATTTTAACTCGGATTTTTTTAACACCCACATTTGATTAACAATCATAAAACAGTCGTAGAGATCATTAAACTTTTTGTCACATGACACACAAACCTCGATCACCTGACCGGCCACCGGAGCAACACATGCGATCCCACAATGGCTGTTCACAGGCTCGCGGTGCTCATCTTTCTCACATTTTTCGTCGGTTTGGCCTGGTCCTTACCGCGATTTCTCCATGGGAGACCCCGGGGTGGGATGCTTGGAGCCCCGAGGAGACGATCAGGCGGTTCGCTGCCTCCCGATCAGTGGTTGGAACAGAAACTAGATCATTTCAACGATGCCGATCTCAGGACTTGGCAACAGGTACGATAGACCAGCTATTATAAGGTCCATCTCCCAATTCTTTTACAAACTATTTGAATTTAATAGGCATTGGTAGTGAGGGACTTTACTGGAGACCTAACGCATTGATAAGTCATGGATATTTCCTGCTTTTCATTCGTTTTATGTGGATAATCTAGACTAGTTTTCAGAGATTCAAAATGTACACAACTAATACTATGATTCATACTCATTATGATCAAACTGATGCTCTTTGCACATAGTCTGGGCTTCGTGTTATTTATCACAGGTGTAGATTACAACACATTAGTGAGAATGTTAGTGATCACGGCAAAAATTAAGGCTATATGAGTAAACATTATTGCAACACTTGCGGCACAGTTCCTTGTATTATTACAAGTGAATACAGGTGCTAAAATATAATTGTGTTTGCAGCGCTACTTTGTCAACGATACCTTCTTCAAGCCCGGCGGTCCAGTCTTTCTCATGATTGGTGGAGAAGGCACCGCCAATCCTATCTGGATGGTAGAAGGAACATGGGTCGTCATGGCTGAACGACTGGGGGCGTTGTGCCTGATGCTGGAGCACCGATTTTATGGGAAAAGTCATCCTACTCCGTAAGAAATGATCAAAGAAAACTGGAAGTTATCACAGAAAGCTTCATGTTCTTAAAATTTGGGTATTTTTCACATAAACTCCTTGGCTTTGTTAATGGCAAAAAAAGGGAAGATCAATTTCAAATTTTGACACTTTTTTTTTAATGTGGACTGACCTAGAAAGCCTTCAAACACCAAGTGGTGCAATAAATGGTGGCCTTTTGTGGCCCATGTTCAGAGGGTCAGGGGTTCAAATTCTGCTGCTACCTATATCACAACCACCACCACTATTTTGTAATTCATCAGTCAAGCCATTTACAATATAAATTCCTGATGAGCAGTGGAGCTGGTGTTACGCAAGCCAACAGGAGACATGTTTCTGTCAAGCAATTTTTTAAACAGTTTGCAATTATCAACTCGATCAAATGCCTTAGACATATCTAACAACAGGGTATAAACATTGCTCCTATTAAAATTGTAATGAGAAATAACTTCATTCATGACAAAAGTACACTGAGTGGTGGAGGCATGTTGTTTAAATCCAAACTGAAGATCAGAATTACTTAAAAGCACTCTCTTCCTTCAAGATAATTACCCAATCGAAAATGTTGCCAATAATGCTACTACAAGTGATTGCCCCATACTTGTCAGAACTACTTAACAATTTTCTGTTGCACTATGTAATGGGGACAATGGTACCACAATTCATACTTCCTGGACTGCCATGAATTAACATACATTAACATACAATATTTGAACACTTTTGCCAAAAGGAATAATAATTGGCCAGAAGAATAGGAGGAAGTATTGCCATACATCGCTCCCTCAATGCAATCCAGTTATCCCCCCCCCCAATTTGGGCCAAGCAAGTACACATAGCCACACCCTTGCCCCACCCTACCCTACACCCTGTGTATTTCACTGTCTGTTTGATAATGAAGCCTTGTACTCTGTTTTAATATCCTACACCTCATTTTAGTGATATTTCCGTGGAGAGCCTGAGCTTCCTAAACAGCGAGCAGGCCCTAGCAGACCTGGCCTACTTCAGACAGTACATGGGCATGAAAATGAACGTCACATACAGCAAGTGGATCTCCTTCGGTGGTTCTTACCCAGGTAAACATTAACAAAATCTTGAAATCCTTTGAATTATTATGGCCAAGTAAAACCATTAACCTGTTACTTGTCCCCACCCCCTTTCTTGTCCCCACCCCGTCTCTTTTCCCCCGGCTGTCCTTTGTGTTTAAAAATCAAACATTTTGGGTATACATGCTGTTTGTTTTTATGTTCTTCCAGCAATATTGTAGCTATGTATACAAGATAGAATCTGTTAATAGAAAGCATTACAGCTCATTTGAACACAAAAATATCAGCAAGAGTCAAGAAAATGGAAGAATCCATTTTGGAAAATCTGCCATTTGTACAAAAAGAATTAAGATCAATATATCTAGTGGATGGTTCAAAATCTACAATTATTTTGAATGATCACTGTCTTTAATTAGGTAGTCTCTCAGCTTGGTTCCGTCTGAAATACCCTCATCTAGTGGATGGTGCCGTGGCAACCAGTGGACCATTACTGGCCCAGCTAGACTTCACAGGTCAGTCACTACACAGTGAGCCCTCTTGTGTCCACTTTTTGGTCACAAACCGAATACAATAAAAGGCTTAGAAGAAAAAAAATACAAATTAAGAATGGAAGAATATCTCCCTTTTGTCGCACATTATTGACTTGGGTATTGGCAATATGCATAAACAATAGAGGGTGCTCTTTAACATTTAAGAGTCTGCATCAGCGAAGGACACTTTGCTACATGGTACAGACTCTTACATCCAATGCACATGCACAAGGGATGCATTCTACTCATTTGAACATTGTCAACAATTTCATAAGCTGGTTTATGCTAAGCATTAATTTCTGTTTAAAGCTTTTGTGTTTAGAAAATGTTCTAATTTTGAATTGGTTGCCTTCAATCAGGTTACGTGTCCGTGGTGCGGGATTCTCTGGCAACGAGCCCGCAGGGAGATATGTGCAACACCAACATCATGCAGGCCACAACGCAGGTGGAACAACTCCTGCAGCACCGTGTGGGATGGGCGGACCTGACCAAGATGTTCCAGTAAAGCTGTTATTTTTAAAATTATTTTATTGATTGTTAATTATTTTATTGATTGATTAAATGATCTGACTGCCGATGTCTAAATTGGACCAGGCACAGAGATTTAAGATCCACTAAGGGAACTTTTTGTTGTGTTTAAAAAATATATATTAGTGACCTACATTTTTAAACAACTCATTTGAAATATGGAAATATGCTCAATTGGGGCAATTTACAAGGCGTTAAAAGGTTCATAATCAATGTTTTTCTTAAACTACATTATATTTCCCCTGATTTTTCTTTCTCTGCAGAGTCTGTAAGCCACTGAACGGATCCAACCCCAACGATGTCTCCAATTTCTATGAGGCCATCGCGGGCAACTTCTTTGGGGTGGTGCAGTACAACAAAGACAATCGTGCATTTGAGGTAAAACTGGAAAACACAAGATCAGTCAGTGTTAGTGAAGTGTCCTATTAGTTAATAATTGCAAAAACTTTCAAATTGCCTGCAATATGAAAGTTAAACTATCGTCACAAAAACTCTTTAAGACTTGGTGTTTGAAAACTTGAATTTTAAAAATTGGAATCAGTGCAATTTATTGCAGAAAATTTTTGGTCTCCAAAGTGGACTCGACATCGACTTATAATTATACAAACTTTGGCATGTGCAAATTTGAAAGTTTGAATATATTCGAAAAATATAGTATTATGACATTGTCATTTTTTAAAAACTGCTAGGGAGCGGTAGGCACCGACATCACCATTGACACCCTGTGTGGCATCATGGGTAATACCTCTATCGGCGTGCCCCTGGCGCGCTACGCTGCCGTCAACACGCTGTTACTGCAGACATACGGGGAGAAGTGTCTGGACGTATCTTACGATGACATGATCACTGAGATGAGACAGACGTCTTGGGAAAGCTCGGCATCTGAAGGAGGTCAGTTCCAAAAACGAAAAAAAATCTGGTTAGCAAATAAACCGGTTACCAACCAAAATGTGGTTGGTGGACATTGCTTGTGGCTGGTTGTCCGCTATTTTATAGTTCAAACATACAGTCTTGCTGAGCAATTTGTTATGACTAGCTACTTGAGAAGAGTATGTAATCAGGCCAAACTATACTTGGGCCATTGTTGTAAGTTTACTATAATTTTATCATACAGGTCGACAGTGGGTGTACCAGACATGTACTGAGTTTGGGTTCTTCCAAACATCGGATGGCAAGGACCAACCATTCGGCAATGGCTTCCCTGTCAGGTAGTCCCAACTATCATTAGAAAGACAACTCCAGATGCATGATCACTGTGGACTCACGAGGCCCCCTTCAATGGAGAAACCATTGTGCATGCTATTGTACAAAGCAACTGCCCGTGACAGATTATATGAACAATAGCTAGCACAGTGTTTTCTCCATTGAAGGGGGCCTTCGTGATAGAAGTGACAGTGTGACTGATTGTCTGTAGAGTTGAGGCTAGATCATACCGTGTACTAATGCAATGCAAATAGAATGTGTGACATAACCGCGAGAATTTACGCTTCACATTTGGATGAAAAATTTCAACTCCAGCTGATTTCACTATGAATGTTGTACGACGTTAAATTCACTTTGAATTCATATTAAAATGAACTTGCCCACTGGTTTATTGTTAACAGAAATAGCAAAATGGTTCCAACCTTGATTGAATTTTGTTCTTTTCTTTTGTAGCTTCTCCCTGCAGCAGTGCTCTGACATCTACGGGAAACAGTTCAACAAGACCACGTTGACTCAAGGCATTGCACGCACTAACACCAACTACGGAGCCAAGGGCATCCGAGCAACCAAAGTCATCTTCCCTAACGGTTCAATCGATCCCTGGCACTACCTGGGAATCACCAAGGATGTCTCTGAGACTGAAACAGCAGTCTACATCAATGGCAAGTGGCAACCAATTACTTGATTTTAATGAATATTTTCAAAGATCACAATTGGGCGGGGGTCCTGACATTAGTCTATGCAAAACTGATGTCAAGTTTTGCACTTTGCACAGATGTTTTTTTTTTCACAAAGGCAAAACTCAACATTCTGAATACAGCGATTAGTGTATCCCCACTAATCCATATCTTTGAGTCATCGAGTAAAATTTTGCAAGGAACAAAATATCCTCCTCAGTCCTCACTATAAGTTTGTTTTTAGGATAAGCATGTTAAAAACTTACCAAAATCTATGTTTTTACTGACGCCACCTTGTTGATGTTCGTTGTTTGTTGAGACTTAACGGTGTGACTGCCACGCATGGATGTAAAGTATGGAAATATAGATTATAGCTTGGCGCGGACATCTAGGAACTTCTAAACTCTCCATGTCTTGTTCCCAGACCCATTTTCATAAAACTGCTTGGTTCTTTAGTCTGGAGTGCTAAATGGCAACACAGAGCAACCGAGAAAAACTCACATATGCATGCTAATGAAAATTATGATATAAATCACCAAGTGTCACACACTGTCTGTTGAGAAATCGTCATACCAAAAGTTATTCTACAAATTCTACTAAATGAAATGATTTCAATTTTTTATTTCTGTTATTAAAACAGGTACTGCTCACTGTGCCAACATGTACCCAGCACTGCCCTCGGATCCCCCTCAGCTTGTACAAGCCAGGGACACCATCTTCAAAGCTGTGGAGGCCTGGATCCAATAAGAACGGCATCCAATCATTTAATCACAAATTTTACAAGAAGGCTTATTTTGTATTAATTTCTACTTGAATTTTTGTTGCAATTACGATATTGTAAAATTTTATCATTTATTAAATGAATTATTGATTTTGTATGAAATACAATGTCCTCATCTCTATAGTACTACTGCAATCAAATCATGTCAATCACAAGTATCATCACAAGTCAGTCACATGTAGCTTCTAACATGATTTGAGATGTTATGACTTTTAATACGGATTTGTCTACAGTTTCAATGTCAATACTTTGATATTGATTTGCTCCATAGATTTGTTTTTATCCAATTCAACAGTACTCACGAAATGTAATCCAACTGGCAGTTGAAAGTTATGTCATCATGTTGATTACTAGAAATATAATATCACCTTCACTTGTTATTTAACCATTTGAAATATTCTTCATTATTTTAGAAATAACTTCAAAGTTTTCCAACCATCAAAATATAAGGAAAACGTATGTATCTGTATCTGTATCATTATAGTCGGTAAAGCATCCCAGGGGAAACATCACACCAACTTAGAGAGAAGACAATGAGAAGAAATTACAGTTTTAGAGGTGGGAGGAAAAGCCCAGAAGATATTCTGGGGAAAACCCACGGAATCAGGCAGGGACTGAAACCCCAATCCACATATTGGCCCAGGCGGGATTCGAACCCGGGTCACAGCGGTGAAAGGCGAGGAAAGTACCGCTACGTAAACCTGACTCTCCAATGTGAATTAGTGAAGTATGTGTATGAGAAGAAATGACAGTTTTAGAGGTGCGAGGAAAAGCCCAGAAGCTATTCTGGGGAAAACCCAAGGAATAAGGGAGGGACTGAAAACCCAATCCACATGTTGGCCCAGGCGGGATTTGAACCCGGGTCACAGCGGTGGAAGGTGAGGAAATTATCGCTACGCCAACCTGACTCTCCAATGTGAATTAGTGAAGTATGTGAATTTATCCAGCGTAGATTTCTTGCAAACAAAACCTGCCTTTCCAGTCTGCCACTCACCTGAAAACCTGTAAACATTTGTTTATATCCCATGTGACTTTTGCAATTGATGTTTTTAGAAAAAATGTCCATCTTTGTGATGTGTTGTTATTCAACTTAAAAAGTTGTGAATAAAGATTATTTCATTCTCTTCAATTGGCAACTATAAACTCTACCGTTTTCTGTCTTCTGGCTTGAAATACAGGAGTACATGTGTACTGTTACAGTGTAGTAGAAAAATGTACATGTACATGTGAATCTACATCTCTAAGCAAGAAACTTTGTTTTGTAATCAAGTGTTGTTTATCCTTTCTGTATGTATTTGTGTGTGTATGGTTTTCTTAAGATGGAATTTGTGCATCGAGGTGATGTAAAGCAAATTAGGTTTTGCCCTTCATGTGTATAACACACTGAGTATACAGTGTGAAGGGCAAAACCTAATTTGATTTCAGGATGATTCCTGCCATTATTTGGTCGCTTGTGCACGCACAGCTTGAATCAAAGTTCCGGTAGCACACACTTGAGTACAGGAGCATCCTATCAATTGTTTTAAAACAATTGGCCAACTTTGATCTACCAGCACACTGACCTCAATACAGTTTAAGTGTTGACACAAAATCTGTGACATCTACACACATCAGTGTTTTTAATATTTACTATCTGTTCTAACTGACGGCCCAAATTAACAGGCAAGAGATAAAATGAAACAGCCTTTTTACAAATTATATACAAATATTAAAAGTGATACAAGATTTACCCTTCAACCATAGTCCCTGAATTTTGAGTTGATCATGTGAATAAGGTCAATGGGTCATTCTAAGGCCCAAGTTTTGTTTTTTTCATGATGGATGAAAACCCAGTCCAATTATGAAAATACCTCAAACTCTTTGGGATTTTTTAACATGAAAATTGGCTTACGGCTAATCTTGGTCCAGTTTGACCTCAGTGTCAAAGTTCAAGTTCATATCCAGTAGTCGCCTTGACGCTTTCATATCAGCTTAAGCTTTCACTGGAACTGCTGCTGGAGGAATCGGTGGACATAACCTCCACATCATCCTCGTTTTTTTTTGCAGGACTGGGAAATTCTGGGTCATTTTTTTTTACCTTGGTGTCAAAGTTCAAAGTTCATATCTAAGGCCGCCACAACGCTTTCATAAACTTTCACTCGAACTGCTGCTGGAGGAATCGGTGGACATGACCTCCACGTCATCTTCGTTCTCTTTGTTCTGACCTGGGGCACCGAGGTCAAGGTTCAGCTCGGTGCTGTGGTGGCTGATGCCGGACGGCATGCTCAGGCTGGCCGTGAGTTCGCTGGAGGGCTGCCAGGTCAGGCCGCTGGTACCCGAAGGGGCACCATCTAAATCAAATGAAGACGCAAATTTTACCAGTGATACTTTACAATTTTGCTTGCCAGATTTATGGTCAGTATTGTACACCTAAATGAGGTTGGGGGGGGGAGGTGGAAGAAGGGGGATCAGTGGAGGACATCTTTTAAAAACAATATTTAATAGCCTATGCTTTTTCAGAGAGAAGGCGAAACCTGGACAAAATGAAGGCCAAAATACATGATCCAGTTAAAAAATTGTACTAAATACTAGACAGCACATCTTAATTAAACAGAACAGCATTCAGAGATTTATTATTGGGTTTTTGCCCTTCACTTGGGACAACACTGAGAATACAGTGTTTATAAAGCTACGTCGGTAAAGAGCAAAGAAAAATTCATTTGTTTCTCACCTCCTCCAGATGCCGCTGATGCTCCCTCAGTAACCCCATTGGTTGCCTGGGCAACAGGAAGATTGCTCAGTCTACCCAGAATGCCCATGCGCATCTCCAGGTCTGTCGGGTATGGCCTACGTGCGTCACCTGACAGAATCATTGAAAGAGTGCAAATTAACATCACAACAATTAATACGATACAAATATATCTTCTTATTGACCAATTACATAACTCTTAAAATAAGTTCCACAAAAGGTTTTTGAAATGGTTCTAATTGGTAAAGCTTTCCCCACTCTTCTCTGTTTTGAAGAATTTAAGAAACCTTCGTCTTTCCATTTTTTGATAAAATTGAAGAATTTTGACTTAATTTGTACGATCAATCAAAGGACAATCAACTTGTTGACAAACGTTGACAATAAACCATTTATTCTTTGTTCCACCATCACTAACACCGACCACAATCAGTTGAGAACAGAGAACTAAAGACAGAACTAGCGTGACTAACGATTCTCTTCAAGGTTGCCAAAAATGCTCATGTCAAGTCCGAAAACAGGTGTTTAGAGCTACGACTACGTCTATTTCACCATGTGCCCATTGACAAAGACCTAGGCAAAGCCTTAAGCAAGACATTTTAACACAGCCATATTTGTGTACCTTGTGCCCAGGACAGAGGGGCTGAGACTGCATTTGTGGCGCTGATCCGATGCGCATACTTAATGAGCTCCTCGGCAGATATGGCTCCCTTATTCGCTTTGTCTATGGCTTTGAGTTTCTCCTTAGCCTGGTAGATTGCTGTTGCCTGGAATGAACAAATATCGAGTGACCATGACGTTAGTTGAATTTTAATGATGCGTGGCATCAAGGTCATAGGCTGTATCCTTTGTTGTTCATGTTCAGCCATATATAATTGAGGCCCACAATATACTGGACACCATTCGCACTGCCTCTCGATATCATCGGCACTGCCTCAAAAATATCAACACTGATTGTTTGAGGATTTTAAAGGATTGAGGCAGCAGTCACCTATCTATTGAACACATTAAAAAGAAAGGAATGATTTTGGAGGACTGAGGCAGAATCCAACTTTTACATGGTGGCAACTGGAGGGATTTTGCAGGATTGAGGATGGTTCCTAGCCAAAAAGGGCCTAGGCAGTGAGGGTTAAGGATTTATCTATTGTAGGGGTTCTACAGGTGTTAGTGTTGAGGCAGGAAACACTCCTTAGAAGACAATCTTCTCTGCTCACCAGAATATGCTCAGCTTCCTTGAGTTGCCTCTGCAGCTGTTTGATGTCCTCGTCTCTCTTGTCCACCTCCTCCTGCAGACATTCCATCTCCCGCCGCTGCTCCCTCTGCTCCTCAGTCTTCTTGAGTGTTGCTTCAATCTCCTCATTCTTCTTCATCAGCATGTCCATAATCTGCAATCCAGAGGGAGGGGGTGTTTAATATTGCACTGCAATATGATTCTACAGTAGTTTTTTTGGTGAGGAAATACTGGAAAGGCAAAGCTAAGGTTCAAATATGTTGGAATTTTATTTACATTAAATGTCTTAATATGATTACAGTTTTATTCAGAATTTAAAAATTAGAACTTTTGTGAAATACACAAAATAAAATTCCTCGAATCATAGTAGCAAAATCCTCCATTCAATTCTATGTATAGACAATGCAAAGGTTAAAAGTTATGCAAATTTCATGATGGTTACAGTGTATTTATAGATTACCTGAGGATCCTCAAGAGCTGGCATTCTCTGCCTCACAGCTGCAGTAGACTCAAACAGGTCTCTGATTTGTTGGTAAAATATAAAAGAGGTGTACATGTATGTGAATAAACAGCCTCTTTCTATTAATGTGGAAACCTTTAAGAACCGTCTTCAAATCACTTCTTTGTGGTAGTTTGTTCAACTACAAGTTTGTTATCAGTATTGCTGTGTGTGAAGTTAGAAATAAAAATGTTGTTAGAATTTTAAAGAAATCAAAAATGTGACATAATCAGGCACACTGGAGCAAAATGAAACTAGTAGCTTGGAAAGGAATGTACATTTAGAGGATGCTTTGTTGGCTGTCTAGACTAAACCTATGGGGGGGGAGCTACATTTTTGTGAAATATTTTGAAAGACAATTGGAAAGTTTCGAAGTCCACACCTTAAGTTAAATAGTAGACCTATATTAGCTTGAGAAACTCCAGCTCCAATGCTCATCGGGAATTTTACATAGTCATAGGGCTGGAGGCACATTAGCTTGAGTAACTCCAGCTGACATGCTCCATATTCATTCACATGTGAATGAATATGGAGCATGTCAGCTGTATTACTCAAGCTAGAGGCACATCTAGTTTTTGTCCAGTGGTTGGAAAATGGCAGAGGCATTTTAGTAAAGGCCAAATTTCACGGCCTCCACCATTTTCCAACCGCTGGACAAAAATTAGACGTGCCTCCAGCTCTAATTCGAGATGAGCATTGGACTGAGCAAACTAAAACTGTTTGAAAACTAAACTCATTCATTTTCTCAAAATATCAATGAAAATGGCAGACGGCAATCATGATCTCAAAAATTCTGATATCTGATTTTAAATAAAATATTAACACTCATAACAGTAGGCCCTACGCGAAAGTGCAAAAAAAAGCAAAGAACAAAAAAACCCAAATTTCAATCACAATTTCCTATTCAGAAAAAAAAGTTCACCCAATGAACAGCGCCCTCACCAGGCCTACTTTAACACATTATATCTTTAAAATTACGTTTCTTTTACCATCTACTTTTAATGTGTGTAAAGAATACAAACAGCAAATAACGCTAACTCCAAAATTTAGAGACAATACTTACTTAGTGAGGCATTCTGCCTCTTCAACTAGAGACAACAGCTTCGATTTTGTTGATGCACTGGCGGCCGCCATCTTGTTTTAGTTGACTTTAGTTTACTCTTTCAAAAATATATAATAATTTTGTAAAATCTATTTCGATTTCAAATAAATAATGTCCAAAATTACAACAAATATTATTTTAAAAACTTGATAACTTTTATCTTGAAAGTATCTTCATAGATTACTATTGAATTTGCATACCACAATTGCATAATGAAAGTTACAAAGTATTGAAAGAGCCAGGTAAATAAGCTAGAAAAGATCAACATCCAGAGTCAAAATACTTGATGCAATTTTGTGCTTGTTTATTAACACATTCCAGTCCCATTTCTATCAATTTTCATGCTGTAATATTTTTATAGTTTCAAGATTTGTATATTTTTATAGTCAAGAAGAGGATGAAAAATAAATTTGACATGTAAGTAACCTGATTAACAGTCCCATATATATTTTTACGAAACAGATGTTCATCATTCAATTCATGTCATTCGTCAAATGATTTGACATGAAACTCATGTTCGTCTCATTAATTCACGTGCACGGTAACAGGGTAGATGATACTGGATAGTTCTTGCACTTGCAAAAAAAAAGAAGAGTTTATCAATTGTAACTATTTGAAAAGTTAAACTTTGTATTATAAAAAAAAATGCATAATTATAAAAGAATTGTCTTGCTCTTGGAACTATTTTTTATAAGTTAATGAGAGTTATTTTTCTGTTTTGTTGGCCGTGGGGGGGGGGGGGGCGGGGGGATTTGAGACATTTATATTCAGAACATTGTTTTGTCGTTGCATAACATATCTTTCAACATGTACCGGTGTATGTATTCAGGGACTGCATGATCTCAATTATTGAACAACAGACATTGTATTGTAATATGCATTTGTATAATTGTATTGTGTGGAAAATTGACAATGCAGCATTTACAAAACAGGCGTAAGGGTTTGTTGCCCCTTTAACTTTTGTAATTATTTGTTTACAGGTTGAAAGATGAGGACAGTGGTGAGGAGAAGGAAGATACCGAAGTATCCAAAGACCATCAAGTAGACAAGTTTGTATGGGTAAGAAAGACTTGGTGTATCAATATCTGCAGCCTTTCCCAGAAATAGATTGGTATTTGCTTTATTTGTTTGAAGAGCAAGTCAAAACAGATACAAATTAAGATGGCATAGGCCTACTTATCACTATTTTGTATGATTTTTCTGCACAGCCCAAGGTTAAGCCAGGGCAGGGTGAGCACCAGCTACAGTACTCCTATTCTATGTGGTTTTCCAAGCGTACACCAGGGAACAAGGCATCATCCACAAACTACGAACAGAACATCAAAACAGTCGGCAGCTTTGCATCAGTAAGTCATTTATCTAGCTTTGTAAGCCCTAAACAAAAGTTGAGAAGATACAATTTCAAAAATGCTAATTCAAAAAGTCCTCTCACTTACTCAGTTCACATTATGCACAACATTATTACTTGACAATCAAATTTTGACTCACCTGCAAGAGAGTGTGACGTTTGTCCTGTTCCATAATTTTTCGGCTTACTATCGGACATTACAGTTCCCTAAACGTCTCTTCTGATCTGTGAGTGCCCAGACAACTTCTACTGAAGTCTTTTCCTTGAGAGTGTGTAATCATTTCTTTGCAGGTTGAACAATTTTGGACGCTGTACACACATCTTGCCAGACCCTGTGATCTCACAAGCAGCAGTGACTATCATTTATTCAAACAGGGTATCAAGCCAATGTGGGAGGTATGTATATTTCTCAATTTCATCCCCTCCAAAGATGTTTCATTCCAGAATTTGTTTGGGGGCAAGACCTAGACCTTACCAATTTTGTGTCAGTGTGTATGTTATCACTGCATGCATTACCCTTTTGTTTTCAAGAATGCACTGTTTAGACTTGCACTTTCATTAATACTAGATCTTGTAGATCTCAGGTATCTTCAGTTTGTTGGTAACTTTTGTGCTAAAATTACAAAACAAGGACTGTCTTAACCCTTTCCAATTTAAGTTATGTCGTAGGTACCCATCTCATGTGTTAGGACCAGTGGCGTAGTTTGGATATAACAAACATCAACACATGTTTGTTTTGTTTTAGGATGATGCTAACAAGAGTGGCGGCAAGTGGATTGTGCGTTTAAGGAAAGGTCTTGCCTCCCGCCTGTGGGAGAACCTCATCCTGGCCATGCTGGGCGAACAGTTCATGGTTGGCGATGAAATCTGTGGTGCTGTCGTGTCCATCAGATTTGCTGTAAGTTTTCAAGTATCCTTGGTCCTCCTTAACCCTTAAAATCTGTCAGTGGTCAGTTGATAAGATAAATTATATCCACAAGTAAAGAACAAGTTGTAGGTTGGAAAGCTTGTGAGGTTTTCTCAAAAGCTCTCAGAAAGCACAAAGTACAAACCACGAATGACATTTGTCAGGATTTTTCTTGATTTTGAAATTTATATATAATCCCTTTTGAAATCTGGAATTCCTGAGGTTTTAATGTAAAGCTGATTTTAGCTGTAAAAGTAATGTAAAACAAAGAAATGGTTATTTTAAGGGGAGCCATGAGGCCATTTTTTTCTGCAGCAGTCTGAAATAAGTGCAATATTTTCATAGGTGCCATTTATACTCCTAGGTGGAGAGAGGCAATTGTAGCAAAGTGTCTTGCCTAAAGAACACACTACCATGTTCCCTCTCAGGGTTCAAACCCATGTACCACGGCACATAAGTCAAACACCGTAACCATTGGACAATGGCACTTGAAAAGAAACATTTGCAGAGCAGAAGACATCTGCTTTTTTAAACAATCAGTTCACTATGAATTCCTCTATCCCTTGTGTAGGAGGACATCATATCAATCTGGAATAGAACTTCTAGCGATGTGACCATCAGCCTTCGCATCCGAGACACGCTGAGAAGAGTTCTCAATCTTCCCCCAAACACCATCATGGAATACAAGACACATACTGACAGTATCAAGTAAGATATCACACCGTTTGGCCAAACTTTAAATTAAGCAATCATTGTATTCAGAGCTTTGGAGAACTTGTAGTTGGTAGTTGATGCTTTCAACTTTTTTAAAATATGAGGGACAAAGGGCAATCATGGGTAGGGGAAACTGGACTGACCTGAAACATACAAATCATATAAGTTAGAGGGCCTGACGTTTTGGATCCTAGCAGAATTTTTTTCAGAGGCCAAAATTCATTCAAAAATGCTATATTTGAGTATTCAAAAAAATTTTATTTTAGTAAACTATGTATATTGATTTAGTATACTCATCTATTTTAGTGCATTCTAATAATAAATTAGATGGATACATTTTTTCTACAAGTACACTTCAAATTGTAATGACATTAAGAGTGTATCTACAACACAGCAACTGAACTAACACATACAACACAAACTAAAAACAAAACAAAATCATCCATCAAATAAATTGATTTCAAATGATTTCATTGGTTTCTCAAACACTTTACTCTTGATATAGGTAATTGAAAATTAGATTTTTTTCAATATTTTTTTCAGAACTGACCATTTTTACATTTTCTTTATTTTTTGTGTATTCACAGAGACAACTCCAGCTTCAGAAACACGGATATTTTCACGAAGTAGCAGCCAAGATGGGGCAAGCCGTTCGTCCACTAGGCACAAACATGCTTGATGCACATTGTGTACATAAACAGATCCCATTGTCCAAAAAAATCAGTTATTGCATCTGTTATGGGCCATATAGGCTCCGTGCATAAACAGAGAGGGCGCTTTTTAACCACTTTCGAGAACCAACTGGGCCAGTGGTCTCCCCCAACTCTCCCTTTCTTACCGTTGAGGGGGTACTTGTGCACGGAGCCCATAGTTAACAGGACTTCAGGGTGAAATTCATTTCCTCAATCGAGTTGTAACAAGGGTTAAGTTGAGCACCTGACTTTATCATTTGCTTTCCAAATTTGGAGTTCTTATTTCACAATTGAATTATGCACTTTGGGAATTAATCCCCTTCATGTGTTTTGCCAGTACTTGTTTACGGTAGCTCAAACAAACATGCTCCATTGTTCCAGTCATAACTGCCCAGAGTAACTGCAAATACCATGATAAGAATAGTGAGTAATGAAATGTTGAAACACCATCCATGATTTCACTCGTTCACATCGGTACATCCGGTGACTGTGATAAAAATTCACAATTAATATTTATCATTTGCTATTCCCCAGGTTGCCTTGTGTGCTACTCCTGAGTATGTTCCTTTGAAATTCTAAAAGCTCCATATATTGGTAACTGGTCCACACAAGGAACCGGTTTAAAACATTTACATGTTTTATAACAATTACGGAATTCAAAATTACCTGAACCATTTGCTTGCATCTATGAATTTTCTCTGATGGGTCCAAACATAATATCAATAGAGCAGTGGGTTGTTGTCATGATGTGCACTATTAAAAATGTTTTGTAAATACAATTTTTGTGTCATTGTTGCGTCATTTTATTCAAAGTGTTGCAGAATCTCCATGTTATATTGATATATACATGTACTGCTTGATTAAATGCGTCCTGATTAGATACGTATGTACATGTCTATTGTAAGCCTAACTAAAAAAAAAGAATCTGACAAAAAACGGACTTACACAAAAAAAATTAAGAACTTTGTCTCGCCTTTACACGGAGATATCGCCCTCGTGCTGAATGTGGCTTTGAGTTTAAGTTAAGTCATCTCAAAGAACATCAAATCCTGAAAGTAGAAATATACACAAAGTTAAAAATGACAAGATTAGTTGAACATCAGAAAAGGGTATCAACCATAACGGGTTCGTTTATGTAAGGTAAACTTCACTGTGTATTTTCCCTTGACTTTGGCTGAAATGTTTTAAAAGTAAAATTGCTAAAAAGTTGTTTGGAATATGACGCAGTCGGCGATTTTGATAATTATGTATCACTAATGTGAAACAATGTTAGAATTGATCATGATAAATAAACAAACCAACAGAGAACCAACTATATCATGAAGAACACGTCATCTCGACACAAACAAGCATGCGTCACGGTAATACTGTCCAGTTGCTACATTGAAAGTTGGCACATTCTACGTATAGGCCTCCTTGGAAAAGTACCTACCATTAAGAAAGCAGCTCCGATGAGAAGTACCTTACACTTGATGTCACACCCTGGAGGAACTACAGTAGCGAGATTTAAAATGTATGAATATTTGTCTTCTAACAGATGAAAAATATTGATAGTGACATTGACATTAATTTTATATCAATTTTGTTCCGTGTTGACGTTGCTGTTGCTGTTTACGAGGATGTGGATATGGAGGTGGATGAGGGTGTGGATGTATATATATATTGATATATTGATATTAATATAGTGTCAATTACCTCAATAATTTACGTCAAAAGGTATTGATATATTAGTATATGTGGCATGGGGTTTGTACTCACATTGGATTGTGAATGTTTCGTGATCCATGTTAATGTCTTGCCGTCTTCCTCCCCACTGCTTGCGGATCAATCCCATCCCATCATCAGACAACTTCCAAACCTAAAAATTGAATCCAATAAGCACAATTTGTTCACACCTTTTGTGCCGTTAGTTAGAAAATGGTGATAAATGTTCATCGGAAATTATATGACCGCGAAAGTCAAAGTTGTCAGGTCATTTGATTGGTTTGGATTCTACCGACGTATTACGATGAACAAGAGAAATTACGTGCCTTCCCGTGATAATGGACCCCTCCCTTGTTCATAAGAACAATTTTGACCTGTGCTTTTAAGAATGAAGGCTGGCTGGTGAGCACTATCTCACGTAATCTCTGGAGTGACGTCATAATGGCGAGGTAAACCGAAATGTATACCTGTACTTCTATGTCGGTTCGACATCTACACGGGCAACACGATGTCCAGAGAGTCATCAGCGGCGTCTTGTCGGCATCTTCGATCTTGAAAGTAGCTCCGAAAAAGCTCCAACTGGTGGTCACAAAATAACGTCGATGTTTCAATTTGTTTTTTACGGTATCTAAAAGTTGAACTGCTGCAAGGTAGACGCTTATTGTTTACTTTCCTTTGATTTTCACAAATATGGAAACAGAATATAGTTGAATTGAACTAAAGTTCATTATGTTTCGTCATCGATGGTCAATTGAAATTGCTCACGTTTGTTTGACGTATCCGATAACCTCGCCATTCGGTGTCTGGACCATGACTCCCATCATGCAACACGGGCAGCAACAAGCGTCACACCGTAGAGGACGTACCACATGGATGACGTCATTGCCCAGTTTGTCCCTGAGAGCGAGGCGCAGGGGGCGTGCAGGACCGCACCAGAAACGCCCACAGCAAGACGCACCTATAGGAAAATGTGCAACATCAGTCTTGTAACGCACGTAAAACGTTATGCCCGCCGCGCGCACATAAAACACCATTCAATATTTTCTTTTTTGATCGATACCATTTTAAGCAGAATAATTTCCCAGGCTATTTGGCACCATCCTATCGTGAGAATTTCTCATCAAATCGGTACCGTGTATATAAGTGTAGACACCAATGTTCCCATATGCCTCAACTAACAGCAGTTGAAATACCTTTTGTGCTTTAAGTATTAGTATATTTATACAAGTATTAGAATATTTATACATTTAGTAGGTTTTTCTGGGGGTGGGGTGGGGATCGAGCTAAATAACACTTTTAAAACTAATCAAAGATATATTTTTAAATGCTGCCTTCTGATTTAATCTTGTACCTTCTATCGCTTGAAACAGTTGCTCGTTCTCCTTGTTTGTCATCAAATATGTATTAGTGACGTCACAACCAGCACCTGTTGTAAAGTAAACCACACGTCTTAGGCAAAAGTCTGAAACAAAAGTTTACCTTAGATCAAGTGACGTTTTGTGCATTGGCTACAATTATAAAGAGTATGTTATTATGCGAAGATCTGTTCAACTTCACAACAATATAAACAAAGGACGCAATTTGTGTGGCGGCAAAAACACCGATTCACAGTGTTATTAAGTTATTGGTTGAATGGGACTGCAAATACAATACGCGTGCAGATGCGATGACCTCGGCATCAATTCTAGAAATGTAAACATTGTTACTGCACGACCGGCGAAATGCGCTGAGGAATGTGCACACTAACTTACGTATTGGTTAAAGGGTATAAAGTGAAAAGAAATAAGTTTAACTGTACATACGCATTTCATTTTCATTCATAAGAACTAAAAACGAAACAAAAGGACAATTAGATAAACACTAAAGGAATGTTCAATTTGTTTGTTTACTCTCCCAATGTAAACGCGTGAAAAACCACTCAAACTTGTCCTCATTTGCTCTTTAAAAGAGTGGAACTCAGTCTTTTAGAGTGATCTTACATCATGGGCTGCCGTGAAACACCGGGGAAACTCAAACTTCAATCCAAATAGAGTGAAAAAGCACTAAAAAAAGAGTTGTTTCCCGTAATTATATGGCTCATACAAAGGGTTGTTTTCAATACATTTAGGGTACTTTTAACAGGGGGGAAAGGTTGTTTTTTTTATTTCGCCGTCTGCAAATTAAGACATTACTGTACTTTTATTGGGGTTTGTTTTTGTTGGCCACTGACGCACAAAACATCCGACTGGATCCAAAATTTGAAAAGCAAATGTTCCATAACTAAGGATTTGCAGATAATATCGTTCTCTGTTTCATGCGTTCACAGGTACTGTGTAAATTGTTGTAAAACTATTTTGCAGGTAACGCCCTAATATGACATAGGCAGTACATCCCAAATAAGAAGCGATTTGACTTAATTCCTTCAATTTATGGCATCCTAAGCATTTCAAGAGGTCAGGATTAATGCTTTACAAAAATGTGTATCTTGAAGGATTGTTGATAAAGGAAAATATCGAGGGAAAACCTACCAACAGTCTCCACTGTCTGTTGGACCGTCACCTGGTCTGTGTGGCGAAGGATCTCCAGCCCAGCGTAAATCTTGCCCGTCTCTGTGCCGTCGAGACTGCCCTGTGCCCGGTAGGCTGTCGGTGTGCCCACCCAGTTCATCTCCGTCGCGCCCGGTGACCGGCGGCTTGGCTGTTGGGTCACAGCCTGGCTCATCATTCTCAATTTGAGGTGGGAGAAATTGGAAAACCAAATATGCAAGAACAGCAACTTTTAGTGAAAACCGTGTTCGCAACTGCTATACACGATAGGTTCTGCGGTATATAGGCCGGATTCGCAGCAGTGGTTTAATAATAACTGGCATTCCACCAATCAGATACGAGCAATCGGGATCCACTGAAAAGAGGTCTAGGGTTGCTAAGGAAGGGGAGGGGGAGTTGGAAACGAGTCACGCTGCTTGTATAGAATTATTAGATTTCTTGATGATCAACATGAATGTTTGTAAAGGCCAAAAGTTAAGGTGTAGGTATAATAATTATGCAATGGCCTAACCAAGACTCCACACAAATCCTTTCCCAAAAATCATCTTCAAAATTAATAAATGAAGTTAATCAGGTAAGCGCCCTCTAGTGACGTCAAAATCAAGTATAAGTAGCGCCGCCAACGTTAGTGATGACAAAACGTCATACCTTTTAAATCATCTTATTGCAATTAACCCCACATGCCTTACACAAATAAAAGAAACAAAGGAATAATACATACATCAATGTTGAAATATAGCAAAGTATATGCAATCAACTCAAATTTTATTTTGAAATTAATAAAACGATATACAAAGAACTAAAATGATTTATGTACTTAATCGTGTGTTCTGCTTGTAATTCTTGTAATTCTCATTTTGGTATGAAAATAAATGAGAGTTTGAATTGAATTGAATTAAAATACAGTATCAATTCTTTTACAATACGACTGACGATCCATTTGTTCCGTTCTCGATTCGATTTAATCATGCAAATGGATTTGTTCCCCATTATATGTATAATAGAAGGTTCTAACGGAATATTTTGAAAGGCATCTGTACTATTCTCAAGGCGGTTCACCGTGTGGTTTGGTGCGTGGAAAAAACAGTCATTCCGTCGGTAAAATGGTTCTACAGGACACTTAAAGGCAGTGCTTATTGCAAATGTGCTGTTGTTACTATTCCCCTCGTAGGTAAACACATTTTTGTTTGACATAAATCCTTAGGCTTAAACACAAAGGAGGAATGGACAACTACATGCTTCAATGCACTCTAAAGAAAGATATCACGCGTCAGATTTGACCCACATCCGGGTCAAATTTCACCCGACAGCCCCGACACTCTTCTGGGTCAAACGACACTTCTCTGGGCCATTGACCCGGAAAAGAGTAATTTTGACACACACAAATGTCATTGTGACACACCCACAAATGTCATTTTGACACACACAAATGTCATTTTGACACACACTTATGTCATTTTGACACACACTTATGTCATTTTGACCCGGAAAGTGTCAGATTTTCACGAAAAACTGACATTTTGATCCAGAAATTTGTGAGATCAACTCTGACCCGGATTCCGGGTGGAATCTAACATGGGACATTTTAATACAGCTACAACGTGGACTTTCGGCAGTGGTGTTGAAACCCAGTATCAAGTCTCAGTGGCTTAATAATAGGCTAAAAATTGCTTAAAATAGTCTTATTTGCATATTACTGTATTTGCATAGAAAAATGCAACACTATAATCCTGTCACTGCACTCCTCCCACCCTCCATCTTAATGAATATTTCATGAGTAACCTGTGGCCCAACCAATCAGCATGCCTTTATATTCGCAGTTTTCAAATTTGATGTCGTGGAAATTCCAACAAAATTCAAGGAAAAGTTTGTTTTAAATTCTAGCCGAGTGCATCTTGGGCTGTTCATTTACCGAACATGATTTGGAAGTGTGCCTATCAAGATATGGCTTAAATCGTCATTGTTATCGTTGTCATTTTGAAAAGGTAGAAAGCCTCATAAAACATTTGGTAATGGCAACGATGAGTTGATCAGCCAATTGAAAAGAAAATCATGAAGAAACAATTGAGTAATCAACGTATACAATACAATTTAAAAATGTATTTTACCTATTATTGTTCGAAAAAAATAGCTAATAATGTAACAATGTTTTTAGAAACAAAACTGACACCTTAGACAAGCACCCACTTGGCTTCTTCGGTTTTTCACATTGCAAAAAAGGTAAACATAACCGTATGGTTTGAAGCTTAACGAAATCGATGCGTTGTTTACAACGCTAATAGAAATCACTTATAGGATGTGCTTCCATAAGAATATAAAAATATACCATAAAGTAATTTAATAGTATAACTAGTGTAAGGCAGTAAAAGGTTGGCACCTTATTATTATGTAGCACCTCCAATTCAGTATAAAGGTATTGCATCAGCAGGGTCACCTTCGTGTAAAGCATAAGGCACCTGTAGGAAGGAGGTGGTGCAGGTGACATCTATGGTTTAGCAGGCGCCTTGCCCTCAACCTTGTCCCCAGACGTACTACTGCCGGTATCGTCTTGATTACCGCCCTCAGCGGCGGCTTGCTCACGTTTCTTCTTTTTCTCAACCGCTGTGGAGCCAAAGGAAGAAGAAGAATGAAGTGGGACATTAACGAACAATTTATATAAAATAGTAGTATCATTAAACTTCAAACGAGTATAGATCGATCAGAGATCACCAATGCAATTAGAAATCGTTTTGTGTGTCATGATGCTTATCTCCGAAACAAACTGACACTTTTGGAACACTGGCAAAAGTGACAGCTCGTTCTATCAAGATTTTTGTAAGTATAGTGGATAAATATAAATCAAGGATGAAACACAGAAAAACAATACACTTAGTGGCATACAAATTCAAGACATCTACCAATCAATCAAGACCATACAGAAAGAATAATCTTCATTTAAAATATCGCATTTTAGTACGTATAGGAAAGCAGAATGGTAAAAACAATTCAGGACTTGCATAGCACAACCGAAAAAGGTGCAAGGCGCCCCCATTTGGCCAGTAGGTGTGAAGGCGGTACACATGACCTTTCCATTCATAATTATGCACAAGTAGGAGATCAATATTGGCTCGACAATGGGCGCCTACGTGTCGGATCAATACGTCAAGTTGAAAGGTCAACACACGTACATGTCTGTGCACAACAACATGGATGGATGGCGAGATTAGGTTAGGAATGAAAATAAACCAATTGCGGTGATTGGTGTCTAACTTAGTAGAAATGAGTGTCGTTTGAAAGGCAGATCTACTAGGACATATATTTTAGTCCATGTTGGATTCAAACATTCCACATTTGCCATATAATTTCATGTCGGACTCATACATTCTCTTAATATAAGCTATGGGTTTTGATTTGTCGAGAAAGTGTTGAGTGAAAGGCTCCGTTTTCCGTGTTGAACAAGTGGATAGACACAAAAATGAATATCTGACCATACAATATCCAAAACAACAATACCAAAGCAAATTTGTCGGCAATTATTACTCGACAGCTTGGCGGCACCTCTTGCTCACATGCATGTGAATATGTAGACCACAAAATCAGCACATGACTTCAGCAACATGTCAGAGTCAATAAAGGTATTTCTCAAGACGTAATAAACTAACAACTCTCTATCCACTGAGGCTGTGTCTCACAGTTTCTTGAATTATTGTCAAAGACCACCACAAATGGATGGATGCACGCAGAATCTAAAAGAAAGCAACTATGAAATACTATATTCAAACCAGAACCTCAACTTCAGAAATTTAAGGGACAAGGAGGCGGTATTGCCTCATGTGATTAACTCCAGAAAACCGCAGCGACAGACAACTGTTACGTGCCAGAACTTTACAACTCAGGAGCATCCTATGCGTGCAAAGTGGCAGCCATTTGCATGTATTGCAGGGGTAGATTGGAAACTTAGTCTTAGTAGCCCTATCAGAGAACGATATCGTCAGGCTTTTACTTTATAACCACCACTGCTGATTGTGCTGAAAACTGCCATGATTCATTCGTCCATACTGAAATCTCTACCTTTTTTATAGTCTTCCATGACCTGTGGGTTTTTGACCATCATGCCGTCGTCCTTCTCGCACGGTTCCCGTGCACGCGAAGCCGTCCCGGGTTTGCTATGGAGCGGCAGCGGGCCGCCAGCCACTACGTCCCCTGTGGCTTCCCGCCCAGCTTGCTGATCCGTGCCCGGTATTGGAGTGTAACTATCAGCCATTTAAAGAGCAATTAAAACACCAACAAGTGTATACGAAATAATGTATAAGGCAAAAGTACGAGTCCCTATGAGGTGTTATACAGGCATGTGGTGGAAACAGCTTGCAAAGAGAGTACACGGGAACAGTGATCTAGATACACCAGTACTATGTGTGTCACTTCCTGACCTGAGTTAGTGAAAACCACAGCACCCCCGCATTATCCTAACCAAAATCCAGTTACGGATAACTCTCCGATCCTTCTCTCCCCAAGAAGCACATATATCGTATCATGAAGCCATGGTCGACCATGTTTTTATGGATAGTAAAAGGCATAGTAAGTCATAGATTTCAGTTGATGACAGGCAGTGCATTTGAAGCTACAGTTTGCACATTCGTATTGTGGGGTCATTTATTTTGGGAAAGCACCACAGAAGTTCAGAACACAAAATCTCTCCAATTTTGATGCCGGAGCAAGAGAGTATAGCTTTGTGTTAGACGATATGCACAGAGTTATTTAAGGCACCTCGGTTGTAATCTTCTTTTACAGTGGACACACAATCCATGCGCATTTCTCTCTAAAGATGAACAATCATATTATAATGAAAGCAAATTTCATACCCTTGTGCCGCGGAGTAATACACGCTACAATAACAGAACTGTGGGCGGTATAAAAGCCCCTCTGTACGCTTCACTAACGTTGGAATAAGTTCATTCCATTGACATGTATGGGGTTTACAACAAAACTGATTAAGTTTTCGGTACTACTAAATTTTAAATCAATCTTCAGAATATTCCCTCTTGAGAATAGTTTACTAAATTCTACTTGGCACAGTCTCTGAACTGTAAAAAGGGAGCTCCTGGTTAGCATGTCATTCATTCCAGACAGGTAAGTTGTTCGGATTGGAATCGGGGATTAATTTTCTCCAACTGAACAAGCACACCCACAACCGAATGGACGGGCCCGAACCTGCAGGCGCATATAAACACTGTCGGTATTCGTGTTTCCACTCTCAACAAAGGGGGAAATCGTTAGTATCAACGAACGAGTGTATAATCAAATTTAATTTTTTTGTATAAAAATTAAAACAATGGCCGGTGGAGGTGCTGAGCCTATGGATCGCATCCTTGTGAACCCGCCCAAACCGATACCCTGGTTTCGGCTGGTCGAAAAGGCAGAGAGCGGTATGTAAGTTCAATCATTATTAAGCCAAACCCAGAAACCAAGTTGGAGTATTTTGGAAATCGTATCGCTGGCCAGAATGGGGCATATTTTGTCATCTTTGCTCGTCATCAGTTCAAAAGGGGGGTCCATCCCACATGCAACTGATGTTTTGCAATTGTTTCCAATGATATACAAGCAAAGTAAAATGCCGATCCTAGCTATCACGTTTTTCCCTCAATAATTTCAGATCCTCTCATCACATCGAGGCCAGAGAACATATTGCTAAAGCACGGCAAGACACGTACGTTTGATCTTGCGTATCAGGCTAACCACGAAGTGGTTATCGCTTTGAGCGCCAAGAAATTCGACGGAACCCCATTCAAAGGAAGCCCACTAAAAGCAAATCGTCCAAATGTTTCTTACTTCTCTTTCGACATAGTGCAAGCACAACCTAGTTTGCACAACGGAACATACACCGTGCAAATCTGGGACCCCCGTCTTCCACTTCGATCTGGTGCCAATCCGGCGGAGGCATCTTGGATCGTACAAGTACGCAATTATGTTATAGATTTTAAAAAAATAACATCTACCCCAGCGATGAAAGTAGAATTGATGCATAAATACTACTAAAGAAACAATGTAAGGTTGAAGAAGAATGAACATAAAACAAAAACAATATTTCGGGAAATTTCTTAAATACATACTAAGTAAATAAAGCAATCATTACAAATAGCGCCTATCCTCTATTATCTACACTGATCTTGGCCATCCTACCTGCCATATCCAAACCGAAGTGCCAAAAATCTGATGATATTCTTACACATGCAATTTGTTCTTTCCTACAGGTTCTCTGACTTGGGGGCGGTTCGTCTTTTTGTGAGGACTTCAGCAACCAGAGGCAGAGACCACTAATTTGCTTCTAAATTCAGAATGATTCAGATGATTTCAATAATTTAAATGAATACTTTCAGTTGTAAACTATGCGATAAGCTATAAAGTATAATTTGTTAGTAATATTTTTGTTTGATGTTATGGATTAAGGCTTCGTTTATTATTATTATTATTATTATTATTAATCATTTTTGGTAATGAAACCAAGGATTCCTCAAAAGCGCCCTAGGCACTGTAGCTCGCAAGCCCGAAGAAACCTGTGGAGAGAAGACAATGAGAAGAAGTTACAGTTTTAGAGGTGGGAGGAAAAGCCCAGAAAAATATTCTGGGGAAAACCCACGGAATCAGGCAGGAACTGAAAACCCAATCCACATATTGGCCCAGGCGGGATTCGAACCCGGGTCACAGCGGTGGAAGGCGAGGAAAGTACCGCTACGCCAACCTGACTCCCCCAAGGTTTAAGGTTTCTAACAACATTACACGGTAGAAATCCGCAACTATTCTGTATTTATGGCACGTATTCTTATGCACTCATAGATAAGAAAGTTTTAAAGAAGCATTTTAAGACATTTCATAACAGTTTAAAAAATTTTACAAAGTACTTATTACATGTATTTCCTTGCCGAACAGAGCAATGTCACAAGAAGCACTTACAATATAATATTTCGATTTTTGGACAATACTCTAATTGACGTCCTAGTTATTTTCTTAATTATCCTTATATTCAGTCACCAATTCATACATCTGTTTCTATAGGCCAATGCCCTGTCCGATTTGGAACTTATGAAATAAAACAGTGACATGCAAATCTTGGATCTTGGTGTCATGAGTACGTGACCTGGCTGTCATTTTTTGTATTTACATATTTACACTCATCGTACTTTAAATAGATATAAATGTTCAAGTTGATCAGATGCACTTATTGGGAGATTGGGAATAATACCCTTCAAAGTTGTTTTGCAAATACTGTACATGTTACTGAAGAAGTTTGACCTAAAATAGTACCATGTTGTTGCAGATCTATTAGTGACAGCCCGCCATGTATTGAGTTAAGCCAGAAAATGCATCTTTTCATGTTCAAAGTTCAGTCGTCAGTATTATGTGTGCGGCACTCCAATAAAAATACTACTATAACACCGTCTTTGAATATCCTGATGTATACTCGAACTCCTGAATTTGTTCTGTACCATGACACTGAACGACTCTGAACTCTCGAACTGCTTGTGAGAGAAATCAATGCAATTAATCCACTGATCCACCAATATGCTAATGGTTTCCTAATGACATTAGACTGGTTGCAGTTCACGTGAATGTTTACTTGAAAAGTCTGGCCACGGTCCCTTTTATTAAAAGTCATGTACCACTAAAGACAAACACACAGAAGCAGAGGTAGCGCGAGTATGAGCAGTAGCTTGTTGCCATCTTCGAAACCTTAGAAAAATGGGGAAATTGCCCGCCTGCTCAATTCTTTTTTTGTTTTGTTTTGATTGGCCTAACACGATGTCGCTTATTCAACATGTGGGAGAAAACGCAGAAAGAGCGACACAACCTAAAAACGTACAGAGCGCCCCATTCAACCAGTTGGTGCGGGGCGGTAAACATGACCTTTCCATTCATAATTATGCAAAGTAGAACAACAATAGGCTCGACGATGGGCGCCTACGTGCCGGATCAATAGGTCAAGTTGAAAGGTCAACACACGTTACATGTCTTTGCACAACAACATGGATGGATGGCGTGGTTCGGTTGGGCATAAAATAAACCAGTTGTGATGATTGGTGTCTAAAGTAGTAGAAATGAGTGTCGTTTGAGGGGCAGATCTACAGTAGACATGTATTTAGTACATGTTGGATCCACATATTCCACATTAAATTGTATGCAATTTAATACATGTATTTGACTTATATGCTCCTATATACTAAGTAAATAGGCTGCATGTTTTGATTTGTACAAAAGTGTTGAGTGAAAGGCTCCGATTCCCGTGTTGAACCAGTGGATAGACATAAAAATAGACAACAGTGGATAGACAACAATATCTCAGTAACACACACATGTTGTATCTTCAAGTTCTGTCCAAAACAACAATACCAAAGCAATATGTCGGTTCATTACTTGACAGCCAACTGGCACTTCTTGCTCACATGCATGTGCATAATGATGTAGACCACAGAACCAGCAACATGTCAGAGTCGATAAAGTTAAATCTCAATACGTAATAAAATACAAACTATATAACGACTCTATCCACTGATCCTGTGTTTGATCGTGCAGTTTCTTGAATGACTATAGTATCAACTATCAAGGACAAACACAATTGATGCACGATGTAAAAGAAAGCAACTATGAAATCGACTTGTGAAATTTCAGAGTCCAGGGGGTGTAAGTGCCACCATCAGTGATCAAGTCCAGAAAACCACAAGGGCGGACAACTGTTAAAGAAAGTTCTAAGCGCTAGAGCTACATGTGTATACTGGAGTCATTTGCATGTACTGTACTATAGGCTGTTAAAAACTTGAAGTCTGCGTAGCCCTATCACTATCAGTGAACGATAATCGTCAGGCTTTCACTTTTAACCACCACTGCTGAAAACGTCTATCACACAGAACACTCTACCTTTTTTAAAATCTTCCATGACCTGCGGGTTCTTGACCATCATGCCATCGTCTTTCTCGCACGGTTCCCGTGCACGCGAAGCCGTCCCGGGTTTGCTACGGAGCGGCAGCGGGCCGCCAGCCGCGTCCCCCGTGGCTCCCCGCCCAGCTTGCTGACCCGTGCCTGGTGTAGGGGTATCACTATCAGCCATGTTGTATTCGCCTTAAAACTAAGTACGGTTAAAACGCCTGCACTGGTGTACGTAAAAGAATGTAGCAGGCACAACTACACGTCCAAATGGGGCTTAATACAGGCCTGTTGTCAAAATATAAATGTAGTCTGATAGAAAGTACATGCATGGGAACAGTGAGCAAGTCACACCAGTACTATGTGTGTCACTTCCTGGCCTAGAGTTAGTGAAAACCAAAATGCTAACTAAAACACCCCCGCAATATTACTGATAACCAAAGTCCTGTTAAAAACTCTCAGATTCCCCTCTCAAAGAATTAAATACATGTATAGGCCTACAGTCATGTCCTATGTAAGAGAGTATTTAATACATCACAACATGGATAAACGGCAGATTAATTATGTCATAGATTTTCCCCAGTTCAGTTGATGACAGGCAGTGCATTTACAGCCACAGTTGGCATATTCGTGCTGTAAGGTCTATATAAGGATCAGAAAAGATCAGGACATATCGGGTCTCTCCCACTGATGTCGGAAGAGGAAAATAGCTCTGTCAGAGATGATATGCGAAGATGTATTTAAGGCAGCTCGGTTCTTACACTTCTTAATCAAAGTGTTATTTGCACACACAGTGTTATGCGCAGTACTTTCTCATAGTGGAGCAAATTCATACACTGGGGTATTCCCAATTACGTAAAATTGTGCCGCGGAGTAATATGCGCTAACACACAACTGTGGGCAATAAAAGCCTCTCGGTATGTTTCACTTATGTGGGGATAGAGGAAGTTGATTCCATTTGTATATATGGGGTTCAAGATAAAACTCAATTGATTTAAATGTTCGGTTCTACTACATTCTACTTGGCATAAGCTCGAAATTGTAAAAAGAATGACAAAAGTAGAATACATATTTCATTAATTCCAGACTTGTGTGCGATTACTTAGAAATGATTGGGATTGGGGTTAATAATCGGTTAATTGGCGCACCCACAACCGAATGGACGGGCCCAATCCCTAGAATCTGCAAGCGCATATAAACCTTGTCGACAATCGTGATTCCACTCTTGTCGGAGGGGAATTCGTAAGCTAAACGAAAAAGTTATTTTTGTTTCTCAAAATAATTTTTTAAAAATGGGAGGTGCAAGTTCTGAGCCCATGGAAACAATTGTAATTAAAGAACCAGTGCGGATGCCTGATCATAGGCTGGTCGAAAAGGCGGAGAGAGGTATGTAAGTTCAATAATCACACACAAAACCGAAACAAAGTTAGGAGTTTCGGACCGTCGCTGGCCAGAATACAGAGGGAATGGTATTTTGTCATATTAGCAAGTTCATCGATTCAAAAAGGGTCAATATTCCCACATGCAACCGACATAATGTAAATTTGCTTCCAAAGGTACAAAGCAAAAGTGAAACTCTTAGCTATCATTTTTTCCCTCCATTTTTTCAGATCCTCTCATCAGAGAGCGGCCAGAAGACGCAATTCTAGACTCCGGCGTGAAGCATACGTTTCATGTTGCGTATCAGGCTGACAACCCAGTAAATATCACTTTGAGAGCAAGAAAATTTGACGAAACTCAATTCAAAGGAAGCCCACGGAGCATAAATGGGCGTCAGAGAAATGCCTACTTTGCAATCGACATCACACAAGCAGGCAGCCATCACAGTGGAAGATACACCGTGGAAATCTTCGACCCCTCACTTCCAGAACGACATGGTGCCAATCCAGTCGTGGTAACCTGGAGCGTACGTGTAAGTAGTTAAGTTATCGATAGAAAAATAAAACAATGAAAGATGAGATTTGTGAACAATACAGCAGGCTAAAGAAACGAAAAGGATCGAAAAAGAAAGAACAAGCAAAGAAGACACATCTGGGCATTTTGTCTATCATACACAAAACATCATGACTCCACTCTCAAATTCTACATGACCTTAACCACCCCTGTCAAATCAAAATTTACTATAAAAAAAATGACATTTTCTTTTAAATATACTTTGTCCCTTTGTCTTTGTACAGGTTGAAGACTCTGGGTGCGTCATTATCTGAGCCATAGAAAGAGGTTTCTCAAACTTGGAGTCCCAATCTTCATGTCTATCAATCGAAACAGATGTTGAAAATCACTACGTCACTGCAATTTTAGAGCACAGGATAAGACTGTAGACTTATTTTGTTTGCAATGCTACTTCGGAACCAAGAGTTAAGTTCTGCCAAAATAAATTGTAAAATCTGATTTTTAACCACACGCTTAAAAGAGTCGTCTTAGGTATTTTTGGGACTAAATATCCCACACGACAACAGTTTCATCTTATAAGGGAATTCAGTGGCTTTTCTTACACATGCAGTTAAAGCATATTAGAAAGCACTTATACCCATTCCAAACACAAATATGTAACTAGAAGTATGGTTATTTTTAATATACTATTTTGATATTGGACACGAATTTAATTGACGGCATTCGATGTACAACCATTTTTTTAAATTATCCTAATACTCAGTGAACAATTACTAAGCCAATCAGGTATCTGGTTGGGAACTTATGAAATATAACAGTGACATGCAAATCTTTGTGTTATGAGTGAGTGACGTGGCTGTCTTTCTTGCTTTTCCCATAGTTACACTAATTGCACCTTTCTTTGATATACATGTAAATGTCCAAATTGGTCAGATGCACTGCCTTGGGAAGTTGGGGATTGAACCCTTCAATATTGTACCCCAGTCGTTTGTATTTGCAAAATAAATTTGTATTGCAAATATATGTTACTGAACAAATTTAGCCCTAAATATTAAGAGTTTATCGACTTCACTAGTAAAAGAACTCTTCAAGGCAAGCCCGCCTAGTATTAAGTAAAAGCCCCCAAAATGGCTCTTTTAATTTAGAGATCAGTCGTCAGTAGTGTATGTGCGTCATTCCATTAAAAGTCTTCGACTACATTCATTCTACATTCGAACGCCTGGACTTATTGTGTAGTTTACCCCTGTAATGAGCGAATTTAAAATCTAACTTACAGCAATGGCACACTGAACAAGCACCTTACAGTTTTCGTATTACAGAACTTATGCTATACGCATGCTACACGCATGCTACACGCACGCAAGGCACGCAAGGCAAAACACAAACTATACATAATTGTGCATGGCAAAACCAAAAAAGTAAAGGGCGCCCCGTTTGACAAGTTTGCACGGGGGCAGTAAACATGACCTTTCTATTCATATGCACAAGTAGGAAAACAAATGGGAGTCTACGTGCCAGATCAATGGGTCAAGTTGAAAGGTCAACACACGTTACATGTCTGCACAACAACATGAATGGATGGCGAGATTAGGTTGGGAATAAAAAATAAATCAGTTGTGATGGTTGGTGCCTAACGTAGTAAAAACGAGTATCGTTTGAGTGGTAGATGATTGAATTTAATGTCCAACTCATTAATTGCAAATACACCCAACCGTTCACATTACAAGCTACAGGTTTTGAGTTGTCGGAAAAAGTGTTACGTGAAAGGCTCCGAAGTCCGTGTTGAACGAGTGGATAGACACAAAAAAAGAATATCTGACCATTAACTGACAACAATATCCCAGAAAAAGACACTTTTGTGTACCTTGCAATCCAAAACAACAATACCAAAGCACATATATGTCTGTTCATCATTACTTGAAGGAAGCTTGCCGGCATTTCTTGCTCACAAGTGCGTATGTAGACCACAAAATCAGCACAGGCCTTCAGCAACATGTCAGGAGTCAACGAAGGTATTTTTTCCAAGACGAAAGCTTATAAAATCACAACTGTATCCACTGATCCTTTGTTTGATCTAATAACTTATATACATGTATAATCTCGTATCAAGGGCAAACACAAATGGATGCACGCAGTAATTACGTGGATACAAGTATGAAAGACAGTTTTCGAATTATAACCCTGCACGAGCGTGCATATTTTTTTAAGAGATCAAGACCAGAAAACCGCAACGGCAACCGGGAACGTTGGCCCTAAAAGTTTACATTTCATGAATATGCTGTGAGTATTAGAATGTCTGATTTCAGACTAAAGTCTGAAAAATCCTCGTACCTGGAGTATTCAACGACCACTTGGACTTACTGAGACATTTCCAAGTCTAAGAGACCCATCAGAGAATATCGTCAGCCTTTCAAAATCAACCACAACTGCAAATTCACCCGTACAGAAAACACTCTACCTTTTCTATAATCTTCCATGACCTGTGGGTTTTTGGCCATCATGCCATCGTCTTTCTCGCATGGTTCCCGTGCATGCGAGGCCGTCCCGGGTTTGCTATGGAGCGGCAGCGGGCCGCCAGCCGCTACGTCCCCCGTGGCTCCCCGCGCAGATTGCTGACCCGTGCCTGGTGTCGGGGTGTCACTATCAGCCATTTTATATTCGCCTTATTAGTGCGGTTTAAACGCATGCACGGGTATACGTAATTACTAATGTGGCAGGCTATACGTAATTACTAATGTGGCAGGCACAACAACAAGTCCAAAAGTGGGGCTTAATACAGGCCTGTTGTCGAAATACAAATGTAGTATGATAGAAAGCACGTGCATGAAAACCACAATGCTAACTAAAACACCCCCGCATTATTACTGTTAACCAAAATCCTGTTAAAAACTCTCAGATCCCTCTCTCAAAGAATTACATGTTTGTCCTATGTACGAAAGTATCACAACATGGAAAAACGGCAGATTAATTATATCATAGATTTCAGTTCTCTTAATTCATAAGATGGATTTTTTTTATTTCAAACAGTGCATTTAAAGTTCTCTTGATGACAAACAGTGCATTTAAAACAACAGTTGACACATTCGTGCTATGAGGTCTACATTTATTTTTGAAAAGTATCACACACGATCAGGACTTATCGAGTCTCCTCCATAATGTCGGAAGAGAGTAGCTGTATCAGAGACGATATGCAAATACATGTAGTTATTTGAGGCACCTCGGTTCTTAAACTATGATCAAAGTGTTATTTGAACACATATTGTGCGTAGAACTTTCTATAGTGGAGTACTTTTTTGTAATAACAAAAACAATTCGTACCCTTGATTACTCCCCATAACCGTTGTGCCGCGCAGTAATATGCGTTAATTTCACTCAGTACATGTCACTTATGTGGGGATACCATTTGTATATAAGGGGTTTAAGATAAAACACATTTGATTTAAATGTTCGGTGCTACGGCACAAGCTCGAATTTGAATAACAAAATTAGAGCGACCTTTCTTTTTTATTTAATTAATTCCAGACTTGTGTGCTGTTAGCAATGATTGGGATCAGGGGTTATTTTTCTCCGACAGAACAATCGGCGCACCCACAACCGAATGGGCGGGCCCAATCCCCGGCAAGCGCATATAAATAAACATTGCCGACAGTCGTGATTCCACTTTTGTCAGAGGGGAATCCGTGAGCATCAACGAAAAAGTACTTTTTGTTTCTTAAACAAATTTGATAAAATGGGAGGTACAAGTTCTGAGCCCATGGACTCAATTGTAGTAAAAGAACCAGTGCGGATACCTGATAGCAAGCTGATCGAAAAGGTGGAGAAAGGTATGTATAAGTTCAATAATCACACGCCAAACCGGATCGAAGTAAGGAGTTTCGTACCGTCACTGGCCAGAATACAGAGGGAATGGCATTTTGTCATATTCGCAAGTTCATCGGTTCAAAAAGGGTCAATTCCCACATGCAACCGACATAATTTCAATTTGCTTCCAAAGGTACAAAGCAAAAGTGAAACTCTTCGCTATCATCTTTTCTCTCAATAATTTCAGATCCTCTAATCACAGAGAAGCCAGAGGACGTACGTTTAATCTCCGGCGAGTCACACACGTTTCGTGTTGCGTATCAGGCTGACCACCAGGTGAATATCACTTTGAGAGCAAGGAAATTTGACGGAACTCCAATCAAAGGAGGACCACGGAGCACAAATGGGTGTCAGAGAAATGCCTACTTTTCTTTTGACATCACACAAGCTAAAAGCCACCACAGCGGAAGATACACCGTGGAAATCTTCGACCCCTCACTTCCAAAACGACATGGTGCCAATCCAGCGGTGGTATCCTGTAGCGTACGTGTAAGTAATTTAGGTAATCAATAGAATTCAGACAATGACAGATGATTTTTTTTAACATTGAATCGGGCTTAAGACAAGAAAAGATTAGAAAAAGAAAGAACACGCAAAGAAGATTTATCTGGACATTTTCTTTGTCATGGTCATACACAAAACAATTACTCAAATCCGAGATTCCACCTGACTTGAAACACCTCTGTCATGTTTATGTTAACTGCATTGTACAAGCAATTTTAAAAAATATGTACTTTGTCCCCTCTGTTCAGGTTGAAGACTCTTCTTGGTGTGCTTTTTCCTGAGAATGCAGAAAGAGGTTTCCCAAACTTGGAGCCCAAGACTTCATGTCTACCGACCTAGGTGTTGAACATATCTACGTCACTGCAGTTTTATAGTATAGGACAAGCCTGTAGACTTGTTTTTGTTTGCAAAGAAAAAACTCCGATTTAAATCACTTTTAAAACAGTATTTTCCCGCAATTTTGGAAAGAAATATTCCATGTATGTGTTACAACAGGGGTACGATTTAACAAGGAGCTTCGTGGCCTTAGATCTAGGTCTTGTTAAAAAGTTTTACAAAGCAGTTATACGCATGCCGAACAGAAACGTCACTAGAAGTGTCGATTTTTAAATATACTATATTGACATTTGGACAACACTTTAATTGCCAGATTCGTGTGCAAATCCTTCTAATGGCTCTCTACTAGTTATTCTTATATTCAGTTAACAAGTCTGTTCCTAGGCAAATGAGGTATCTGGTTGTAAAGTTATGAAATAAAACAGTGAAACGCAAGTCTTGGTGTCACGAGTGAGTGTCTTAGTTGGCTCGTATCTTTGTTTTCCGTATTTACACTAATCGTACTCTCTTTGATGTAAATGTTGAAATTGGATAGATGCACTGCTTGGGAGTTTGGGAATTGAACCCTTTTAATAATCTAATCCCAATCGTCTTTTTTGCACAATTAATGTGTATTTCAAATACAAAAATAGTGAGGTACCTCAAGCCCGCCATGTATTAAGTCAAAGCCAGAAAATGGCTCACTTTTAGGGGATAGTCTGTTTGTCAGTGCTCTATGTGTATTATTCCACTGAAAGCGTCAGTGTATAACCTCCATTATCTATGGTCGCTTCATCCTAATATCCTCGAACGTCTGGATCATTGCACTAAGCGACTTTGAATTCTCATAATGCTTGTAAAAAACACACACGGTAACGGTCCCAATGGACAAACACCTTGCAAATCATACGTGAACCACCACTGCAGGAACACACGCACGCAGGCCAACACGCTATGGCAATACACAAACTACTATAGCCAACAAAAATTCAGCATATAGCCTAGGCCTATACGTGTAAAAATCTATAACTGCGAACACTGAGCCATACTCATTGCCTAGTTGCAGTATCTGATCATGTGCGCGTATGTACATGTACATGGACGTGTAAACACACGTGGCTTTTGGGGAAATCTGACGATGGATAAAAATAGTGCGTGACATACAAAAAACGATGTTGCTTCTTTTCCATGCCTGGGCAAGAAAAAACGACAACTTCTACAAGTTCAACAAATTCGCATTGCAAATATCACGAAACATTTTTTTAATAACAAAACACATTAATACCTAATCTCGAAAAGAATAAGGGTATTCCCCGTGTTTTGGAATAACATCAGACAGCTATGACGTATTAGTAGGCTGGCCCGTCACATGCAAATTAACTGGAATTTTCTAATGAAATGAGACTGGTTGCGGATCAAATATTGTTGCAGTTCATGTACGCGTTCACTTGAAAAGTCTGGCCACGGTCCCTTCTATTAATAGTCCTGTATCAGCGCAATCATAAACAGTGAAGCAGAGGCAGTGCAGTAGTAAGCAGTGGCTTGTTGACGGCGATTTCAAACGAATCGCAGTAATAATAAAGACGTTCATTGCACGTTTCGTGGTATCAAAGAAGACAAGAATCCAACACCACCAGCATGTCAGTGGTGCAAGATACCGAAGAAGGATGGAAAATAGAATTTCCCCGGGAACGAATCGGTCCGTACGTCTATCGGGACCAGGCCGAACATGGTAAGGCTCGTTCCAAATAATTTAGAGTGAACATAATGTTGATGCAGGTTTTCAGATATCCGGGAATAAAATGACAGACATTTAACTTGAATCTTGTCAACACTGACAACTAAAGTTGTCCAGTTGACTAGAAAATTGATCTTAACATTTAATATTCTTCGCATATTCACTGCTTAGACATTGTGAGTCACATACAGTACTGGATAGTACACGTGTGCTAAATACTACTCACAAATATACTCTCAAATTTTCAAAAAAAATGTGTAAGTACAATGTATCGACAATATCTGAAGTAAAGTCACCCGCTAACGAAACACCTTCCCAAAGCTGAAGCAGGGTTCATTGCAGGTTCCTCAGAAATCCGGTCACAAGTCGATCTCAATCAATCTATAAGGTTATTCCAAGTATCAGGGTCTTGCGACTTGACTTGTGATTAACCAGTGATGGACCTGTGAGGACGTGTGAGGAGCAACCTACAACAACGTCTCTTTCTCTCTCGTAGGACCAACGGTCGAAATTCTAACAAACCGTAGGAAAACAACCTACCTGCCGGTGAAGCTCGAGGTCAACTATCAGGCCAACAACCCTGTCACCATCACCTGGCACGCTGGTCGTAGGATTCTGAATGAAATGACAAATGGAATCCGGAATTCAACAACCTCTCTCACGCTGAGTGAGCCATGGTTGAGGCAGCATCCCAACAGCACCTACAAAGTCACTGTGCTGGATCAGGTCATGACAGAAAGGCCTGGCACCAATCCTGTATTCAGTTCATGCACAGTCACCGTCGACTCAAACCACTAGAGGAAAAGAGCTTAGCATGCAGGTGAGCATTTTCTCCTTTCTGAATTCTTCGCGGTCGGGCTTAAGTTTCTATTCGCACTAAATACCGAGAGACATTTGCACTATACAGATATTTTGTAAAATAACGTAGGTCAAGAAGACTATTGGTTTACTCATGCAGGCAACTGAATCTTACAAACTAAACGTGAACCAAGTTAACCCCCAGGACTCAGCCACCGAGAGACTAATGCATTAGACTGTCATAACGCTACACAATCTCCCAAAAGAATTAATGACAACCTTTCAATGATCAATGGGAAATGAACTCGTTTCTCTGCATGCGTTCCACGGGAAAGTATTCCAAACGACACTACCGAAATTTCCAAACACTGTAGGTTCGAGATGAAGGAAAGCGTAAACCCTCAACATCAATTTTGAGATTCGTCGCTTCTGATCATGTTTAATTCTTTCTGTTTCTCTAAATATGCAGAGGAAGACTGGACATGTCAATAAATGTCATCACCGAGATCCTCGAGAGCCTACCAAACGGATGATCGCTTATGAAGCTCCACACGGTGTCCCATGAAACAATGGCCCTTGACGTGGTTATCCACGACAGACTATTACTGGCAACTGCACTTCGTTCTGTATCCAGTTAATGTCCAACAAGGATAATTTGGTATACTTTGGTAGATTGAAGAGCTAATTAGAATTATAAAATGGTTTCATGTAGGAGTGATTAGTTTATAAGCAATAACTCATATATATGCTTTGATTTTGATTTGCATGAACCTTATATTTTCATAACGTATCATAATGATTTTATGTTTTCTCCAAAAATCTCTAAACATAACAAATTCAATATATAGATTTCTAGCTTTGGTCGAAATTTTATGAGTGAAATTAGATCATGCTGTATGATTTTTCCAATTGTTTTTGGTCATGCATAATCAATAAATATATTAAAACACATGGACAGATTTCAATTGGTACCTTACGGCACAAGAAATTCATAGTAAAAAATTGTCAGATCCTTACAATCGCGTTGGGGTTTGGGAGTGTAAACCTTTAAAGTCAAGCTTATAAGTTAATGTAAGCAAAAAAGGAACCCAAAAAAGGAACAGATGTAAAAACACGAATTGCATGTAGCAAGTCCCCAACGACCATGTGATGAAGTCAACCCCTCACTTACTTTGCCCCTGCACTGAGCGACTTTGAACTCTCAAACTGCTTGTGAAGAAATAACTATGGCTCCATTGAACAAACACTGCCCTGAAAAGCCACACATACGTAAGGCACGCTATTGCAAAACATAAACTAGGCCCTATATATCGCACAAACATCCAACATTAAAACTAGAATTTACATGTGTAATATTACTGCGACTACTGATCCACATTCAGTGCCTGGTTGCAGTACCTGATCATATGCGTGTGTGCACGTGGATGTGTACACAAACCACGGGATTGGGGGAAATGTGACACAGCGATGGGTACAAAAAATAGTGCGTGATAGAAAAAAACCGATTGTGTTTCTTCCTTGTCTAGATAAACAAAAAATAGAACAGATTGTCAACAAATGGGTTTAACGAATATTGCGAAACATTTTTAAGTGAGAAAACAATAAAACACATGTTTATCCACTCTTGAAAAGAATTAGGGTATTCCCCGTGTTTTAGAATAACATCTGACAATTATGACGTACCAGTAGGCTGGTCCGTCGATATGCAAATAAGTTGGATTTCCCAATGAGATGAGACTGGTTGCGGTTAAAATATTATTGAAGTTCACGTACATGTTCACTTGAAAAGATCTGGCCACGGTCCCTTCTATTTAAAGTCGTTTATCATAAAAAGCAGAAACAGAGAAGCAGAGGCAGTGTAGTAGTAAGCAGTGGCTGGTTGACGGCGATTTCAAACGAATCGCAGTAATAATAAAGACGTTCATTACACGTTTCGTGGTATCAAAGAAGACAAGAATCCAACACCACCAGCATGTCAGTGGTGCAAGATACCGCAGAAGGATGGCGAGTGGAATTTCCTGAAAAACGAACCAGTCCGTACTTCGCTAAGGACGTAGTCGAAAATGGTAAGGCTCGCCAAATGCTTTAGAGTGCATGATGCAGACTAATTTTGAAGCGTTCCGGAATCAAATGATAGACATTTAAATTGAATCTTGTCAACTGAAAAACAGGAGTTGTCCAGTCGACAACAAAATGAATTTTTCTTTGACACAAAAATGAGAAGGGCTCGCATCATTGCTTAGTTTTGCTTTGTGTTCCAGCTGACAAATACAGCACTGGATAGTTCACGTGTGCTAAACACTACTTCCCAATTTTTGACAATGTCTGCAGTACGGTAGTGTCATCCAGGGCTGAACCACCCTACTAATGCTGTAGTCGGGTTCATCGCTGGCTCATCAACAAATCCGGTCACAAGTCGATCATTGCTCAATTGACAAGTTCAGTCCAAGTATCAGGGTCTTGCAAGTTGACTTGTGAGTGGATAACCTGTGATGGACTTGTGAGGACTCATCAAGATTTGTGAGGAGTCTACTAAAATAATGCCTTTTTCTCCCATAGGGCCCTGGGTCGACGATCTTCAAGACCGCGAGAAAACCACCTACAAGCCCGTGGTCCTCTCGGTCGACTATGAGGCCAACAACCCAGTCACCATCACGTGGCGCTGTGACGGTGAGGTTCTGGCGAGGATGAAAAACGGAGTCCGGCAGTCAAGCACCTCTCTCAGGCTGAGTAAGCGATGGTTAATGCAGCATCCCAACAGCACCTACAAAGTCACCGTGAAGGACCAGGAGATGGGAAGGATTTATAGCGTCAATCCCATGAGCAGCTCCTGCACAGTCAGCATCGATCTAGATTAATAGTGAAGACAGGCTAATCTGACAGGTAAGCGTTATCTCCTTTCTGAATGCTTTGCTAGTTTTAAGTCTGCTCTATTCGTACAAAATATCAAGAAGCATCTACACTATACTCCGTTTCACAATACCTTAAGTCAAGGGGACTAATAGCTTTCCTAGGCAACAGAATCATATAAATCAAACGTACATCAATCATCCACAAAACTCAAGCATAAGGGCACCATTACAAGAGGAAATCATTAAGCTCCACAATATCGTCAAAGAACTTAAAACCTTTTATTTTTCAACAATAATGGGCTGCTTTCTAGGCATTTACATGACAACATCCCAAACAACAGAACCCAAATGGGCTCCCAATTTTCAAATATTGTACAGAGGGTTGCGCTCAAACAAAGTGGAAACTCTAAATACCATTTTTTGAAATTCGTCGATTCTCATGTTTACTTCTTTCTGTTTCTCTAAATATGCAGATGAAGACTGCACGTCAATATATGTCATCACCAAGATCCTCGAGAGACTACCCAATAGGGGATCGCTTATGAAGCTCTGCACGGGTGTCTCCTGATACAATTGCACTTGACGTGTTTTATCCACGACGGACATACTACTGACCACTCCATTTCGTTTTGTATCTATTTAACGTCAAATAAAAATAATTTGGTATACTTTGGTAGATTGAAGAGCTAATTAGAGTTATATTATGGTTTCAAGCAAAAAGATCTCTATAAGTGCAATTACTTTCACATATAAGCTTTAATTTTGACTTGGTTGTACCTTAGATTAATCTTTTCCAAGATGTATCATAATGATTTTATGTTTTTGCCAGATCTCTTTAAACATCACAAATTGAATTTAGAGTTCTGAGGTATGCTTGGTCAGGAATAAACATTGTGTGCGGTAGATATGTGTGCTAGAGATATTTACATTATCATAGGCGTGTTTGGCATATTTGAATTGTTAATGAATTGAATTGACTTGGAGTTAGGCTTACAGTGAATATAATCGCACTTAATGGTTTTCCCACTTTTGTTTTATCATGCATAATCAATGGTTGTCTTGACTCTTTTTTCAATACAAGTATTTTTGGGATCTGGCAAAACAAATAATGATGGACTTTCATTCCAATCGGCTTGTGTGGCATTCAACTGTGATTATGTACCCACTATTTAGCTGTGTTCTCTTCGCTTATTATTAAGCAAAATCGCAAAACTGAATTTTAGAATAAGACGTAGTTTGCTTTACCGCTTTAATGACATTTACAATTTTCACTCACGTATTAAAATTAATGAGTTATTGGTGTAGTCAGAATTGATTTCATCTTAAATAAATTAAATTTTATATCGGACTCGTATTCCATATTTCTCATTATTTGTGACTTCGATTGCTAAAATAAGTTCTATCCTCACTTCCATCAACCCCCAGCCCCAATAAAAAGATAGAGGATGATAAATAATGTAAATGATTATATGGGCCGCAAACCTTTCGATAAGCTCCGACTAAGGAGACATAATGTCTGGCAGCCGCAGAAATGAATGGCCCACTCTATGCCCTGCAAATGCTGGGTAAACTTCGGTCTCTTTACAAGTTTTGCCAACACGTGGTATATCCTACAAGTTATGCATGATAATGCAGGCCAGTCAAGGGTTAGGTCAAACGCTATTGAACCACACCACAAGCACGCCGTGATGTGTTCATGCACACTTAACACCAACCCAAGCTGGAAAAAAACGTTTAGCCAACAAAATGAGACAGCCATGTGGATAATACTCAATACGAAGATCCTCAGTGAAATTAACCCTGCTAAAGGGTAATCTCGGCCGAGTGAGGGCTGAACTTAGACACAGAAGCTACAATACCTGCGATTGTCTCGCCATGGCGCTCAAACACGAAGCCTGTGATGTCGCACACGTGAACGCTGCACCGTGTCTGACTTCCAAATCTAAAGTGGCACAGCCCATGGGATCAGGTATAACTTTACTGCCTAGAAATTAACTCCACTATACCTCTTTCAATCAACTCTGAATTTCTTAATCTAATTTGGTTGTTTTAAGACCTGTAGAGAGGGTTCAATTGAGATATATTTTGGATTGACTGGGAGGGAGGGGCTCCAACACTAAACGGTGGGGAAATGACTAAAACCCACAGCAGGCCAAAGTAAACTGTCCCAAATCACGTTAAAGAGTTAAAGTTGGTCTCAGACATCCAAGGCGATTGGTGAACACCACACCATTCATATTTTCACTGAGTCAGCTGCAGGATAAAACATTCAGTGAAAATAACTTAAAAACCATGTTTGAAACACCACTGCACGTCTTTCGATGTTATTGGCGGAAAATAAAAACATGCAAAAAGCACCATTTTTGTCATGTGTTCCTAAACCCTTCCTACCGTCAGATTTATAAATAAACATGAAAAACTGACTAGTGTGATTGCATTCTTCCTACTACAAAAGTTTCACTTGGAAACTGTCCATAAACCTACATTCATGGTTTCCTGAAAATTTTCACCACAAACTCCTTTTTCCCCAAGGACCGACGTTGGATCTTTTACATGACCAATCCGTCCCCCGTGGAACCACCGTAACCCTCGGCGTCAGCTTCCGCGCAACCTCGCCAGTCACCATCATCTGGCGCGTGGACCTAACCGAGGTGTGGCGCCGGGACGCCCGGGTTCCGCACGGCCAGACGCGGTTCACCATCCGCCGCTTCGACTACCAGCACCACCGGAGGCGCTTCAGCGTGGAGATCGTGGACCGGCTGGGCAGGCGCGTGTGGACTGCGGGAACGCTCAAGATACGGCACTAATGTGGCTATACAGACTTGTCAGATAAAAAAATTCCCAAGATGAAGAAGCATGGGGTCCTGAATAGTTTCAAAATGTTTAATTTCAAACGATTTCAAATCGTAGCAACTTACAAACGTTTGGCCATAAGGATGGACATCATTAGGACAAAACTTGGCATGCTTTCCTAGGAAAAGTAACAAATAATGTAGAACTCACTTCTTAAATATCTACACTTTGACATCGTGATTGTGGACATCGTGATTGTGGACATCGTGATTGTGGACATCGTGATTGTGGACATCGTCATTGTGGACATGTTTTAGGGGTTTCTTAGCTATATTCAGCTATATTGTATGTCTGTAATAGTGTCACAAGTATTCGAAGTTGTAGACATTTTTAAGGAGTTAAGTCTCGAAAATAAACAACAAAAGTCACTGTTTCATACGTACATTGAATACATATCGATGAGACCACCATTTAAAACGGCATCCAGGAATTTTCTTTGACAACCCGATAAGGATGGAAAGTTAGAACTGACAAATGCCAACAACTAAAATGTCAAAACCGCGCTTTTAACTTAGTGATTTTCCAGATTAATGTACGCCTTATAAATAAAAAATTTGCAGGTTCATTCAACAACGATATGGCGGGAAAATTATATGACGTCACAATACGGAAAGTCGGTCTTTTAATTATCACTCCGCGAAGTTATTGACCTCTTAACAAATAAATAAGTGGGGGATACCCGATGTAATTTTAAACTATGAGTCAACTCAGGGGATTCCTCCAAAATACAAAGCAGCCCAGACGCCTATATAAACAAGCCCTGTCCCAACCAATTGGTACATAGTGTGCGTCGCAACATACACGCAAATAACGCAATAAGTTGTCTCTCTTCAAAAGTTGGGGGAAAATTCTCAGAGAATCGATATGTCTATGTATATTGAGACATATGACGCCGATGTCGTCAGTGTTCACCCTGCTCCGTGTCCTATCTGTGGACCTACATCGAGAGAGCCTTACGAATCAGGTATCCAACACTTTGATAATATCCCATTTGTCAAGCAATCTTATCCTTGTGTACATGTACTGTACGTGATTAGTATCACCTCCTAGAGATGCTTAGGTCCTCACAGAATGTTGTAACGTCTATTTCACTGAGACTAATTTCCCCTTGTTTATTTGGCCAATCAGCTCAAGCAGTAAAAAAACAAAATATATATTCAGCCTCAAAAGGAACTAAAACAAATAACTTGCGGACTTTCTTCAACAATAATTGTCATTTCGCAGAGCCGACTGTGGACCTCCTGGAAGACCAATCTGCCACCCGAGGCTCGAGTGTGACCCTTGGCGTCAGCTACCACTCCACCTCGCCGGTCACCATCACCTGGAGCGTAGATGGCACCGTGATTGCCAGGCAGGCCGACCGCATCTCCCACGGTCAGACCCAGCTAACCATCCGGCGCTTTGACAACAAGCACCACCGGAAGCGCTTCAGTGTGGAGGTTGTGGACCGGCGGGGCAGGAGACAGGGGACTAGTTGCATTCTCACTATGCGATACTGTTAGGACAGCATCCCTACTTTATCACAAAGGTTAGTTCCATTACTAAGTAGGAGTATAATAAATGACCTAATTTACTTTGGTATACTGAATTTTAAAAAGCATATTTTATAGTCCTATCCAAAAATGATTATTCTCAGGGTTATCAATGCGAAGATCACCTTATAAAACCTCAAAGCGGTAATTACTGACACGGGCAGATTCAGGCATCAGTTGGGGCTGGTTCGTTGAGCATAGCGTGACATTTGGCTTCATGAGACAGCCTCAAACATCTGCAAGACAACATCCTTTAAACCACTATTTCGAAGACATGGGGTTGCTAAGAAGCTACTCAGGCAAAATCGGGGGAGGGGGTTATGGTCCCTTTAGGCCCCTCCTGGATATCCCAAAGTGACGAAAATTATCCACTCCAATCCTCCCACCAACCCCGAAACCAAAGAAGATGCAAAATAACATCCACTTCACTGTTTCTTTTTATATCACTTGCAGGCATTATTAGTGCCAATTAAAGATGGGAGTACATCTACCAGCACTAGATCGGACTCGCAACACTCCCAGCTTGAAGACAGCGAGTAGTGAAGTTGCATCAAGGACTTTCTCCGAGGACACTCAATTGCTTAAATATTTCTTTGTATTGTGTCAGCACCTATTTTCTACAAACCCGCCAAACAGACCAAACAAACAAGACGGGCCCCAAATCGACCTTTTGACAGATTAATTGAAATAAAATGATCAATAGCTCCTCTTAAAGCTGTAGATGGCTATATCTTTCAATTTGATTTTCTTCTGAAATTACACGTTATAGAAATATTAATCCACCGAATAGTCACTACTGATACCTTATTAAACAGATCAGCAACCTTTCCACCCTATTTTTGGCACATTCTGCAATTTCTTTTATAATAAAACCAAGGTTTTATAATACAAACAGAACGCGCATAAAGCAGTTCTTAGGAAACATCAGGTTTTAAGAAGTCTGCCTGGTGTTTCCTTCCTGAAGACACCTGTCCATGACCATCCTCATGTTATTTACTGCTGTATGGTTAATTTTGGCAAATCATGTCAAAATACATTGCACACCAAAAAAAGAGTGAACTATTTGTGAGAAAATATCTTCACATACTTAAGTGGTCAAAACGCTGTCAACGTCAAAGAGGCTTATGTGAAGTAAAATCTTGTTTATTTTTCTGTTAACCATATTTATATATGTTATTTTAGCTGCCACTACGTTTGTAAAATATTCAGCTTTTGTAGTTTTATACTATTGATTAAATGTTTCGCTAGTAAATGTCAGTTAGCCCACAAAGAATGTGATTAAATTGAGCTTAGAGTTGAAACAGAGAGCCATCTATCCTATTTTCATGTGTAAACTACTGCCATTTATTTTAGTCAAATTTAATTCTTATCATACTTGCAACAGAGCGCCACACACAGTACGCGTACATGTACATGTACATGTACAATGCTAAAGTCCCGCATGGAAACAGTAAATAGCCGTGACAAACACACACACCTCTGTTCCCTTTCACAATTATTGCCAAATTCTGCTGCCTCGAACGATCAGTACGTAACAACAATGTCGGTGAACTCCGTGCCCCCACAACAGGAGGTTAATATTGATGATGTCATCTACCAACCATCTCATATGCATATTTCAGACTAACCACATGCCAGCCAAGTCGTATTACTCCGCTCGTGCCTATTTATAGATCTGATGTTGTCGCTGTGAAAAGATATAAAAGAGCGCGCGTTACAAAATTACACTTCGATTGGGCTTCTGACGAAGTTCGCAAGCTAGCCAAGACCGAAGAAGATAAACTTGTTCAGCAGCTCTTGAAGAAGTACACAAACACGCTAAAATATGTCGTTGTATAATGAACCCCAAGGCAATGTGAAGATCAGTGGTGTTGTGCCAACGCCGGGTACACGCATGAGAGAACCATGGCAAACAGGTAAGTTTAAAGGTTCCGGCAATGGCCAAATTATTGCAACACGACAAACCATTTGGAAAATTTGAAAAACGTCAAAACGTCAAGTGAAAATTGGCCTCATAAATTAACCAATTGTAGCACAGGAGTGTGTCAGGAGTTATCGCATACTTTTATCTATGCCACTGTCATCTGATAAGAAAGTACATGTGAACTGAAACATGACCTCTCTATTGCTGTAACAACAATCTTTGTGTCTCAATCCTAACCCTCAGACCCAGTGGTGGAAGCAAACAAATACGACGTATATGTCACTACAGGCGATTACACCAACCTTACCTATTCATATGAAGCGAGTTCGACGGTTGTCATCGAACTCAAGCGGAATCACCACACCATACACAGCATCAGTGGGCCACCTGCAGGCCAGGTCCATGTGCCTATCAACAACGCTCAGTACAAACACCACCACGCAAACTTTGCGATAACAGTAACAGACTCCAAAGGACGCATGGAGACAGCATCTACCCAGGTTCATGTGCAGTACTACTAGCCAAACTCTGCTGAACTGGGGGAAGCAGGTGAGCCAGTCGTCACAAATTCCAAACGTTTTCTATGACCAGATACCTTTGCAATTGTCCAAGTAAACATGTTTACATTCATGTACAATGTATACTTAATATTGTACATGTCTCATTATTTTAGACCTTTGCACAAATGAAATGTACCTGTCAAACCACCACGGTTAAAAGCAACTTGAAGTCAGTAGGTCGAAAATCTTGGTTTGAAATGCGCCAAAGCAAAGGGGAAAACTGTTAAATAATTTATAGATCGTTGTTATCACTTTGCAAACGTGTGTTTTTCTTTTCTTTTCTTTTTGGTGCTATAGGCTGAATCATCCATCATGGCACGTCTGTCGTCTTTCGAGAACCGCTTCATGGACCTTCATTCGACCACTGGTTTATGACCACATCATCTAAAGCGAACTGTGACATCTCAAATAGGATCATTGGACTTTGCATAATGTTCTGTGCCAATTTTTACAAATCCATACTAGACACATATAGGGTCTTTATCAAACACAGCAACGTAGACTATAATTTGAAGGAAACATGCAGTTGAAAACTCAGCTCATCTTTTTTTATGCACATTACTGTATTGCAACAATACACACAAGGTCTTAATACTTGTTTTCATTGAAGAGACAAGAAAGTGGTTATTTTTCAATCACACGTATCAGCAACTCCTTTCATCAATACATGTAAGAGGGCGCTACTTTGCTTTTGTCACACAAGGCGCTCCTTGTCAAAAGTGCATATGAACTGTAAAAAATCAGTCCTGCAAAATTAGAAATATTGGCCACTATTATTGTCCAAAAAGCTGTTTAACATGATAACTAGTATAAAGTGGAACTTACTCCAAGAAAATGAAGAAAAGTTTGATGTTATTTGTACACAAAGTTATGGAGACACTACTGTTCTGCCTTGAATGACATCACACTTTGGCTCATGAATATGGACATTTTCATTAGCATAAAAACTAAAATGTTGACATTTCTCCCTTTTACTGCTACAAAGGGGGTGGAAAGTCATAGTTACATGGCAAAAAGCTGTTTTAAATGTATTTAAGTCATACAAATCCTATTACATGTTCACTTTAACAATTCTTCATCATTAATAATTTTGCATTATGAAGACGTTACATAAGAAGATAAACTTCATTTCATAGAAAGAGAAATCTAATGAGAACTGTGTTGCACGGTTTGCTTACAAGCCAACATTTGTCATTTCCAAAATCATTGACAGAATTGAAGTTTTCAAACAAAGTATTTAATTCGCATGGAAACTCCAAATTCCATATTAATTGTACATTTAGTCCTGAAAATGGAAGACTTTGTATTGGCTTCTCCCTGGAAAAATAACTTATCAAGAACGACACCCTAAACCGATTTCAGTACAATATCTTGTCTTTAATATTTGTTATGAAATTAAGCGTAGCCAAAGTTAACGAGAAAAAAAGTGTACTTGTTAATTTATTCACCTTGTTACAACAATTATTTATCGTAATGTTTAAGGTTAGTATCGAACAAATTATCGTTTAAATGGAAAATAAAAGCCGGGTTAGGCAACAGAAAGAATTCACTTTGATCCCATTTTAATATGTTTATGTGTCAATCTAATTCTTTTAAAACCTTAACACCATTCATGTGTAATACATAGGGCCTAATGGTGTGAGTTCAATAAGGCTATTCACCAGATAGTGCAAGACAGATGGTATTTTCAACTTTATTTGCGTTAAGATAATCGCAGTTCAGATCCAGTCAATATCTTTCTCAAACCTCATAATTACATGTACTACAAAAACGAGGACACTTTTCTATTTGAAGGTGAAGGGCGAGTTGCGAGTTGTGACACAGCTATTAAGTTCGACACATGTACCGTGATCGATCGCAACGGTATCACTTGCTTAAAACCCTTGCTCTCGTACAGGCTATTGACTTTACAAGCAATATTTGCAATACATGTATTGAAGTGTTTTGTAGAGTGTAGCAAAGCATGGCTATAAAGCGGCGAAACTTTGACCACGTCAAAAGCAAAATGAGGGATAACACTCACACAGGTTAATGACTCGGTTGATATCACTACGCCATGAATATGCAACACCAGGAGGTACATGTCTCGGTGCGGTGCATGGATTGCAATGCACTGATCACACCAACCCCGCCTAGTAATGTTTTATAACAAATACGGCCGTAATTGCGCTACCTCTCATCCCGCACTCGTCAGACAAGCGAGAGCAGTGTGGCATTACTATCACGACGAATCACACTAAAAAACCAGTACGAAACTTAGATTGGGATCATCGGAAGGGATTGACAACTTAAGTCATGACTTCTGAGACAACGGAAAAGTATTTTGCCGGTGCTAGGACAACCATAGGAAAACTAAAGGAAACATGGGAAACAGGTCAGTCCACACATCAAATTGTTGTCTGGGGATTAAGAGTCCATGCATGTATTTTAATTTTCAATCCGCCCCAACGGTCCAGTGTTGGAGTTTAGGATCATTTGTTTACTGAAGAACAAATATGTGTAATGTCCTACTGATCTGCCAAGCTGTATGATCTATGTTTTGAGTTTGACTTTTGGGAGGGAAATTCAGATGGGGCGTAGGCGAGTCATCTGTCCGCGATGATTTTCAAATCAATATCGATATGCAACTCGATGGTGACGGTAATATTCTTAGAAGCAAAGTTAGACAATGTTATCTTTTAATCTTCAGATCCGGTTGTGACTATTCTACACGATCTTCAGGTTAACAAAGGCGACCACGTTAATCTACGTTGTGAATATGACGCCAACACTAACGTTCGTATCACTTGGAGGGAAGGGGCGAAAGTGACGGAGGGAAATAACTTTTCGAAATCAGGGTCTACGTGGATGGAAATCGGTAAAGCGGCTGCCAAACACCATGGGAACAAGTACACCGTTACCATCAGAGACATCAACGGAAAGACAGCATCCACATCTGCATACATCTATGTCTATGGTTAGGCCAAACTTCGAAGGTGAGATGGTCTTTGTAAGCTCCTAAACTGCCACTTCCAACATGACCATCACATGACACATCAGCACTGTTATAAGCAGTATAAAGTGCAACATGAATGCGTTCTCATTCTGTACCGTGGGGTATGCTGTGTGTGTTGTTTCGTTGGATGTAAACCTTTATCATTCACTGAAATGCGTTTTTAAACGCCTCAATTGGTTTAATATGCTTGTTTTAATTCTTTCAGGTTATCCATCATTCCCTGGACCCAGTTAGAGATCACAGAACCTACCACCTCCCAGCAGTGGCATAACCAACTACAAAGACATCACAGGAACGAACCACACTTACATGGAGGAGCATTCTACCACCTGTCTTCACCCGGCCCATTAAAAAAAATGAGAAGTTTCTGTTCCCTTTGGAGGCTCTAATTGCAACACATGGGGGAAAAGTCTTCGCTTTCTTTTTACACAAACGAAACGGGCCAAAAAATATTTTTTCTTTTCCCAATAAAAAGAACCGGGTTTCTCAGTAAACTACAAAAAGAGTTTTAAGAAACTCGGAAACTATTATCCTCAGCTTCGGGGTCCTTGTTTAATGTATATATACACATCATTTATCACAGAAATGACAACAAATTGAAAAGAAATGTTGATTATGAAGGAGCCCATTGGACATCTTTTGAGCGAAAACATGTATAGCACAAGGTCCGATTGCATAACCCGACGGCTGCCTTGATTTTTTTTAAAAAAGATTCAAGAGCCTTAATTGTTTTTGAGGAAAACATTTTACGGTTGAATCGTCAAGCCAAAATACAATGAAATTGAACAAAAGCTTGAGAAAATATCTACGTGTAATTTGAAGTTCTCCATTTGTGTACTTATAAGTTTAGGCAGCGTGTAAACACCAGCAATAACATGTAATGATTCATTCAACATTAGGTAAACTTTTGTTTCATTCCTCTTACAAGGTGGTAACACCGTAGTATGAGTTTTAGTATTGAATTAAAAAATAAAACTAATGCTGAAATATCCCACTGCATAACGTGATGTATAGTGTCATTCTTTTGTTTGCACTGATCAACTCCCAAATTTGAATTAATTTAATTTATTGAAAATTAATATAATTCCTTGTAGCTTTCTTTATTTATAAATCGTTCACATAGCCTTCTACAGTTGTCAGTAAACATGCTTGAGAATGTAACTCCTTGTCTATTGAAATCAATTCAAATGCTACATTAGTCGGGTTACTGAACGCTCGCTTTCTGCATGTGTCTTTGACATTTTCAGTGCTGAAGAGTCATGGAATGAATCTGATGGATCTAACTCCATCCTATTTGCCGATTTTATTTCAAAAGTCCACCCCAGCACCATCCCCGCAGTCAACAGACAAGATGAATTTTCATCATTCACTAAAATACTGTGAGGGTTTATGAATATCCCAGTATAAATGACTATTACATGTACTCATAATATATGTGAATCAAACAAAAAGCATCAATATGAGCATTATCTAGCTCGAGAGCATTCCCAAAATGTCATCTTGAAAGGTAACGATTCATGATTCTAATATCGAAAGTCGCCATTCAAAATCTCGCAACACTGTTGTGGATTGCACACAATGTATTCACCAATTCAAGGACATGACCCGGTTCCACGCGTCCTACGGACATGGCTCTGCTATTTCATTCACAAAAATACACTTTTGACTGAGAATACAATGTGGGCCTACCAAGGGCGGATCCAGGGGGGGCCAAAGGGGGCCATGGCCCCCCCCCCCCCCCCAAAACGAAATCAATTTTTTTTTTATGTGACATCGCAATAACGGCAGGCAATGAGTACACCACCATCTTTTCCTCAAACAAAAAAACATTGGTTAAAGTGGTCAGAAATTGCCTCGGATCGCACAACAGAACATCTAGAATCCAAAAAATTTTCGGGGCCCTTAAGCGGGCCCCGAACCCCACGCCGTAATTTTTTTGACCCACTTTTTGACATCGCAATAAAGGCAGGCAATGAGTACACCACCATCTTTTCCTTAAAAAAAAACATTGGTTAAAGTGGTCAGAAATTGCCTCAGATCGCACCACAGAGCATCTAGATTCCAAAAAATTTTCGGGGCCCTCAAGCGGGCCCCGAACCCCACGCCGTAATTTTTTTGACGCACTTTTTGGGGGGACCAAAAAATTTTTTGCCCCCCCCCCCCAAATTGTGTTCTGGATCCGCCCTTGGGGCCTACGTGATTGTACGTGTACGTGCATTCATTATTCATACAACGTTGGTCGCAAACACCGAGATGGTAGTTACCGTTTTGTCAAATCTGGGGGAAGGGGGGGGGGGTGTCTGGTTCTCAGACAGACATATTCTCACTAATTCAGATGAATCTTAGGACAGGTAGCCGCCACGGCCCGTGATCAAAACGGAAGGAATGCCCCCGTTTCCAAAAAAGTCCGAAGTTTGCCAAATGCATTTCGTCGACACTCTCAATAGCGCCCGGGTATTTTCGGGTATTAAACACATGTAGGTTTTATTTACCTGCCATACCTATTAAAAAAAAACGAGTTGAAAATTAATATTGATTACTTCCCCCTAAAATTCAAATGACGATTTTGTGCATCAAGTATACTTGGACCGTACGAGGGGCGAGCTTTGCTGCGCCATGTACTACTTTGTGAATCTGACGATGGTTACCGGAATACGTGTATTCCAAAGCTCGGCGTGGTATCTCTTTCGGCTGTTTGGGTCCCTAACTTTAAAGATTCCAGCTCAACATTGGTCAACGTTTACTTACAGAATTATCAAACTGTATGATATATAAAGCAAGTGATTTTTTTTGTATTTGATCGGAACATTAAACGTTTTTAACGATAAAGCCAAGCCGCAAATGAAGCTGTGCTTTGAAAAAGAGCTGTCACGTTTATTTTTTTTAGCCTGGTGGCGGCTGCCTGACCTATACAAAATAGACGTCAGGGCGTCGGGGAATTGTCAGGTCAGGAAACCAGACTAATCTGGGGTTACAAACATGGGAACCAGCGGAATTTACGGGTACCGGTGATCACTAATAATGTCATAGGGATGGGGATGATGAGGGGGAATCCCTTGGATTCTTCCATTACTTCGAAGGGGTGGACCGTTTCCATTTCACATTTTGCTCGCGACAGTAAGATATTGTAGTTCTAATACAAAATGTACTTCGCATCATAACATTTGGAACGTTTTGAGGTACCTAAAGTACCCTATACTATCCTGTATTTTGTGGCAGACATTCTCAAATGCCTAGTTTGTAACCCGCGGGGTCAAAGGGAAAATGAGTCATAACGGCAAGTTGGCGGGAAAGAAGAAGCCATCGGGAGTTTACCGAAGTATAACTATAAAGAATCAACACGTTGATATTCGCAAGTAATTTCATACAGATCCTCATTCTAAAAGGTGCCTCCAATAAAACAAAAATGCCTGCAAGAAAGAAGGAACCCCTCGGACGCTCAAGTCCGGCATCGGCATCAAACCAACCGTCACCATCAACTCGAACAAGAGAGACGCAAGAAAAAGGTACGTAAATCTGTTGTTTTTCCCCCTGAAACAAGTAGGCCTACATGTATCATCCCGTAATGTATAGTGTACCCGTATTCTAAACTCTAAACCCGCATTCGGAACACAAACATTCTGCGCTAATATCGATGCACCTAAACGCCTAGGCAACACATTTATAACAGGTTTTCTTTTCTTATCTAGTTAAACCCAAGAAGTCACCTAAGGCTACTAGTGTCCCGAAGAAAAAAAGGACAGTGAGCGGTTCTGGAATTCGTAAGCATAAACGGCAACATTCAAAGAAAACTAGCAAGTCTAAATCCCGTTCGAGGAAGACTAAGTAGACGGGCGGAAACACCACTAGAAGGTAAGCTGGATATTTGCAATCTGCACGACATCACATATATTCATGTTCCCCGACTTATTCAAAAATAACCATGGGAAGCAAAACGACATGTGAATGCAACTTTGACAAAAGCACGACATAGCCTGAAAGGACAATATCCGTCAACTCAACACATGCATGTATGTATAGAATAGAAAATTAACATACATGTATGTACATTTGATAGTACTAAGTACAAATACACATATAGGTTACTCACCCCTATCCATGAACTTGTTTCGTTTTCCGTCTCGTCTGCAGGTCTGTAATTGGAAATATCACATCATTTGTCAAGGACCTCCAATCACCTCCTCTCAAGCTGTTTCATCAACTCATCCCAAACTTGAGGCAACGGATTTGTAAACCTCAACATCTACAAAAAATTAACACAAGAGAACTTCATTATGAACTGAATTGTAAAGTTTGATAAACCTTACCTAGCCTACACAAATAATAATTACATCACGTAGTTAAACATATTAAAGATGACTATTCTATCTCCTAGTTTAAGCATGCATCATTGACATCGAAACTTAACAACTTGACAGCCTGAATCTGATGTAATGAAACTCATGATATCAATAACTTAGAGTAATAATGCTGCATGATACAACGATTAAAATATTTGAAAATGTTAAAAAAGTTCCATTAAAGAAGAGTAATTACACATCACACTGGAAACATTGCAACTGTAGTTGCGGGAGTGCTGACGAAGTCTCAATAGTGAAATCTCACTCTTTTCATCCTAAAACAATTGTGTATTTACTAATAACAGCATGCAAGTAATACAACACAAATCTATCCCCATTAAGCATATTACTAGTTAAAGCAGCAAATACTCAGAGTCAGAACTAAATGAATACAACTGAATCGGAGACGTTTTGGTGAAATCGCAAGCGCCATTTTATGTACAGACTTCCTTGAAGTTCAACGGAATTTGCTCTGGATGTGATGTGATTAAATTTCCAAGCAAAAAGTCTGGACTCGGGTTTCTTACATTGTCTGCTTTTGTTGTTACTTAACCAATTCATTTGATGGTACTCATTCTGGAAATTCTCCCAAACACGATAAACTAGTTCATTAGTATATGCCCCCGATTGTTACAGAAAAAATGCTTGAACAATACAAGTATAAAACTGAAAACTCCACCAAAATCTGGAATGAATCCTTGCTTTCTCACATGCAGCAATTGGTGAAAAATAAGAAACATTTGCATGTTGTCTGTAGTTTTGATTAAGTTTGATAGATTGGATCACATAGTTGTTTCCAACTACATGTATTTTTTATTTTGTCCGTCAGTGGTGCACCCAGGATTTGGCTGGGGGGGGGGGGGCTCACAATTCCTTTTTCCTTTTTTTTTAGAAGTTTAAATTTTTCAAAACTGTTGCCCAAAGATTTACACCTCAAAAAGCATACTACTAGACTAAAAAACAGATTGACCCCCAAAAAGTTGACAGAATTCCAAATACAATGTTGCATGCAGAGGCGTGTAGATCTCGTAATGACGAAAAATCAATCATTAATGAATGCACGCGGAGGAATATAGCCATTCCACACATCACTTACTAGTGATCAATGCACAAGTGTATAAAGGGCGAGATTTGGTGTGGCTTCACACCCCTTTGCCCTCAAAACATCTTCAACTGTACAACATTCACAAGCATCGTCTACCATGTCAGGCAAAAAGGAACCAGAAGAGAAGATAGAGCAAAAGAGTCAGCCGCAGTTATATTCAGTTTCTGTGTCCCCACATACTACGGCAACTCACACTGTCGAGCCCCAGGAAAAAGGTAAGCCTAGAGTCAGAAGAGTATTCAGTTATGACAAACGTGTCCTTTACATTTATTTCCCACACTACCCACTATAAACAGCGACAAATAACAGCCAAGTGACAAAAAAAACCATTATTTTTTTCAGACAACGGATCTAAAAAAGGTTCGAAATCTGATGACTCGAACAACTCGAACTCAAACAGCAGCAATGGAACAAAGGGGAATAGTAAGAAGTAAAGGTACGGGTTTACAGAGATGAACATTTCCTTGTAGCAACTGCCGTCATTCTGTGTTATCGACCTTATTTTGCAATACTTTTTTGTTGTCAACCACCATCTGGCAACTTCCAAAATAATTTGGGAACTAAATTCACTGAGAAAGGAGCCACGTCTTGTACAAGAGATTGTACATATGTGTTCAGAAATGTTTCAAGGTCAACCGTCATGCTTATCATTGGCGCGCATTGTTGAAACAGGGGGCACTGGCTGAGTATCCAGACCTCTTTTTGCTCAGCAAATACGTTTCTGTGGTTACCAAATGTCCGTGTTTAACAGCTCAATAAAATCGACAACAAAAATGCTACACAAAATTCATTGGAAGATACTCACCATTTGTTTGCATACTAGAGCTTGCATTTTCCTTCAATTTTGTTTCAGATTTATGATGGACTCGAAGAAAACCTTTGGTTCGCGTCGCATGGCAATAGCCTGAGTCCTCTGCAATGTTTCCATCTCATCAGCAATTTGCCAGTCAGTGTTAAGATGTACCAGTCAGCACTTCTCGACTTCGAGGATTTGTTTTCCGTCAATCGTCATCTTCATACTCCAATAATACAATCAATTACGCTGTTACTGTAACAAAATGCACATCATAAAAACAGTTTATTTTGTGAATCGCCGGCGTACATTTCACATTTATAACAGTATTTTATTCCAATTGAAGTTATGTACATTTAGTGGGTGCTCCTTGAAATAACTAAAAATAAACTAACTAACTAAACACTCATAACTAACGAAAAAAAAAAATGCAACTTTTACAAAACTTCTGTTCGAAACCCCAGTTTGTAAATACACATGTGCGAACATTTTGCGTTGTTTTGTGTCCATTAATTTTCAAATTTTAATTTTCAATTCCAGAAGAAAACAAAGTGTTATCTGGTTTTATAAATACAATTCAATTGAAACACCAATTCACCAAATACTAACTATGATGCTTTATTATTTTATTAATTTAACAAAGCAATCAATACACTGGGTCGTATGTATAAAAACTAGTAAATGCTAGGAAGTTTAAGCAAAAAGAAAAAGCATTTACATGTACTTTGGAGTACAAGCATTAAGGAAAAGCAAATGCTTGATTTCGTATGAATAATAGTTTTCCTTTACTGTTCAGCATTTACTAGACAACAGATAGCAAATGCTTCTTACTATTGGATTGTTTTCATCATGTTCATGGACGTATGATTGCCAACAATAGCGATTCTTTTGTGTGTACGAACTGCCGCGCACACACACAGGGTTTACACGTGGAGTAATAGTCCAAATCAAGTGATGCATACAGTACACGTAGTAGTACATTTTATCCTCAAATCCAGCAAAAATGATGACACTTTTCGGCAGTTGCAAAATACAAAAAGTATACTTTCATCATTCATGAAAATTGTAAAGGTCCACAGTGTCCTGTAGACGTCACAATTGCATAAAAATCACAGACGTGTTTAAGTGGGTAAAATCATACCATACACAAAGAGGTTTGTTTGTTGAAATAAAAAAAAAACCCAATAGATTGCAAAGATTGGTGACTCAATAAACTAAACAAATGACTTCATTTTGTTCAGTCCCCAGGGTGCCTTTGGATAAAATTTATCCTTAATCATTCTGTGCCGCACTGAATTTTACGCTAACACTTCTCATATTGTGAAAAAAATGCCAAATTATCGTTTCTAATTCTAGTAATAAAATACATAATAAAAAGTATTTAAATTGCGCATAAATGTTAGTCAAAATACAGTATATGGTATTATATGTAGTTTATCAACGTTTTGTGTCAATTTTGGGGCGATAAATATTAATAAATGCAGCAATTTTTCCGCAGAAGTATTTGCTTTATATTTTCAAGGTTGCCCCAACCCAGCCTTGAAAAATGACCAGTAAATGCTTGAAATCTGAAGCATTTACTCCTTTTTATTCATACGAAATGAAGTAAACACTTCTAGTCTAGCGAAAGCTAGCAAGTAAAAAGTAAATACTTTTAGCTTTCAGCAAATGCTTTCCAGTAAAAGCATTTGCTTCATTTTTATTCATACAAATCCAAGTACATGTAAATGCTTAAAAATGGGTAGTAAAAGCAAATGCTAGTTTTTATACATACGGCCCACTGTTTCTACTTTGCATTTAATGGAACAAAATGTTACTGAAATTGAAAATCTAATTGAAATTGAAAATCGTATTAATTAAATTATGTATGCATTACTGAATAAGTCTGTTTAGTAGTATCGAGGTACATTTTGGAAAAATTGATTTTAGGAATGTTACTGTCAAACAGAGAAGTGTTTGTAAACTAAAACACAAACACCAACTATACTTGATTTTTTTTAAGGAAACGTGTGCAGAATGGCATTTTTTATCGAAAGGAAATGCAACCCACAACATAGTCTTTTTCGAAGATACGAGTGAGCATTTGTCGCTTTTATTTAAAAAAAAAAATTCAAAAAGAAAAATTTCAAGACTTTTTCCTTTTGAGATCAATGTATGCAGAAATATGCTTCAGTCACTTGTCACTGTTTACCTTGTCGCAAACAGCTTCAAACTCCAAAAACCTTTAGAAAATGCTTCCTTTCAAAGATCAATGGTACAATCCTTAATTCAGTTTTGACGCTGTAGGTGTCGCATTCCAATCTGATATTGAATAATAAAGATAAAGAGATGCCCATAAGGCAGTAAAGTGGTGCAGAGGACTATTTGTTTGTGTGGATGTGTTTTTTATTATAATGTCCTGGTTAATGATTAATAAGCGGCAACCTTTTGATAGCATGTTACTGTTGTGTGGAAATATTCCCTGTGCGCCATTTGAACGTCAACGCTCTGAGAATACAGCCATCTTTGAATATTAAGCTCTGGAGAAAAACAAATTTGGCCTTTGAAAATGCCACAGGAGCCACAGGAGCAAACGGATGGATCACATGGTCGTGGAAAAAAATCCACCTCTTCTCGAGGTCGTGAAAATTCTGAAAAGGACAAGGGTGAGTGAAAAAAAATTAGCAGCAAAGGCTTGCTAAATAGACAAGCATCAGCATTCTTTTTTAAAGGGAAAATACAACATTTGCAAACATCAGAAAACGAAATGATCAAATTATCACGAAATACCTTACTGGATTGTTAGGAATGACAGTCTGAAGCATCCTTTAAAATCGTGGCTCCTGGTGTGCTGACATTTTCAAGAAAAACTGCATTTTTCCAACGCTGGTCGGCCGACCAGCGTTGGAAAAAAAACTGGCTTTTTTCAAAAACTGTTCTCATTTTTTCATATTTAGTTTTCTGAATTTTCTTTGCAATTGATTACACACCTCTGAAGGGGTACAAGCCTGCTAGACTGATTCTCTGACCTTACAATTCCCTAAAGTGTATTAAGTGCTCCGTTTCATCTGATTGGGGTCAGGGAACCTGACTACAAGAACATGATAGGTTTTCTTGGTTTTTCTACAAGCCCAAAACGTGAAACATGTCAGTTCAACAATATTTTCTATAACATACTAATCCTCCAAATCCATTTATTTCTGAATATTGAAGCAAAAGCAAATGTTGTACATTTCCTTTAATGTATACCGGAGAATAAGTAAATGTACTTTACTTAATGAACTAATGAGTGGTATTGGTTGCATGAGTTGAATTGAACAAAGAAATCGGTGCCGCCCTTGAAACATGTATGCCAAAGTTTAACCATATGCCACTTCATACAACAAACTGTCTATAGATACAAGGTTTACGAGCCAGGTCGAGAGTTTGATGGGCGGGCACACAATGTGTTGGATGGACTGTCCATGCCACCTACGAGAACGATGCTTAGAAACAGAACTCATCTTCAAAGAGCTTAAGCCTATACACGATTGTATTATTCTTATTGAGGGATTATTTTATTGTGTTAACTGTAAATACAAAGTCTAATTCATGTATGACTTTCTGTTTTCCGTTCCAGGTTCCGATGGCGGAGGGTGTGGTAAGTTGCTATGATTATTTTCACTTGTTAGAAATTGATAAATGTTTTAGAAGGCGAGAAAGCACTTTCAAGAAAGATTATATAAATATACCAAAACCAACCGTGAAATTGCAAGAGTGTTGTCACACAAGATGCACCCCAACTTTACTTCGCTAGTCACTGTCACGCCCCGGATCCAACCCTTTCTGACAATAGTTCACAGCCCAGGCCTTGAAAAAAAGGTTAAACATTAATCTGTCGAAGGTGCATTATTAGAAAGACCTCATTTTTTTCTGGAAATATTGCCAAGTTTTCAAAACTTCGTTTCCTTAAAATATTTAAAAACTATAAGCCTTGTTTTGATAATCAACATAATCCCCCTCTTACCCCAACCCCGATTTCCTCCCACACCACAGTTTAAAAACATTTTGTGTAGTCTCGATTAACATAAAAACTTTTTGAATGTTTTTTTTTGCATTAATTCAACATTCTCAGAAGTCTAAGAATGTTCAGGATCCATGTGAAATTCAATCAAAATCATATTTCAAGGTCAAGGTCATCAATGATATACATGGCATGATTATTTCAAATCCTAAATTGCACTTTACTTTATCAACTGTGACCTTTCCATAACAACTACAACCTACATGTACACTAAATATGTGGGTCCCCAAGTTAAAACCAGCAAACAAAATGTAGAAATGTACCACCTTTTCTGGCTTGAATTCCAGTGATTCTTTAGGACCACCTCCGCCCATCCAGGCCTGATGAGAACTACCTGACAATGCAGCTCAATACCCGTAGCGTACTGCGGAGGAAACATCTTTAGCTTCCAAGAAGCATTGAGCTGTCTCACCAATAACCATGGAGTTCTCTCACCTCGGCACACCTTTCGTCATACTAAAGCAAAGCAAAGAGATTCTTTAAACTTCTGATATTAAGTAAAGCTTGTAGAAGTCATTCCTCGTTAGATTTTTTTTAATGCCTTGATTCAGTAAATGTACTTTTTTTAAGAGAGAGGAGGGGAGGGTGCCTGGTACAATTTTTGCAACAAAACCGACATCTTGCAGGGGTGGCAAGTTCCTGGGTCACTGCCACTCTTCCGGAAATTGCACGGGCACATCATTCGGTCGATTCTTTTGTGCACATTATGTCATGTGGAGCTGTTTAGTGCCACACTCATGACTTGGAATAGAGTCCCCCTAAAAGAGTTGAAATCGAATCTATGGTTTTCTGACCCATTTTCATAATACATGTACCAAACAAGTTTTAAAACTGGTGATAGTTTTTTGGTGTGGCACAATATGTGCCACACCCCTGCCATGGTAAGACACCAAAGAGCCCTCGCCCCCGAGGGTTTAAGTGGAAACCGTCCAAAGTATCGACCAAGTATTTTTGTTCTTTTTGTTACAGTTTACGTTCATAGTTTGTTAATGGCGAATCCAAAGTGCCTTCTGTTGGCTGTGTGTGAGCTGCATGTGCATACATATTTCTGTTATGGACTATCCTACTTACATGTAGTACCACATAAGAATTTTGAGATTTAACCAAAAGTACAACTGCACATAATTTTTTTTCTTAATGTATGATGCACAAAAAAATATAATGCATGAACAGAAAGTCCTTTATCAGATCCATGAACAAGTCTAAGATTTTATTTGCATTGCTGTGATTACGTGTTAATATTATGTTTTTGCTTTCTTTCTAACTAATTTTGATCGCATTAAGAAAAATGAATCTGTGTAGTTTTCTATTTGCTAAAGCAAACATTTGTAGTTGACTAACGGTAAAACCGAAAAAGCATGCCTTCGTCAGTTTTGTGCAAGTAATCTAATGTTATTAAATGAATAATACAAACAGAGATTTTGAACTCTTCTTCATAAACAAAATTAGACAAGTACTTAAGTAACTGTACACAAAGGATATTTCACAGGATCATTGTTTCAACAATTTGATTAACATGTGCAATTGTGTATAATATTGAAAATTCCTCACATCCCATGAACAAAGATATTGACTAACCGAGGGACCACCAAGATAGGGCTGGTAGAGTACCGCAGCAATGTTTTGTTGAGTGAGGGTTAATGTCCTACTGAGTCGGTTTCTCTGTTCAACCTTATCATAAACATTACATACTAAATCTGATTGCATATTAGTCACCTTGAAAAGCCTTGAATACAGTTGCCCTTTTGGGAGCGTGGGTTTCCCTAATAATACTAACTTGTGTACTCAGTTGAACTATCTCCCTTTTGTCTTTTTGTTGGCGTTCGGTTGTGTGCTATTTACAAACCATGCATATTCCATGAAAAGCAAACTGTTTCGATTGAAATGTTTTTGTTTTGTTGTAATAACAGGTGAAAGGTGATGTCAAGAATGTACAAAATTCCACGCATAACCCCAAGGGTTTGCATTGGATAATTTGCACCATGACCCAAAAAGCAAGAAATGAAGAAAAAAATGGCTTGGTTGGGTGGGATGTAAGGATGCATGGAGTTCAACTTCTAAAGATGGGTGGGGTGGGTGGGAGGGCCAGAGGGAAGGCCTTGAAGGACTTGGTGGATGGGAGGCATAGTTTAGATAATGGGCGTCGGACTTATGAGGCATAAATTCTGCCTCATAGGTCCGACGCCTCATAAGTCCGACAATGAACAAATGCTGTTTCGGAGGCATCGGAGCTATGAGGTGTCAGACTTTTGTGGCGTCAGACCTATGAGGCGGAATAAATAAATGTTATACTTCATAAGTCCGACGCCTCACAAGTCGACGCCTCATAAGTCCAACGCCTCATTTTCGAAATTTCGGACTGGCGTCCGACCTATGAGGCATCGGACTTATGAGCAGACCCCGGGCTGGGTGGGGTCGGGAGGGTTAATGGGCTGGTCAGGATTGAGAATATTGAAAAGCTAGGTTGTGTTTCAAGGAAGGGTAGGGTGGGTGGGATATAGAAGGATATTAGGGCTCGTTGGGTTGAGAAAGTATTATATAGGACTTTGAAGGGTTTGGAGGATGGGAGGGCTAGGTGCGGTTGGGAGAAATGGTGGGATGGGGGTGGGAAGCATGTTTAGAGTTGAGAGGATTGAAAGGCAATGTTGGTTGGAGAGGTTTGGGTGAGTAAGGTTTGGATGCTGGAAAGGCTAGGTGTCTTAAGGATAATACATGTGTCGGGTGTGGTTGGGAGAATGAATGAGCCACGTGGGGTTAGGACAACAGGGCTTGTTTGGTTGGAAGGGTAATATGACTATATGGGGTGGGGATATGATGGGAGGGCTAGGTGGGGTTTAGTGGAGAAATGGTGGGGTTGGAGCAAAGGTTGGCTGGGTGAGTTGGGATGACGGTTGGGCTGAGAGGGGTCAAATGTTGGAGAAGTCTGGGTGGGGCTGGTTGGAGTCAGAAAGATGGGGCCATGTGGTCGGGAGAGCTAGGTGAGGTTTAGAGCAGAAATGTTGGAGTTGGGAGTATGGGTGGGGTGGGTGGGATGATCATTGATCGTTGGGCTGGGTGGGTTGGGATGATTGCTGGGCTGTTAAAGGTTGGGAAAATATTAGAGGTTCGATGGTTGAGAAGTCTTGGTGGGGCTAAGAGTTGGGTCAGGAAGATGGGGGCATGGGTTGGGAGGATGGGTGGACAGGGTGGGATTGGATGCAAGTGCTGTATTGGATGAGGAAGCTTGGGCTAGGTAGGGTTGGTAAAATGGGTGGGCAGGCTGGGGTCGGGAGAATGAATGGGTTGAGTGGGGTTGGGAAGGTGGGTTGGCCGAGTGTTAATTGGATTGGTGGGCTGGGGGTTGGGGTTGGGATGGGATGGGTGGACTGGGTGGGGTTGGAGGATGGGATAGTTGGAGGTTGGATTCTGAGGATTGTTGGGCGGGGCTTGGGTACAAGAAGAAGGGTTTTGGAGAATGGGTGGGGTTTTGATGATGGGTCAGCTGATGGGGTTGTGAGGATGGTTGAACTTAGCGAGATCAGAAAATGGGGGCCGGGACAATGTGCAGTCCTGAGGATTGGAGAGTTGGGTGGGGTCTGGAGAATGGGACTAGGTTGAGTTAGGAGAATCGGGCAGCTGGCTGGTTTTGGGCTGTTAGATGAAGTTAGGTTGACAAGATGCTTGGGCTTGGCTTTGGTCAGGATGATGGGTGGGCTGGGTGTGATTGGAATGGGTGGGTTGGGTTGGGTTGGGCTGAAAGTATGACCTGGCTACATGTAGGTGGAGTTGAGGATGGAGGGCTGGAGGGCAACAGCCCCCCCCCCCCCCCCCCCCCCCCCGCAATGAAACCTTGTTGCCCCCCAGTGGGCCCCCCCCCTTCCCGAGATTTTGAGTTTCTAAAAAATGTATCATTGATCTACATGACACCCCCCATGAAATGTTCCAGCCCCCCCCCCCCCCCTGACAAATTCCTGGCTACGCCACTGTTTGGTACAGATGATGAATGGAATGGGCGGTCTTTGAAGGATAGGTTGGGTTCTGAGTGGAGGGCTGGGTTGCATTTACAGGATTGTTGGGCTAGTTTGAGTCGAAACAACCTGTGGACTTGGTGCGGTTTGGGCGATGGGCGGACTAGACAGGATAAGAGGATTGATGAACTTGACATGATTCGGAGGATGGAGCTGGTAGGGTTGAGAAGGAAGTGTCTGCAGGGTGTGAGTAGTGTTTGCTCTGTTGCTTTTGGGAGGGATGTTGTGTAAGAAATTTCAAAATTAATATGCTCCCCAGACCTCTGAAGAGACTTCTACAAAATTGCACTTGATGCTAAAATTTAAAAAATGTCTCCAAATTTATAAGAATTCCATGACATCTGTCTAAAAAAATATGTGAGTGTAATGTATGAAAACAGTTATACAGCCCGACAGTCCGAAAGTTTGATAGGCCAAAGGTTCAATAGTTCGAAGGTTCTTTAGTCCGAAGAGTCATTAGACGGAAGGTTCGTTAGTCCGAAGTTTCGATAGGCCGAAGGTTTGATAGTCCGAAGGGCCCATTAGTCCGAAAATAGAATAAGGTAAATTAATCCGAAGGTTCGCTGGTCCGAATAGATGATAAGGTTCAATAGTCCAAATATACGGATAGGGTTCGGTAGTCCAAATTGACAATAATGTCCGATAGTCCAAATTGAATAAAGTTTGATAGTCCGAATGCGCAATACTGTTCGGCAGTCTGACACTTCGGACTATCAGACCTTACTGTTGATTCGGACTATCGGACCTTATTGTCCATTCGGACTATCGGGCCTTATTGTTGATTCAGACTATCGGACCTTATAGTCTTTTTGGACTATCGAACCTTATTGTCAATTCGGAAATATGAACCTTCGGACTACTTAACCTTATTCTAAATTCGGACTACCGAACCTTCAGATAAATGAACCATTAGACTAATGGACCTTCGGATTAATGAACCTTCGTACTATTGCATCAAATGTTCGGATTAACCAACCTTATTTCATTTTTGGACTAACGAACCCCCTCTTATGGAAATTTTGTGCATTCGGACTTAAAAACCTTAGGACTTAAGAACCTTTGGACTATCGGACCTTCAGACTATCGGGCCCCCCATGAAAACAAGGTTAATGGTTTCGTCACCGCTAGGCAGTTTTGGAGGCGAGTACTTTTTTCCGAGTACCGAGTACTGCCGAGTACGAGTACTTGTACTTCCCAGTACAAGAACAGGTTTCAGAGTATGAGTACTTGTACTTCCGAGTATGAGTACGAGTACTTGTACTTCCATGTTGTATTTACGAATACGGTCATACAGCAAACAGCTCATTGTGCGTAATTGGCCCAGGCCAAGTCAGACCAATATACAGACCCACTCATACATGTACATGTAGCTGTTAAATGTGATTGTCCGGACGTGCGCATAGTAAAATCAGAAAACTTTGATTTCTCTACAAGCCAACCATTACCATT